TCAACTGGAAGGAATTCCACCAGGACTTCAGCTCGGCTCACGAGGTTCTCGAGTTACCCCGGTACGGCTGGGACCTGAAGAATTACTGGATCCCTTACACGAACAACTTCTGCCTTACCAAGGGGGCTCCCGTTACCGCGGAGGTATCAGCGCCCAAGTCTACCTTCCTCACGACCGCGGCGCAGAAGATTGTGGAATGCCGTGAGGACGGAAGCACGGCGACATTGGTAGTTGAGAATAATATCGCGGAGCCAGAACTCAACCGTGTTATCCAAGGCCACAAGGTCAATGGAGTGGCTCTTACGCCATCGGTAAGTTTAACTGCACTCACCACTTCGAATAGAAACCTAATCCATATATGTAGTCTCTCTACGCTGATATTGCGCAAACGCTCGTCGACCACTTAATCACAGAATACAAACCAGAGTACCAGGGCCTGGGTCTGGACGTGTGCGACATGACTGTGCCCAAGCCTCTCATAGCCAAGTCCGGTGATCAATTCTTCAGGGTCTCGGCGGTGATGAACTGGGCCGAGCAGAAGGCGAGCGTGCAAGTCTGGTCTGTGAACGCAGACGGCAAGAAAACGGTCGAGCACGCCCATTGCACTGTCAAGCTCTTCAACTGCGCCGAGCGCGAGACGGAGTGGAAGAGAATCTCCTACCTGATCAAACGAAGCGTGTCTCTCCTGCAGGACAAAGCGCAGACCGGAGAGGCTCACCGCATGCAGCGGGGAATGGTGTACAAGCTGTTTGCTGCTCTGGTGGACTATGACGAAAACTTCAAGGCCATCCAGGAAGTCATCCTGGACAGCAATCAGCATGAAGCCACGGCGCGAGTCAAGTGCCAAGCCCCTGCGGGCAACTTCCACCGGAACCCCTTCTGGATCGACAGTTTCGGCCATCTGTCTGGGTTCATTATGAATGCCAGCGACGCGACCGACTCCAAGAACCAGGTGTTCGTCAACCACGGATGGGATTCCATGCGCTGCCTGAAGAAGTTCTCCGGCGACGCCACTTACCAGACGTATGTGAAGATGCAGCCGTGGAAGGACTCCATCTGGGCGGGTGACGTCTATGTCTTTGAAGGGGATGACATTATCGCTGTGTACGGGGGTGTCAAGGTATGTCTCCAGAAAGCAACCGAAAGTAATGATTTACTAACGGCGGCCTACAGTTCCAAGCGTTAGCTCGAAAGATCCTGGATACCGTTCTTCCTCCAGTCGGAGGGTCCAAGACCGTCAGTGCGCAGGCGCCAGCCAGGCCCATTGGGGAGAAGAAAGCTCCTCCCCCTATCAAGGTTACTGGTCCTCCCAAGCCCAACTCAAGCAACGCACGGGCTGCATCACCAGTGGTTGCACGGGCATTGGAGATCCTGGCTGCGGAGGTCGGTCTGTCCGAGGCTGAAATGACCGACAGTCTCAACTTTGCCGACTACGGGGTCGACTCGCTGCTTTCCTTGACGGTGACCGGTAGGTATCGCGAAGAACTGAACCTTGATCTTGAATCGTCCGTGTTCATGGATTACCCAACCATCAAGGATTTCAAGGCATACCTGGCTGAGAAGGGCTTCTGCGACAGCAGCAGTCCCGAGCCGTCCAGCGAGCCCGAGTCCAAGTTCTCTTTCAACAGTGACGCATCCTCCGAAGCTTCCAGCGGACTTACCACTCCTGGAATTCCGTCTCCTGTGAAGCGAGAGGCGCCCAAGGGCGGACAAAACAAGGTCTGGAATAGCATCTGCAGTATCATCGCCGAGGAAATCGGGGTGTCGGTCGGAGACATTGACCCGAGCGACAGCCTGCCAGAGATGGGCATGGACTCTCTGCTGTCCCTGACCGTGCTCGGTCGGATCCGAGAGACATTTGACATCGATCTGCCTGCGGAGTTCTTCCTCGAGAACCCGACACTCGATGCGGTGCAAACTGCGCTGGATCTGAAGCCCAAGATGGTCCCTGCAGCTACACCTGTCTCAGAACCCATCCGGCTCCTCGAGACAATCGACAACAAGAAGCCCAAGGCCACTCGACATCCTCCGGCGACCTCGATTCTTCTCCAGGGCAACCCCCGCACCGCTACCAAAAAGCTCTTCATGTTCCCAGACGGTTCGGGCTCCGCCTCCTCCTACGCGACGATTCCGGCCCTCTCCCCCGATGTCTGTGTCTACGGTCTCAATTGCCCTTACATGAAGACACCCCAGAACCTTACGTGCAGTCTCGACGAGCTGACCGAGCCCTATCTCGCTGAGATCCGCCGCCGTCAGCCCAAGGGACCCTACAGCTTTGGTGGTTGGTCGGCCGGTGGCATCTGCGCCTTTGACGCAGCCCGTCAGCTGATCCTGGAGGAAGGGGAGGAGGTGGAGCGGTTGCTGCTGCTCGACTCGCCCTTCCCCATCGGTCTGGAGAAGCTGCCCCCTCGTCTGTACAAGTTCTTCAACTCGATCGGGCTCTTTGGCGACGGGAAGCGGGCGCCTCCCGACTGGCTCCTACCCCACTTCCTCGCCTTCATCGACTCGCTCGACGCCTACAAAGCGGTTCCTCTGCCGTTTAACGACAGCAAATGGGCCAAGAAGATGCCCAAAACCTACCTGATCTGGGCCAAGGACGGGGTCTGCGGCAAGCCGGGCGATCCCCGGCCGGAGCCTGCAGAGGATGGGTCCCAGGACCCCCGAGAAATGAAGTGGCTGCTCAACGACCGAACGGATCTGGGACCAAACAAGTGGGATACTCTGGTCGGCCCGCAAAACATTGGCGGAATCCATGTGATGGAGGAAGCAAATCATTTCACCATGACGACGGGACAGAAGGCAAAGGAGTTGTCGCAATTCATGGCCAAGGCCATGAGTTCCTAGGTTGGGGTGGAGTTGTGCATACCTAAATTGCTTTTTTTTTTTTTTCGGCTAATAATCGCAACATGTACTTTACTCCCCTTCTCAACTGTAACTTAACCCGATTTTAGTTGCGTTTGCAGTATCTAATGGATGTCTTTTCTGAATGTCTGAACGCCAAGTTGCCAACTTGGCTTGTACACAGCCTTATAGTAGCCTAGTAGGACTATTCTTGAACGAGGCTTGGATATGCCAAGAGTGGGGGTTCTGCCAATGCTGACATCGTTCGATGATGCACTGCAGTTCAATGTAATCTGATGGTTGATGATGAAGCCTTGGTTGTGTTGGTGACAAGGTTGAGAGTGTGTTGATTGTTCGCTATACAAATACATATCCGAATCACGGGACCGCGAGAGGCCTTAGGCGTCCAGGCCGAAGTAAGTGACTGATTCCTTTCAATGGAATAATATTTCTTAGATCAAGCTCTGAGATCAGTTCATGTTTCTCAAACAGCTAAGAAGTTCTAGAAGGGCTGCCGAGGATCACGGTTCAAGCCGAACGTGAGATCTCCGCTGTCATAAGCAGAGCACATTAACTCATTCACTATTGCCTTACCACCGAGACCGAGGTCTATGGTTCGATCACTTCATGCTGTGCGATATCATTGCATAATTCTGCAGTGTCAATGTTACATCGACTGTCTTACCGAGCAAGCTTATCTGGACTCGTCAATTCAATGCTTCGTCTACGGAGTATTATTATGGCAAAAGGGTGAGGCCCATGATCTATTGAACATAAAAACCAGACTAATGGGAAGCAAGCTAATTACATAGGCAGGGATCACGCGATCAACTGCCCATCTGATCCACCGATGTTTGTCCGGCAGCATCTCCAACGAAGGAGGAAGGATAGAAGGATGGAAATGAGCCGAGTCATGACTCTGAGTGAGAACAAGGTGCACATACAGTTAAGACGCCATGTCCAGTGTCATCCTTTGTTCTCCCCTTTCTCCAAGTAATACTGTGTAGTAATCGAAGATCATCTACACCTCGAGCGTTGAGGGCTGCGGGCTGAGGGCTGAGGGGGATGAGACAGGACTCCGAATAACCGACCACAACGAACCAATCATAAAACATTTCGGAATTACTTTGACACATTGCTGGATGTGATTGGTCCAAGCTAGAGACACTGCCCCGTGTGGCCAATCCCAAACAGGAAAGGGATCACTGGGTCTGGCGCCGAACGTGTGTCATCTTGCCTGTTTGGGTTTAGCCTGGGATCAGGCAAAAAAAAGGCATCTATCTATTCTGGGCATAAAATGAAAAGGATTGAAAAGGAGGTAACCAATACAAGGATTTGCCTCATGGTAATTGATCTTAGATACTCATCTTATATGTTCTATAAGAACACAATACTGATATCAATAATATCGTAGAGGATACCGTCTTCAAATGAAAAGTAAAAGTCAGCTGCTGGACTGGGGCCTTTATTTCAGGGACTCCGCACTTCTAAAATAAGCCATCTCCTCCACTTGGATGATTCTCCCCCCGATCATTGGCTTAGTAGGATTTGCTACCTCGAATGGGCAAGCATTGGCGCTCAATCAGGGGCCAAACCCAACGCCCCAGGGTCTAGGGTCTAGTCTCCATCTCGTGTTTCAAACTGTGCGGCGAAGTGTCTTCCAACTGTGCCTGATCTCGTAGTCCCTACTCCGTGGTCCCTTGTAATCTATCCCGATCCTGCGGCTCGTACTGTACGGACTACGGACTACGGAGTAGGACCTAGTGTCTGCCTTGGCCAGTGGATTCTCTAGTCCAAAGAGCTTCCAAGCTAATCCCAAGGCCGACTTAGAGTGACATCGTTCGTCTCCTCTTGAAAACACTGATAAATTCTCTTCTTCTGATTACTCCTTTCCTCCATTCATCTCTGCATCTTTGCATCTCTTCGACTCTTCACTCCTTTCGAGCTCCTCTTTCAACAAGAGCTTCGTCATCTAGCTTCGTCTCTTCTCATCCTCATCGATGCGTTCTCCGTCTCGTTGAATGCGGATGTCTCCCTCTCGTAGCAATTCTTGCTGATCGCGTGCCCCATCGTGGGCGATGCGAGTTTCCCTATTTGACTAAAAGAACAGAACATAATCATATCGCTGAGAAGCTGCCATCTTCTCCTTCCTCATCGTCATGAACTTCTCCAAGCTCTCCGAGCTCGTCGATCAGCTCGTTCGAGTCGTCCGAGATTCCCCCGCGCACACCTTCGACCGGTGGTGGAGTGTATCGCGGAAATTCTTCTTCACCCTCACCTTCATCTCACTGATCTGGGCCAAACTCTTACACATATATGCTCATCTCTACTCATTACCGCCGGCCAAATTGCTTCTGTGGGGTCCGACCTTCTTTTTCCAGGATGTCATCTTTATCCTCGTCGTCCGTCTGCTCACCCAGACCATCCCCTGGCGACCTGCCGCTGTTGTCGCTGCAGTATGCACTGTGCCATTCAGGTAGATATCAACCATTCCTTCTGCAACCGTCTGAAACACTGATAACTGACTGTTGTTCTCTTCCTAGTTTGCTGATGTCTGGCATGGCGTCTTCCGCCACCTCCTTTTACGTCGTGACCGGCGCCGAGATCCACTGGCGACAGATCCGCACTTTTCAGAGCGATGCGGCTGCCGTTCGGACCCTGCTCACCGGATTGACAGGGTTTCTGATCGTGGAAGCCGTCGTAATTGCCGCCTCCTGGTTCCTGGCGGCACCCATTCACCGAGCCACGGGTGGGGTCTTACGGATCTTGGTGACGCCCTTGCAGAGGCTCGCGCAACAGATCTGGAGCCTTCGTTGCCCGCAGTGGAGGAGGAAGGCTACCCCCATGGATCCCGAGCGGTATGAACAGATTGCGGTCGATGATTACCTGGACGACAAGAGTGACGACGGAGACTCGGTGTTTCTCCTCGACCCGATGAGTCACGAGACCCCCGTCAGACATCACGAATCGCTGTTCAAACGTCTGGCCGTCTTTGTCTTCTTCGGCGCATATGTGCTCCTCCGATGCCTTCGCCCCCCCAATCCTTCGTACATGTTCCTGTCCGGGGCGCTGCCCGTCGTCCCATTCGCCCCAGCGAACCGCGGCGGGTCACCCATCGATGCCGACGTGATGCCGGGTGACTACCGCTGGCTGGAAGGTCGCTCGGCGCTGGATAAGGCGCCGAGGTGGGATTGGCTGCCGAGCGATCCCATCGCCGGGTTCGAGGATTGGTATCCGGGATTCGAGGACGACCATCCACCGCATCATGGACCGCCTCACGGACCGGATCACAGGCCGCATCATCGCCGTCGTCCTCCCCCGCTGCATTACAACCCGGTCAAGGATCCGTTGCACATCTCCAATCTAGAGAACCCCGTGTTAGAACCCCTGAAGGAAGCACTCGCCAGCGGAAACGTGAGCATCAAACACGTCATCCTGCTGAAATTGGAGAGCACCCGCGCGGACGTCTTTCCGCTGCGCAAAGACTCGTTCATGTGGAATCGCATCGCCGATTCCCACACGAACCACACCATTCCCGATACCGTGCAGCAGAAACTGGCCAATTTGACCCGGACGGCGGAGTATCTCACCGGGTTTGACTCGGGCTTTTCGCGCGACCCGGCTGCACACAATGGAAGAAAGGCGTTCGGCGGCATCAGCGCCCGCAATGCCTTCACCACGGGCACCTACACGCTCAAGAGTCTGGTCGGAACCGTCTGCGGCGTTACCCCACTGGTGACCGATTTCAACCGCGAGTACAAGCATCACATCTACCAACCGTGCATGCCGCATGTCCTCAACGCCCTTAATCGTCAGATTGACATCGCGAACCGAACCAAGGATTTCACTTCGTGGCCCTGGCACTCCAAGTGGATGCAGTCTGTGACCGAGGGCTACGACAAGCAGAACGAGTTGACTCCACGACTGGGATTCAAGGACATTCTCGCCAAGGAGCAGCTGGAGAGCCCCAGCGCCAAGCACTGGCCGGTCAAGTCCAAGGAGATCAACTATTATGGATACCCCGACACCGAGCTGCGCGAGTACTTTCGCGATGCGATCGACGACGCCGAGCGGGAGCACAAGCGACTGTTCATCACTCATCTGACCGGTACGACTCACCATCCGTGGGGGATGCCCAACAACAGCTACCAGCACTTTATGGGCGACAAGAAGTTCAAGGCCAAGGATGATCTCAACAAGTATCTGAACACCATCGGTTTCATCGACAACTGGCTGGCGGAGATTATGGACATTCTCAAGGAGAAGGGCGTCGCGGACGAGACCCTGCTCGTCATGGCCGGCGATCACGGATTGTCTCTTCCCAATGACGGCGGCGTCACTCCCTACGACAATCCGCATATCGGCAGCTTCCAGGTTCCCATCGTGTTTGCTCACCCCAAACTTCCCCCCGTCGAGATCACGTCGCCAGTGATCTCCGACCAGATCGTGCCAACCATCCTGGATCTCTTGATTGAGTCCTCGTCGCTAGAGAAAAAGGCCACCCGTGCGGCCAAGGACGTGCTATCCCTCTACGAAGGCCAGTCGATGATTCGGCCCTTGATCCCCGAGCAGAACGGCAAGCAAGACTGGCAGTTCACCGTGATGAACACGGGCGGTTCCTGGCTGGCAGTGCGCTCTGCTGCCAAACCCGCCTACCGGCTCGTCATCCCCCTTATCGACGATCTGGAGTGGCGGTTCACGGATCTGGAAAAGGATCCCAACGAACTCCACCCGATCAAGAACTTTGACCTGATTGATCTGGCCCACAAACTCGAACAACAGTACGGGCCCGAAGTGACCAACTGGGTCCGCGACGCAGCTCATGTTGCCTCGTGGTGGGTGGGAGAAAACTGGCGTCGCTACCGGTATCGTCCCGAGCCCAAGCACTGACGATTGCATATTTTCTTGACTTCTATTTTGGTTCTCCTCTTGTATATGCTCTTCAGCTCTGCCGCTTGCATTTTCATATTACATATTGCATCTCGTCGATATACCCGACCTCCAGGCGTACACACCGTCCCAGTTCGTTGGAGGAGCCACAAACAACTGGACAATTTTTTGAAGCCATTGTACATATTATTTGGAATACATGTCGAATTCAATCATTATTGAGCATACTCCAACATCAGTATGAGTCCTGGAACGTAGGGTAAGATCGGCGCTTTCTGGCTCATCGGTAGGCGGCCCGAAGCATCACTGTTGACAGGCTAATCCTCTAGAATCGTGGCATGGTCTGTACTGGAGAGGAGCCATATGATCTGGTTGAGGCAATTCCAGCACTATGTGTCATTAGGCTAGCACGGTCAGCTGAACAGTTGCATCTGGAATATATGCTCAGGTCGACAGCGCAATATATTAAGTACTACTTCCTGGAGAGCGCGGCCGTTACTATAGGTGGACGTTAACCATCCACGACAGTCACGCAAGTATTCTCCGGCCACGTTGAGATTAGTATGCTGCCGGCAGATTTATCCAGCATCTCGGGAATGATTCCTGTCTGAGACGTCTGCAGCATGCACTCCGCATTATTCAGGTCTGCAGAGCATTCGCCGCTCTCATATCAGTAATTGTGAGGCCGATCGCCTGTCTCAGCAATAGCGCTATACCTACCCGGTCTTATTTACCCGCACACCGGTCTCCACGGATAATCTCCTGGTGCAATGGCTTCGTCTGGCAAATGAGCGTGTTGCATTTCTTGGACATGTAAACCTCAAACCGCGCCGAGACTCCGAGCCCCTTGCGGGAAGATATGAAATGACCACGCCAATTTATCCAGAACGTGCACTGTCCTACGCATAGCCTCTCCCTCAGGCCGGGCCAATACCATGACAGTGATCCTCCTGGGCAGGTTGCAGCATGGACGCCCAGACGGGATGTTGCACTCTTATCGGTCCTGTGTATCTGACCGGGCTAAGGGCCGCGGGCTTCGTGGTATTTCTTCAGCTCGTTCGCACTCCTCTGAACGAGTCTCATCTACCCACGACGCTGTGCTTCGCTGGCGATGAAGCTCCTCAACCGTCTCTCCGCCGCATTCTTCGCGGCCAGCATCGGTCCGTCATGATATTACTGACCAGGACTACTGGACTGTTAGCTAACTCTGGCTAGTGCTGGAACCATGCTGGGCCCAGTCGAGCACCCCGGTGGTCTACACCGACCCCGCCACGGGCATCACGTTTGATACGTGGACAGTGCCCACAAGCCAGACCGCAGGCGGTCTCACCTTCGGCGTGGCCCTCCCCAGCACGGCGTTGACTACGGACGCGACCGAGTTCATCGGATACCTGGTATGCCCTCGCCGACTCCAGTGACCTATCTAGCTGACCAGAAAGCAATGCGCATCCACCGACGCCACAAAAACAGGATGGTGCGGCATCTCCCTCAAGGGAAGCATGACCAGCAACCTCCTCCTCATGGCATGGCCGTACAAGGACGAGATCCTGACCTCCTTCCGCTTCAGCTCGGGCTATACCATGCCCGACGTGTACGCCGGCAACGCGACCCTCACGCAGATCTCGTCGTCCGTCAACGCCACGCACTACACGCTGCTCTTCCGCTGCCAGGGCTGTCTCGCCTGGAACCACAACGGGGTGACGGGGTCTGCGCCGACCAGCGCCAAACAGCTGGTGCTCGGGTGGGCGCAGGCTGTCGCTGCGCCGGGGAGCCCGTCCTGTCCTGCGCAGATTACCCTGCAGCAGCACGATGCGCAGGGGATCTGGGTGGCGAAGCTGGATGCGTCGGCTGCCAGCGCGTCGTACGAGCAGTGGGCGGCGCTGGCGAACAAGACTGTTCCTGGTGATTGCTCCGGTGGCGGCGGTGGCACGGATCCCGTTGGAGTGCCGGTGCCGCCTGGAACGACGTTTGATTATGTGGTTGTCGGTGGTGGTGCAGGCGGGATTGTCGTCGCGGACCGACTTAGCGAGGCCGGACACAGCGTGTTGTTGATCGAGAAGGGGCCCCCGTCTTCGGGCCGCTGGGGTGGTACCATGAAGCCTGACTGGCTGGTTGGGACTAACCTGACTCGATTTGACGTGCCGGGGCTGTGCAATCAGATCTGGCATGATTCCGCGGGGATCGCCTGCGACGATATCGACCAGATGGCGGGTTGCGTTCTGGGAGGAGGGACGGCGGTTAATGCCGCCCTGTGGTGGAAGGTATGACTTCTCTTCGTTGTGAACAAGCCACGTTAATAACGGCAAAAGCCATATCCCCTCGACTGGACCTACAATTTCCCCGCTGGCTGGCAAGCGGAGGACATGGTCTCCCCGACAAACCGGGTCTTCAACCGCATCCCCTGGACCGTCCATCCTTCCGCGGATGGAAAGATCTACATGCAGCAAGGCTACAATGTCATCGCGGGCGGTCTCCAAGCAGCCGGCTGGAAGGAACTGACCTTAAACGACAATCCATCGTGGAAGAACCATACCTACGGCCATACCCCGTACATGTTCTCGCACGGCGAGCGCGGCGGGCCGATGGCGACGTATCTAGTGTCTGCCAGTAAGCGAAACAACTTTAAGCTCTGGATGAACACGACCGTCAAGCGGGTGGTCCGTACGGCTGACGGACATGTCACTGGCGTGGAGGTCGAGCCCTTCCTGGACGGCGGATACGAGGGCGTCGTCAACGTCACGGCGAAGACGGGGCGTGTCGTTCTTTCGGCGGGGACGTTTGGCTCGGCTAGAATCTTGATGCGAAGTATGCTGCCTTTTGTTTTGTCATAGATTGCGCTAATGCGGACAGGTGGTATCGGACCGTCGGATCAGCTGGATATCGTGAAGAGCTCGAGTGATGGACCCACGATGATCGACAAGTCAGCCTGGATTAACCTGCCTGTGGGCATGAATCTCGTGGATCACGTCAATGTAAGTTAAGTCTCTACCTGATGATCGGGTCAGGGCTGACAAGATAGACCGATACTGTTGCCACCCACCCCGACATTGTCTTCTATGACTTTTATGCCGCGTACGATGACCCGATCAAGAGCGACGCATCGAGCTATCTCAGTAAGCTTACCTATCAATTTGAAACACGTTTCTGACCGTATCAGACAATCGCATCGGCATCCTAACCCAGTCCGCCCCTAACATCGGTCCAATGTAAGTACCCCTCGGCATTGCCTACAGCCTGCTGACCATCAGCTTCTTCGACGAAATCCGCGGCGCCGACGGCATCACCCGGCAGATCCAGTGGACCGCCAGAATGGAAGGAGGCCACGACACGCCCGATGACCGTAAGTGCTGCACTGAAGCATGAATGGCGAACCCAGGCTGACAGCATATTTAGACGCCGTCGTCATGAGCCAATACCTCGGCCGTGGCTCTACCTCCCGCGGACGCATGACCATCACCGCAAACTTGGATACCGTCGTCTCGACGCTCCCGTACCTGCGCGACCAGCACGACGTCGACGCCGTCATCCAGGGCCTGGTCAACATGCAGAATGCGCTCAAAGGAGTCGGGCTGAACTGGACCTATCCTGCGCCGAATATCACGGCAGAAGAATTTGTCAATACGGTATGTCGCATCTGACTCAACGCTACTACTCCATAAACTAACTCCTATAGATGGAAATAACAGCGAGCACCAGACGCGCGAATCACTGGCTGGGTAGGTAACCGGACTCTTTTCTGGGGATTCACGCTGACCATGATCATCAGGGACCTGCAAAATGGGCACCGACGACGGAAGAAAGGGCGGCACGGCGGTGGTGGATACCAATACCAAGGTCTACGGCACTGATAACCTGTTCGTCGTGGATGGGAGTATCTTCCCTGGCATGGTGACTAGCAATCCATCGGCGTATATCGTGATTGCGGCTGAGCGGGCGGCGGATCGGATTCTTGCGTTGGCTACTTAGTTGCATGCTGTATCAGCCATACGTTTACTTTGAATCACAGATTGATTTGAATATGGCTCCTCATCTGGTAATTGCAATAGATGCATACGTTCATATCCACCACGGTGAGCGCTGGTAGCCTGCCATCATTAGAAACTCATTCGTTCTACATGAAATATGCTGCTCTATTATCGTACTGGGACTACAAGCGACGGGAAGAGAATAGACCATGCTGGTCGGTTCATCCAAGACAAATAGTCACGTCATACAACATCTCATTGTCATCATCATCACTATATACTCCGCACGCTAGCTGAGCCTCTTCCACACCGGATGATCAAGAAAAGACAGCAATAGCGCTGGAAAACGCCGCATCAATCTCCTGGGTGCCAGACGCAATGGTTTCCTTGTCAGTCGCAGTAGCAATATCCTGAAGAGCACCGGAAAGTGTATCCGTCTTGCTCTGCAGGGCATTCAGGTCCGCGAGGACGAGACTGCCCACGCCCGCGGAGTCGACTTGGGGTTTCTACACAATTAGTCTCGTCCATACAACATCGGGAAAGGAGGGATGGGAGTACCTTTGCAACAATCGCATCCAGGGAAGTGACGATATCAGGCTTCAAGCCCAGAAGAGCATTGGTGACGCTGGTGCTGTCGGCGGCGGACAAGGCCGAGGTGGCCTTTGCATCAGAGGTGGCCTTGTCGATGTCGCTTTCCAGCTGCTGCTCGACGGCCTGGGCTGCGAGTGCCTGGGACAGGTCGCCGGTGAACTCGTTGAAGTGCTGGGTGAGAGTGTTGATGCCGGTCTTGATGGTGTTGAGGTCACTGAGGATGGTGGCGGCGTCGCGGGCCACGAGGGGGCCTGAGATGGCCACGCCGATGAGAGTGGCGAGCACGGCAGTAGAGAGTTTGAAGTGCATTTTGCTGTCTGTTTGTTTGTCTGTTCGTTTGTTGAGTGATTTGATGGTAAGGCATGGATACCGGTGTCGATGGGCTTTATATAGTTTTTCGCCCTTGGGCCTTTGCTGAAGACCACCATCATGAGACAATGAGGAGATCCTCGGTATGAAGAGTCCTCATCTGATGTCGCAAAAGGACGTTGCAAGTCCACCAATCGAGCTGTACGACATGAGTCTGAGGAATCGCATTCTGCACTGTCTGCAGAATGAGACTCAGAGAAATGTATTCACATGGATGACCCCAAACACCTAGGTATGAAGTTATATTGACCCAAGCCACCGTCAGCATCCATAGATGAATCCTTCCAATCACCCCCTGCTTACCCCACACTTCCCCGGGCAGAGACAACCCATTAATCCATGACGAATTGTACAAGGCGTTACGATTGGTGAGAAATAAACTAGCTACCGCGTGTTTGGTCTAGACTCGGACAGATGTAACCTCAGAAGACGCACTATATCGGGAGTTAAGCGACGGAGCGTCTGCTTGTGTGACTTGCCACTCCGTTCTTGCATCTCGGCGCCAGACTTGGTTATGGATCAGCAAGCCCATTATTGAGACGAATGTTGTGATTGGGGTAGAAGTCGACCTGGCTCAAATTCGAGCCAGTCAGGCAAGTGTTGCGAAGGCTCAATAGCCGGTAGTGCGTCGATATCGTCATCTTCAAATATATAGGACATGCAGATGGCCACATGACTCGACTGAATCCTTCGATATGTTGGTTGAGTGATAATACGAGCGGCAAGGGGTTGTTATAAGCAGGTTGATGATCTGCCTCGGAATGACTCTCCGTAGCATCTGATCAGGGAAGCATACCTACATGAGTTCAAGAGCCAACTTTATCCTGACAACTGCCGAATGCACTGTCTGTAGTATCAGAAGCGGAGATGTACCTGGGAATAGCCCCTCTATCTCAGTGTTGGTTAGAAAATGGTTGACTCAGGCCGACTACCCTCAAGAAAGGATACTTAGATCTCGACAGTCTTAGTCTCCGTTGTATCCAATCTGAGTATGATCTTACGAGAGCCATACTTCTAATGAATGAGGAGAGATGATAGCCAGTCTCCTTGTAAGTGCTAGTAGTGTAATGGTGCCCAGACCAACGTAGCCAGCAATGTATGATACGAGAGGTTAGTCAATAATGCCGGTGAGGTGAGATCAACGTAACGGATATAGATTGGCAGGATACTAGATAACCCTGTAACACTATTTTATGGATCTTTCTTAGTGATAATGCTTTAAGAGTGTGAGCAGATCTCATCATACGGGAGTACTATGGACACATTATGCAGCTCTTTATATCAGAATGGCGGTACAACTCACGATGAGGGCTTCCCACAATGTCTATTCAAAAAATGGACTTCCCTCATGGGTTTCAACCTAGCTTTAATAACTTGAGATGCATTCGATCCCTTGCATACAGATTCCTCTTGATGGGCCACTTCCGACAATAACCGCTACTTATGCATGTCCGATCTGCTCAGTCCATGAATGATGTATTCTCAGATGAATATCTCACGTCAAACAGAATGACCCATAACTGACCAGTACACAGTGCGGCTGCCTATCTATCTTGCAGCAATCCGCCCAGAACGTCCACCACGACCGCCATCGTCACCCTCTACCTGACTGAGATATCACCGTTCTGATGTCCCGTCTCTCCGTCTCCTATGTCCGACACATTGAAGCCAGCTGGTAGGATGGCCTCTGAGAAGTGCGAGCGGAAGTACTGGTCGCTACCACAATGGTGTCACCGGGAACTATCTGCTGGGCCAACATCGGCCGACTGGTATACTCGGTGTCCGAGAAGGCGTTAATGGAAGTCACGGGAGGGAAACCCGAGAATTTGACATTGATCTGCCCTGCCGAGAGATATCCATTGAACGAAGAGGGCTGGAGAAGAAGGTTGTCGAAAAAAGTCGGCGGACTGGGAGAGATCTTCCTGCTGATTACCATAACTTGCAGTACATACTGGTCTGCCGATTCATATCCGGCATCGGCAAAGGATTAAATGATGATAAAAAAGGATAATCCGGGTAGGTTGAACCTTTACTGCTTGCTCCGAATTCGCTGCCATCGGAGTATCAGTATTAAGCATCGTTATCTCCGTGAGGCCAGGCTTGCATCATCGCATTTTCCTTTCAAATGATTCGCCTATGACTCGACCGAGTCGAGAAGAATGACTGCAGTGGGCCTTTTTATTCATCCAAGCCAACCAAGCAATGCCTTCAAAGCTTGACAAAGCCCGTTGTGGATCCTCGGCTCGTCAGTGGCAACAATGTGCCGATAACTCGGGGATTCCCCGTCTGGAGAACAGTATTGCATTGCCCATTGCTGGTCCGGTGAGGAGTAATTGTACTCCGTAATGACATGCATATCTCATTTTCGTTATCTTTGGTATTACCTTTGGGATAGCCTCCCGATCCCTTATAAGCCTTCTCTCCCTGGCTCCCTAAGTTTGACCCAACCGGTACCAATATTCAATGGCGTCAGGTGAAGGCCAAGTTGGCTTCAATGCCACTCCCGGGAAGATTGAAGATGCCCACAGCGAGGATCTGACGCTGGTCCTCTCGGAAGAGCAAGCCCTTGCTCGGGCCAGGCACGCTCCCGGGGACGCTCTACCAATCTGTATAGCATTCGCCCATGACGACCGCGATAATCCCCGGAATTGGGGCAAACTGCGAAAATGGTACATTACCCTTTTCGTCAGTATGCTCAACGTCCTCACGTACGTCTCCTGATCCATACTGCATGACTTTGCTGACAAAAACTAGCTGCTGGTGCGCCGGAGGCATCGCGTCAGGAGCCACCGGCATCGCCGAGGAATTCCATGTCTCCTCTGAAGTCACCACGCTTTGCCTCTCGCTGTACGTGCTAGGCTTCGCCATCGGTCCCGTCCTGCTGGCCCCGCTCTCCGAGTACTTTGGCCGACAACCCGTCTACGTCGTCTCGTGGTTCCTCCTCTTCATCTTCCAGGTGCCCCTCGCCGTGGCCCCGAACATCGGAACCATCATCGTCTGCCATCGTCTGCCGCTTCTTGGCTGGTTGTGCTGGCGGTGCGCCTCTCACCAACACCGGTGGCTCCATCAGCGATCTCTGGGAGCGCAACAGCAGCGGCGGCCCGATGGCTGTATACGGGCTCAGCAGTACCTTTGGGCCCCCGACCGCACTCGTCATGAGCGGGTACATCGGTCTCAACGCAGGCTGGCGGTGGATCTTCTGGGTATTGATGGCCATCACCGGCGGCTTCTGGCTGCTCCTCATCTTCACCATCCCGGAGACTCGGCACAGCATCATCCTCCAGCGCAAGGCCGCGCGCGTCCGCAAGCAGATGGCGCAGAAGAACCTGGCATCGGCCGCGACGACGGTGGACCTCCACGCGCATAGCCGCAAGGGCCTGCACACCCTCTTCGCCATCACCCTCACCAGGCCCTTCAGGTTCCTCTTCACCGAGCCCATCACGCTCTGCTCCGCCGTCTACAACGGCTTCCTCTACGGCCTGGTCTACCTCTTCAACGAGGCCTTCGCGCTCGTCTTCGGCCCCGGCAACGGCCACGGCTTCAACACCGGTCAGCAGGGCCTTTCCTTCCTCGGCATGGCCATCGGGCCGATTATTGCATTCTGCCTCTATCCGCTCCAGGAACGGTACTTACTACCTGCGCCGCGTAGCCGCCAACGGAGGCAAAGGCGAGCCCGAGGCACGGATGTGGATGGCGCGGTGGGGGGCGGTTCTGATCCCCATCAGTCTGTTCTGGTTCGGCTGGACGAGCTACCGCTCCGTGCACTGGATCTTGCCGATCATCGCGTCCTCGTTCTTCGGCGCGGGCATCTACATCGTTATCCTGAGTATTCTGAACTACGTGGTGGACAGCTACCAGACGTACTCGGCCTCGGCGCTGGCGGGGGTGATTTTGGTCAGGAACGTCGTCGGCGCGGGGTTCCCCCTGTTCGCGAGCCAGATGTACCAGCGGCTGGGCTACGAGTGGGCGTCGAGTCTGCTGGGCTTCCTGGCTATCCTCCTCGTGCCGATCCCGTTTGTGTTCTTCTACTTGGGCCGAGCGATCCGGTTGCGGAGTCCGTGGGCTCGTGAGCATTTTGACTCGAATGAGGATAGTCCTCATTGATTTGACATTCATGTATATACAGACCGCCAATAGATATCAATACTTGGTTTCGGCCATGTCCCCCCTAGCCGCAGCGCCTAGGTCATCCAGCTCCGACCCCAGCCGCACCTGGGACTGGATGAACGAGCCGCGATCATCCTGCATAGGCTTGTAGTGCGTATCTGGGCTCTTGGAGATGACCGCCATGACGGACGCGTAGATGACCAAGAGGATCAAAACGAGGGTTAGCGCCGCGTTGATCACGAAGAAGCAAACCCCCATCACCCCCGAGACGATCCCCGGCTGGTCAAACACGCCGGAGAAAAAGAGCACAAAAATAGCGTTGAGGAAGTTCACCGCCGCGATGGCGATGTTGTACGTGTTGGTGCGCTTGTCCATCCACGGGCGCACGATGCTCACCCCGATCAGCATCAGGCCCTCGATGACGAGCAGCGCTACTGTCTGCACGATCGGCACCGACTGCCCTAGGCTTATGAACAGCGCTTTGACGAACAGGTAGCCGATCACGACGAGGATGAAGCTGGCGGCGGTGGCGCGGTACTGCACGTACAGGAAGCCCCAGCGGTTGAGGCAGGTGGTGTCCGAGTAGAGGACATAGGCCGGGTTGCGGTGCATCGAGATGGACTTTCGCATGAGCAGGATGATCTTGAGCGCGGCCCAGACCAGCGCCCCGATGATCGAGGCCAGGATGAAGGCCGCCACCACGATCTCCGCCGACGAGTCATGCTGCGTGAATTCCCACAGGCAGAAGATGCTCAGCGGCGCGAAGCCAATAAAGACAAGACGATACAAAACCCCGCGGGCCACGACGTCCCATTCAGCAAGGAAGTACCCCCATGCTGGACCCGTTCGTCCCCTTTTCGCCAGCCCCGCGCAGACCATTTTCATCACCAGGACGATGATCATAACCACCAGAGCAAAGAACGTGAAAATGATAATACTAGTCAGGAACAAGTTTGTATCCTCGATCGCCGCCTTGAGCCCCACGCGCTTGATCCCCCGGACAATCACATTCGTCGGGCTCTCAGCCACCGCGCGCTTCCGCTTCTTCAGCACATTCACCGACGTGGTGGTTAACTGCGTTAGTAGGGTCGACGGCATGCCCCCCGTCGACCGCTGGTACCATGTTCCGATCTTCTGCACCGCCCCGACCCGAATCACCCCCATGCTCCACTGGAAGTTCTGCGTCCACGACTGCACCATCGGCGGCATGTGCACGGCCAGCATCCCGACCATGGCCTGCGCCTGCACGAAGCTAAACAGCGCGAGGGTGTTGCCGGCCAGATGGGCGGCCGCGTTGGAATGGCCCTGCGTCGAGGTGAATGCCGACGCGGCGAGCCCCAGTCCCGAGATGATGGCCGTGGTCCAGCCGACTCCGGCCTGGTAGACTGTTTTGTCGTTGGAGAGGCGCGCCTCGACGCAGGTGATGCTCTCGCCGGTTGCGCTGGAGTTGACGTAGATCCGGACGGTGGCGTCGAGGTCAGGGACGGTATATGCGATGCCTGCACGATTAGACGGCGTAGGTAGAGGGTAGACAGAGGGTAGGAAGAGACTAACCGGGAATCTTGCTGACGACATCCTTCCCGACCTCGATGGAGGCGGTCGGAACATCGATGGGACCGGCATTCATCGGACAGAATCCCTTCATCTTGTCCGTCTTGCACGGATCGATCGTCTTCTGGGGGATCGCATATCCGTAGACGTACAGGGTGAGGTCGGCGGTGACTTTGCCAGAGATGGAGGCCACGCCATCGAAACTGAAGGTCAGAGTTCGGTTATCTGGAGTAAAGAGAACATTGAAATAGGTTGCAGTAAAATTCGAGCTGTCTTGACAGATATTCAGGGCGTTGGATTCGATGAGCCGGACGGCCGAGGCGGGGAGACAGAGCCTCAGGATGGCTAGAAAGCCAAAAACGAGCGATAGTAAATTCATTACTAATTATGAAAGAGTGGTCACTTCATTGAGAGCATTAAAATGTAAAAGAATTAACAAAGATTAAGTTGTTGTGACAGAATACTGGTACTCAGGTTGACAGAGGATGACAGAAAGAATGACAGAGAAGCGAAAGGCACATCACATGCAGTGGTGAAGGAAAGAAAGAAAGAAAGACATCCGTTCTATTTACAGATATTCATATTATTATTAGGTAGATACATTAATAGATACATTAATTCCATTCGCCCCTGAAGGAAATTGTGAAACTTGAGTTTAAGCGGCCAAATAATTCAGGGTCTGATAGGCTGCTAAGAACGCCCTTAAAACATAGCCAATCTGATTGCTCTAATAGCCTTATTAGCAGTATTACTATTCCTTTACTATTCCCTTTTGAATGATGACAGTTGCCTACTATGAGCGATATACGAGTACGATCCCTGTCTATCACTTGGTTGGTCATATGAGATCGAGTCCATGCTCAGCATTGGCAATGTGTCAATGTCATGTTTATCGCTCTTGTCTTCTTTGAGTTGCTTGGCTATGTTTCTTGTATAAATCCTTACTCATGATTCAGCCAAATAAGGTTGTTTCCGACCGTCGATCATCGCCGTCTCAGCTGTTGAGACGTCCTGTCATCGTATGAACATTGCATGAACATTTCTAAGTTTATTCATTACCTGCTCTATGTGAGTAGAATGTCCAGCTGTAGTTGACACACTCATGAAACACATTGAATGAATTAAGACTCCTTATCCTCAGTCTCAGGCCACAGCATCCGCCGAGTAGCCACAGCCCATATCGTCCCTACACCAACACACAACCAGATGACCACCTGGGCAATAGTCAACCCTGAACCAACCCACAGAATTGCAGACGACTGCAACACCTGTCCAATCCGTATAGTGGCAATCACGAACCCCGTATTCGGGAACACCATACTCCAGTATGGAAGCGACATGCCCAGCGCCCCGGTGCCGCCGAACACGCGACACTGGGCCAAGACACTGAGTACAGCAATACAAAGGCAAAAGGCTGCCATTGTCCACAGGAAGATGGCGACCAGCGCGGCGAGCACGAGTGCAATGTCTCCTGCTGTGACGGAGACTTGTTGGCTAGTGGAAGCGTCCGCGTAGGAAATAATGTACCGGCCAGGAAACTGCTTGACGGCTGCTTCCGCCATCCCAATCAGGGCCAGGGCCGTGAAACTCCATGGTCCCACGGCGATGAACATTTCCGGCCGGTCAGATGCCTTCGGGAGTCCGTCTTTGTTGAGTCGGTAGAAGTACTCAGAGTAGATGAATAGAGACATGATAAATCCGAAGCCTTGGAAGGTTGTCCCCCCGATTAGAATGGGGAGGGCATGATGACGAGGCTGATGCGATGCCAGCACCGATGCGATCGTCCCTGTCAGCATGGCCGGAAACGAAGGGAGAAGACGGACGAGGGCAAACGGCTGGCGACTGGCCATGCGGATATGGTAGAGGTACCAGTTATGCCAGATGGCCTGGATGGTCGAGAGGGCGACGTAGATCCAAAAGACAATGCGAAGGGCAACCTGTAGCCATGGGCCACATGCATCTGTTCCGTAATTCTCGACTCCGAGGATTAGTGTCGCTAGGGCCAGTAGACAGGTTCCTATAAAGTGGCTTTCATTGGGCTCTTGGAAGGATTCTTTGAGGGCTGAGGACTTGGCCAGGAAGCGGATGATCAGACAGGCCGATATACACAGGAAGAGGACGAGATTGAGGATGTAGACAATCTTGCCAATGGTCTTCAACCCGGGGAATTGATGCGGCGTGCTAGACAGGAGAACAGCAATACCTCCTGTAGCCATGGAAATGGAATACCATCCCCAAGTGACCTGGCATATTCGATCCGAGAGGGATACTTTGGTGATCATCGCCTACCAGTATCACCTTCGGTCAATGATTTGACGACTTCGAGCGCATTTTGAGGTCGAGCAGCTGGATTATTATCTACTGCGTGCTCAATGCCTGCCCTGTTTCGGTATGTCCACTTCGGCGTCATGGTGGACAATGTTGAGTCGGCCCGATGGGCTGATATCTCGGATCTTGACCGCGTCTGACGTCAACATTCATGGCAGTCCCACAGAACTTTTAGCTCTGGATGCATTAGCGGAATTCAATCAGCTTTACTCATCTACTTCCATATGATAAGTTCCTTGGATTGCAAGAAATAAGCAAGGTGGAGTGAAGATGTGATATCATATAGTTATATACATGTGTGATTGACTTTTCTGTATCATACTTTTAATACCTCTCGGTATTTTCTCATCATTAATAATCCTACTAGATCCTCTCATTTAAAGTTAGTTCTTTATACTTTACTTAAGCCTCAAGTAGCTTACTTGGTGAAATACATACAAGCATCCGTAGGCCGTTGAACGTTCAGCCGAGCCGATAAGATTGCCACGCCATTCAGCTGAACCTCCGTGCTACATTCCTAAGGCTACAGCAGTAGTTTAGACTAGGCAGCAACACATAAGCACTAACTGACGGATGCATATAAAGGATGCAACGCCCCCTAAACACCAAACATTCACTTAGAATAAATATGTCCACCTCATCACAGTCAGCCCTCCCATACAGTGGCTCCTGCCACTGCGGTTTCATCCAATATGTGGCTGTGATTCCCCTGCCTCCAGCCAAGGCACTTGACTCCCATCAATCGACGCCATCGCGCTCCCGATTCTACAAATGCAATTGCACGACCTGCCAGAAAATGGGTTACTTTCATATGCGCCTCCCGGACGCAGCGAATCAGTTTTTCGTCTTATCTCCGCCTGAACTTGAATCAATGGGTGACTATCGCTGTGGCAGCGGTCACGTGCAGTGGTTGTTTTGTCCTACATGCGGGGTGCGGTGCTTCGCAACCGCAGGGCCGTGGATAAGGGATGAGATCGGCCGGGAACTGGTTGACAAGGCAATCTCGCCGACGAGATTTGAAGGAAGAGATAGGCTGCCTGTGTGGAGGATGGATCCGGCTCTGTACCTGGAACGGAAGACTGGGTATGTGAGTGTCAATGCACTCACCATTGACCAGGACCAGATCCATGAGCAGAGTCTGGACCTAAGGCACTTGGTCGACCAGAAAGAGGTTGAGTATATTGATTGCAAGGAGGGGAAGGGGGAGAAGAGATATACCTATCCTCATAAGGGGGGAACGTGGTGAGACAAGACTGATGCTACTGAATGAGAGGGCGGGCTTAACCCCTTCGGCCTCACCCGCTGCATCGCTGGCGCAGATTTAATCCATGATCAACCGTTTTTGATGTAGCGGGAGCAGCTTGCTGCCATGGAGATGATTGGAATCTCTACCTAGGAAATATCTATAATATAACGGTAAGCTCGCTCACTGCTTGCTAACTAACCTCGTAGGGTCAGGTGACCATACGACAGCTCGTCTAAGTAATCCGTTGCTGCACTCCACGATGCATCAGCAGTCTGCTAACACAATTTGAGCAGAGTAGGCGGCAAAGGAGCGATTATTTGGGGAAGTCTAGCCATCTGGCACTGTACCGTAGTCATGAAAAGAAGAGGATTCGATATTGGTGGACGAAGAGCAAGCGTACCTTTTACACAGTTGGCGGTGTCATGTCTGATCATAATCCGTCCATGGTGGCCCTGTCCGCATGAGACCACTGATCACATGCTAGGCTACTATATCTGATGAGACCTTGCTGGGGTTTCTCTTAGATAGAAAAAAGGCTGGGCGATTTTTATGGACAGATCTAACGGGTGTTGGAAGGTTGCATTTGGCTTCCGTGCCCTGAGAATTGCACATGCACATCCGGCTTGCATCCGCCACGGTGACCAGATGTGCCAAGGTACAGCCAAACTTAGGATGCGCACTGTATTGAAAGCTCAGCTGATTTTCTGGATGGAACCATACATCTTGCAACGGCTATACGCTGTGTTGAGGGTGGCTTTGACATAATTACTGATACAGTCGTTTTAACTCAGGAAGCTGCTTGTCAACTTATATCTCACTAATATGATAGAGATCATTTTTAATTGTGCTCTTTCTGATTAGAAACAGTCATGTCTCTATTTAAGAGTGATGACTGCCTGTAGATATTACAGTCATATACCTAGATGAGCACATGTTCTACGATCAAGAGCAATAAGTCAGAGGCAACCATTCACCTAAATTTTATCACAAATCACTGGATGCATGCACCAGGCTCCCTACTATTTGACACACAAAACCCAATAATGTCAGTTTTGGGCAGAGAAGCAATAGTGATAATGAAGGTACACTGATCGTTCAACTCACTGCATGCCTTGCATGCTGAATACTCCCATGAGACTCAATGTGAGTCAGCCGAGGTTTGGACAACTCCATACTATAGTTGATAATCTGAGAAAATTGAGAATTACCTAGTACACACTACGTAAATACAGAATTTGCTAATAAGAAGTCGCTAAATACTACAGTGGACTACTCTGTGTGTGTGCATATAACCGACTTAAAACCTTCCATTATGACCAGGTCGGTTGTCGAACCGGCCGTATGTACTACGGAAAAAGAGGAAATGAACACTATAACTACAAACTCATGAATGGACATACATACAGCGCTAAGCCACTCAGTGGAACTAACCAATAAACAGAGTATATTGATGTGCTCCCATGCTAGGTATCTTGTTTAGTATGCTTAAAGGCGCTAAATGATGTAACCTTGTCTGAGTCATTTACTATCCGCTATCTTACTTTTTGAGTCCGTGTTCCTGTTCTTCCTGGATGGAAATCCGAAAGTTCCATCTCATCTGCCATGGATTTCCACCACAGCGAGCTTCCATCTGAGGGTGATCTCTTCATATTCGAGCGATTTGATAAGGGCTATCACGCGGGAGATATATGCTGTGTTGTCTGTGGTGCCCCAAGCTTTGTAAGCTCTTCTCCAGTCCCCCTAAATCAATAGTCCGCTTATAAAAATCAAGGTGGTGGAAGACGAAGTGCGAAACAAGAATCTTGAGAGGTACAAGTGGTTTGTACCGCTGGCCATCAGAGCTGAGAATTATCACTACGAGAAAGATTGGGATATTGTGAGCCTGCCAAATCATGATCTACCGCTAGAAGTACTCGGGATAGATGGTGGGTTACTCTTTCAACTCTCATTCTTGTACGAAAACTATAATCTGCCGAAGAGATTTCTGATTCCTTAGATATCGAGATCGACGGTGTGCATTATGGGGAGCAGCTGTTCAAATTAGAACCCCTGCCTTACGGGGAGCACTCGTCGAAATTAGTCCACGATCTATATACGGAGTACCCGTATGCAACAGTACACTCGGAATGCCTTGACATGATGCGACGTCTGGTAGACTATCGCCAGGCTCTTCTGAAAGCTGGAGTGTCGGTTGGCCCAAAGCGCCCTACTACTCTCAGCCAGTTCTATGAAGTGTTTGAACAGCGATTAAATAGGGTGCATTGGCATTATCCTCTCGGACGCAATGGCACGTTCAACCCCCTTCGTGTAGTAGAGCCACATTACTATTACTTTCGGGACACCGACCTCTTTCACAATGTCATGTGGGCTTTTGGAGACCAGAAGGTCTATGTGAGTTCTGTATAAGTATAACCTATGGCTCTTCCATCCCATCACTAACAGCCTGCCCTTAGGAATATGAAATGGCACCATCTCCCATACCAGGACTCACTCAGGAGATCCTTTCATACCTGCGACCTCTTCCACCGTCCTTGCAAGGACAGTCTGGATTATCTCTTGGACTGGAGGCACTACCCACCGAGCTCCAAGACATGGTTTTCAAAAATCTACACCCTTTTATCAATCCCCCGCAGACATGCACCCGTTCCTTACCGTCAAGGCTGTGGCGTGACTTGCTTTTCTATCGGCAGATTTTACCATGGCTTTGGGATTTGGACATCTCCGCCCTACAGAGCTGCCCTGTGACATCCGATGCGGTGGACGTTCCGACATTTGAAGCAGAAGAAGTCTGGGATTGGGAGAGACTTGTTCGCACCCTTGCACAAGTGGAGGTGTTCGAACCCGGGCAACCTCTAGAGCATGCTCCCCTCCGCCTGCGGAATCGTCGGCGGATCTGGAGACTACTAGAGGAGGCCGAGGATGGAGATATCGACGAGTGGGTCGAGATTCATGTATATAAGAGAAAATGACGTGGATATATGAAGATACTAGTAAAACAATGCCATTCAGCCGAGGTTCAGTAGCTACTGTGTATGACCTGAATACAACCCTGCCCCAGTAAGAACCAGGATGCTCAGTCAGGGAATAGAATCTAGAGCAAGTATTTTTAATCCCGCTAGCCACGGTCAGTAAGATGGTATAAGTTCTACTTCGGCTTGAAAAGTTTTCATGAAATAGCAAAATGTTGGAGAATAGAAGCAAACCAGCTGCAACGAAAATGGGTGTACACCCGATAGCCCTGCATGCTGTGCTAATGGTTCCTGCGGTATGAGTAATGCGTTGATGTCGGCGAAGATGAAGTTGATCTCACTGGGCGAGGTGGATCCTGCGCTGAGCCTAAGCCTGAACATGAAGAGTACGGAAGGACGATTGAATTCTTGATAATTGTCCAGGGTATCAAGAAGTGACTGTTTTAGACTGTATTCTGTCTCGCCAACAACCATATATGTACTGTTCTTTCTAAATTCATATATCATTATCATTGTTGTCAGCTGAAGCTCGCCTCCGGTAACACCTCTCCAGTCCATCCCAAGAGTATCTACGAGCAGTATCTAGCTTAATACTTTGAGCTTAACCTACAATTCTACATGTATCATAGTAAAGCTCGCATCCCAAGGCTCTGGTCTTCCTCTGTATCTCCATTCATGGCCATAGGGGTGCAAGAGCCGAGGGCAACGTGGAGCAACAGAAGTAGATTTTCGTAGTGTTTCCTTACTCCGTCATGGACCCCCAGGGGCGTTCCTCTTATTGAAAGGTTTTGTGGTTACTACCCACTTCCTTCAGCTTCCGTTATGAATGTAGAGGAAGTGTTCTCGGAAAGCCAAACGCTGCAGCCGATATTTGCAAGCGTCCGGCGGCGTTGGGCATCTTCTTTTCGAAGAATGAAATGGATCATAAGCAATCAAAAGGGAGCAAGATACATGGGGGGGTGCGGTTCCCTCTAGCCAAAACCCGCCTCAAACCCGCGTTGGCGAGGTCTACGTGTACTCAATGAGATTGATAGGTTGAACGAGGAACCAAAACTAAGTGTTGGATACAATGGTAACGAGTGTCCTTGTACAGTTCCTTCCCGCCGGTTCTGCTATGTGCACGAATATCAAATCAACGATAGCAGCGGCTTGAATGCTCAAGGCCTCGCTGAGCTATAGTAGCCCTCTCTGGCATGCCTCAAAGGCAAACATTAAGTACTACACTTTTTCTCAGCTGCTGGCTCACTGAGATGGCGTATAGAGGTGTAGAATGACTTGCACGCTTCCTTCCTCCTTGTTTGCTGCCACTGCACCGAGCATTTTTGAAGGGCAACTGCCGGGTTACTGGCTGCGTCTTTGCCCATGCTGGCCTGCCAACAAGCACTTGTGAGGTCTTCCGTCATGGTTCGCAAGCCAACGATATCTGCTTGGGTCTCGTTTCCATGATTGAGAGTGATGTTTGCAGCGTACCAGATTTTGCTCGGGTGGTTCGCTCCCAAGACCGGCACTATCTGTCCTCCAACCGGAGTGATATTTGTCAAAGTAAGCACGTTTACTTTAGGCAGCTTATAATAGTCCGCTAGCCACTGGCGGGCAGGGCCCCCAAAGGCAACCATGGGCCGCGGTGTGTGGCTGTTCACCATGGGTCTCGTCCATTCTCGGACTAGATTGCTGCTGTACTCGTTGTAGTAATCATAGATGCCCTCCAGTTCTGCCCCGGCGCTAGCGGGCGCAGCGATGGGTGCAATATCCATGATCCGCTGGTAGCTGTCCGTCTCCTTGTCCACAACTCCGTTGATCATCAACAAGTTAGCCCAGCGTCGAGTGGTAGCGGCTTTGAGGTAATCCTGGGTTTGCATCATAACCGTATCCGGAGGAAAATGCAAGAGCTGCACGGTAGGGTGGTTCCGCAAAGCCATGCCTAGCGGGAGAAAGTAGTACCAGTCATTCTTCCACTTGCCATCTTTCTTCAACCTCTCTGTATCAGAGAGCCCGGAAGACCCTTGGTCCAGGAAGCTCGTAATGAATTGGCCGTAATCGGGAGGCACGCCGGTAATCGTGGCTGTGATATTGTCATGTTCCCGATGAATGCTTATGGTAGCATTTCTATACCCATCACGACGGACACTGTCAGCCAGCCAATGCTTGACGGTATCGTCGAGACTAGGTGGGGGATTTGGGCAACGCGTGGCACAGTTGGGATAGGAAAAAAGAGCAGTGACGTGGGCTACACTAGACAGATCAACATTAAGCGAGCTGTAGTCTTGTTGCAAGGCAGCACAGACAGCTGATGCAAAATGTATCATGGAGATTAGAAGGTAAATCATAGTTTTGCTCGGTTAGCGCATGCCTATATACTGTCGAGGGCTACATACACAAGGAAACGCAGCCTCTTTTATATCTCTCCAACAGGGTCACCCAATACGCGATACGAGCACATCTTCAGGTGGTGTATGTCACCCCTCGCCTCCTTGTGTAACAAGATAAAAGCTTGTTATCCTGTAATGGTTTGCCTGGCCACGATGCATGCAGTAGGCTTATTCGAATATAGTACAGCAGGTCACATTTTGATTGAATTCAATGCACTGTAATGGCAACAGATAGATTAAATCCTATATTACTCATTGATGTCTGTGACCGTGCAAAGTGCGTTATGATACAGTGGACGGAGGCTATACTGAGCTTTAACTTCTTTATAGTCCCAACACCGCATGCGGAAATTCTCGCCCACTGTTATGAGCACTTATTGCTTTCACTCTGCTCCTTGTAATGCACTCCCGGCTTAATAAAAGAATCAGATTTCCAGTGTGTTTGGATGATCTCATAGACTCCAGACCTATTGAGTGGCCGGTCAATGATGCCATTACAAATCATGTCCGGGATGTCCGTGGCTTAAATCTTCCCAATGGTTCAAGTCCCCAACTCAAAGGCAGCGATCGTCCCGAGCTTGATCTGGTCCCATTTACCCTTTCAGCCCTGTCTTATGTATCGTAATTCATATGGGATAGAACCAGTCACTAGTAGAGTCTACAGGGGGGATACAGCGTCTTTGTCCTTTGATAACCACTAGAATACAACTTTATGTTATAGATTATTATGTTGACGTTGGCGTTAGGATTATTACACCACTAATCCTTCCTTTTCCTCGCAAGTGTCCCCTGTCGGCATGCCCTTTATTGTGTACTTAGTGTGCGCTGCCTTGTTCTGATTCTGCCCTTTTATGCTTACTATTCAGTTTAATACTATAAGCTTCTGCTTTTATCTGAACTTGATCCGTAAAATAATAGGAAATCTGGCCCAAAGCTTAGCCCACTTGCCTGTGCGTTGCTCTCGCCGGTGTTTGCCATCTAAGGTACGAGGGCGAAGTGTCCGTTTCGATTTTCTAGGATATCAAAAATCCGTAAAGAGCCTTAAGAAACTGGTGGCCATTTTTGCCACGTGACCCCTTCCCTGACGGCTTGTTTTGATATAGATTACCGAGATTCTTGTCACCCGCTGTGCCAGGCCTGTCCGGTCACTGAGACAGTGCGACATGGATCATACTTATCCGTGCGCCTATCTTGATATCCTGTACTCTCAAGATCGCGGGCCCGCAACTGTTCGTCGGAGGAACAACAACGTACGGAGGACGGTGCAGTGATGTTCCGGCCTGGACCGGCTTCTGGAGCGGAATTCGAGTCCAGACGCCCCCACCAGCGTCGATCACCAACTTTCTTTGTTTTTGATCTTCTGTTACTACTACAAGCTGCATAGTACTCTATCACATATCTTTCTGAATCACAACACATTTGCCTAACACAGAAATGTCTCCCCCGACAAGTCCGCATCCCTCAGCAAGTCCTCATCACCCAAACACCTCACGCGCGCGCAGTCTCAGAAGTGCCTCTGTAGAAGCGTCACCCCGTTCTCCTCAACAGATTTTCAATGAGATTGTTTACCAAGTTCCTAAAATCAAAGAGTTTACCGAACTTATCTACGAAGACATCGATCCAGATGATGGTTCCTTGCTCTGTTTATCACTAGTAGAGGAAAAACGCATTGAAAGAAGATGCGTAAGGTATGACATGCCTTTCACTAACACACAAATAGTTTGACCTTTACTAAAATTTCATAATAGAGTCAACTTTAACGCACATACCCATGTACTCAGAATCAAGGTTATGCCGACTCGACTCCACGACGTCCACCAGCGGTGGGCTACAGCTACTATGGCGACATGGGCTCTTAATGGTCTCTTAAATCAAGATGAAGTCGACCTCCTTTGTGGTTCTGCTGGCTCGAGTATGTACTGTTTACCTCTGCTAGGTTATTATGGTACTAATACATCTTAGCTTTTACTGGTTTTACTGGAAACTACCGAGGTTCTTCCAAAGAACCAGACTACTATTTTTGCCCTAACAGCAGTGCTTTCCCCTCGCTTGTTATTGAAGCAGGTTGGTCTGAATCCTTCCCGCATTTGCGGAATGATAAGGATCTATGGATGGGTGGATGCCTGTCTGTTGAGTTGGTCCTCTTAATAAGATGGACAAAGATCTCTGGTAATCATGTCAAGGAAACATTAGAGGTCTGGAGACGCAATGGGGCGGGAGGCCTCAGTGTTACAGAAATGGTTAGTATCCTTTTTCACTCTCAGGCCTACGACGGAAAGCTAATATTAAAGAGTTTAGCCAATATTTCCTCGTCCGGTTCCTCTGCCCGCAAGTGAACTCATTCAGTTTACCAAAGGCCAGCTCTTCGGACCAATGGTAATAGCTGGCCAGAATCCTAGCACAGTACTTTCTCTCGACGTGGCCAGGCTGAGGGTGATGGCTGAGGAGGTCATTACGATGAGGATGGGCTTGACACCTGCATAAGTGGATCTACCAGGTTTGACTATAGCAATTCTCCCTTATTTTTCAGCTTACTTGCTAATTGCCGAAGCAAAAGAAGAGATGTGGGGTTCTGAGGAAGCATCTTGCTCTCACATCTGCCGACAACCAATGCGATAATTAGGATGAACTTGTCTTGTATAGCCTGCCTTGCTCAGAAGGTCTAGCATTATTGCCATTAATAATCCTTACCTCTAAGGCTGAACTTGATAAAGCACCCACTTCCCATCCTATTACAGTACTTGACTATCAGAGGTGTTGACCTATTAGTCACCATTAATGTGGCACTCCACATCAACCTACCTCTAAATGTTCAGCATATTCTAAGTTCCTTAGATGGTGTAGTTGCAGTGGAATGATGTGGGTTTGCTCTCCCAGACTGCTTGGCTGTGTCTATGGACCTTGAAAAGCCATGCCTTCCCATCAGTATGGCTCAGTATTCTAACTTTAAATTTTCTGTCATCAATTGCGTTAGCCGGTCCAGATTTATTCATAGAATAGCTCCCCAATATGACTATGATGCCGCATCTTCTCGATCTATTGTCACCGGTAGAAATATTGCTTGTAAGTTTGTACCTTCGCAAACACAGCTATTGTATAATGTGAGCTGATGATTCAGGCTGTGCATCATCCAAACAATGCATATCTGAGTGTGAAGATTATTGATTAATATTAAAGATTATTCGAGATATAATTAAAGCATTGAGCAGTAATATTTCTAACTCGTTAATAACTAGTTAGTAATTTACAATTATACACTTGCTGGACTTATTCCATAGTCAATCAGTATGACACTGAACTTTCCAAGTCCTAAGGAACAGCGTGGTTTGGGACCCGGTGCATGATGGAGGGCGACCTTGGTGCAGCAAATTCCCTAACCAGACGTGGACAAATTGCTAATGCATATTACAGTGGACCGCACCTAGAGCAGGGAAGATAATGAAGACCTGACACATAGTTGCGACCTTCGTGAGAACTTTTTCCAGAAACCTCTTGGACTTTCAGTAGGATTTCTCTCTTGAAGATATCATGAGACCTGCCATAACAGTCCGCCCTCAGGACCTTGAGTGCTACGAATCTTTGATATCTAAGCCATAGGTTAGTTTCGCGTACGAATGGTGACGGGTGACATACATATAATCCCTAGCAAGCCATACTGTGGAATACTGCCCATATCCCAACTTCCTCAGGACAGTGTATTGACCAGAACCAAGGGTGTCACCTAGGGAAATGGGATGGAAACCCCCGGCTTTGTAATAGTCCGGTTCTTCTGCGACTGGGCACGTGTTCACACGCTCCAATGATGCGAAGTGAGATGGTGATCCAAAGAGTTTCGATATCTGGGACCGAATGTTCATTAAAGACGCTTTTATCGAAGTCATAGTTTGACAAAAGACACTCAATGGGGTGACACAGATTATGGAACTTATGGAGAAATCACTGGCGGAGCAGGGGCTAAAGTCACTGGATTTCCGTCCTTGGGCAAGAAGCTTTAAAGCTTAAAAGCTCCTGCTTGTGAGTACTGGCTTTTCTGCGGTAATGTCCCATAGCCCAATATGGCTTGTAACCGTCGGCTTTCCCTTAATACATGTTAAGTTGTTGAGATGCAAGTATCATGAAGATAAAACAGGAAGCACAAGCTAAAATCACAGTATGAGTATTATATTCCTTTCCGGCGCCATAGAGACTTCAGATCCGCTGTAAATGCATCTGCAACGACGAAACCCCTTGTCGAAATGTCTCGAAACATTGCATGAATTGACTCTGTTTCTGTAGCGGCTGTTACTCTTGCGCCTGCTACTCTCAACGGGAAGAAAAACAACACAGCCGCCAAATTTGTGGTCTTCAAACTAATCTCAGTTATCCGTAGAATCGCATCGACGTGTTTCTGAACAACGGCCTGCGAGATTGTGGGTGTGGGTATTTCGTTGAATTGAGCGCGGTAGTCGAAGATTCCAGACAGGTAGATGGAGATGCTGTGAAAATATATTGTTGCGATAATGGACTGGGGATTATGTGCGGGCGTACAAGTATTGGCCGACCACTTTTGGAAGGTCGCGTACCAATCATCAAGAGCTGACCGAACAATGAAGCCTTCAGCGGCAAGCTCAAGAAGGGCCTCGTGAAGGAGCATGCTCGGATGATTGGAGCCCGGTTTAAGCAGATCCCATACCCTGAGCTTGGTCAGTCATACAGTAAGATATAGAGGGCCTGTGAGTGTACTTGCCGGTGACTTATCGAAGAACAGGTGATCATCAAATCAAACAATGATTCTTTTGGGTGCCAGTCGTTGTTGACATGCTCGTTCCAGATCTCAGTTGTGAGTGACATCCATTCCGGCCGGCAGAGAAAAGTAGGTTCAGGGTATATGAGGGCGCGACAAATCTCAAAAACTCGTACTGTGAGGAAAAATGACCGCCCGGAGCCAGATATATGGGCTTCTGGGCCACGAAGCTGAAGCATATTGGACGTGCCGTACAGAAAATGCTTCACCCAGCCTTCTCCAGTCATATCGTGCATCAGCTAATCGAAAGGGTTAACCTCAAGCTTCTGATATAATTTGCGGCCAAGGCACTGTTGACCTACTTCGAACAGTCCCAAGAAAAACGTAGTCCATAAATTGACGTCTGGTGGCACGCTGTTGCTTACAATCTCGACTTTCAATTTGGCGATCGACGTGTGGTAGGCCGTTAATGCTCCCACAGCCGCATCTTTCCTCTCCAGAGGTATATTCAACAGCGTCTTCCTACTCAGATCAAGTGCACCCAGGGCAATGGATGCGTGATACATGCTGGGAGACCTCTGGAATTCCGACATGATAGAGCCGAGGTCCAGGGGGCCACCAAAGTCATTTCTTGCCAGAAAGTCTGAGAAGAAATGCTTTACAAATAGAGCTGAGCTTCCTTCCGAAACCTTGGGGCAGAGCCTAAGTGTGGGAAGATGAGTGGGGGGCGAGAGACAGTCGGACCTTTTGGATGGCGCAGTGACATTGACAAAGACAACGCTAGCCTTTGGCTGAACTGCTTGAGGGACGCATTGCTGTTTCTTTTTTATACAATACCGACAGGGAGGACCACCTTCGCACTACAGAGGGTCAAAATAGAGCCGGGGGGGAAGGAATGAACTGTTTTCGCTGGCAGATTCGATGAGAAGGAGTTGCTGACCTTGATTCTGCGTCGTGTACAGGCCGCGCACCTGGTACGAGCAGTGCGCCGATCGAGTGGTCCCAGGACAGCCATTCTCAAACTAACTGTCGGAAAATTTCATGGGCATTCCATGCAAGAAGTGTTACCCCTCTCAAGTTGTACAGAGCGGAAGGTTGGAACCTTCCCATGCCAAGATATATCCGCCTTTCCCGAATAGGCAGCATTTGAACGCAGTTCTTGGCACAGGCATCAGCCACAAGATGAGATAGAGCCGAGCATATCACATATCGCAGAAAGAATCCACAAACGCGCTGAATCATTGCCTTATTAGTTAGTATGAACGTCAAGATGAGCCGACTCATCAGACCAGATGGACGCCACAGAGTCCGCAGGATTGACTCCAGAATCCTATATAAGATGAAGAGATTCCTCCCGTTTTTCCCTGCAGCAAGATAATTCCCTATCAATTCTTTCCTATAACACAATTCTTTTCCCTTACCCTTAACTACTTGCTATGATGCTCAACCTCTCTGCAAAACACCTTATGTTCGCTGCTCTTTTTACCCAGCTTCTCCTGAACAGCAATGCGGTGTCCTTCCCCGGCACAGTAGGCCCATACAACACCAGCATCGCAACAACCCAGCTCATTGATCATCATCGTTTGGATCCCTACGCCCCAACGCCACAGCCGCGTACTCTGATGATCTCTCTCTTTCATCCCGTCCCTCCTGCAGCATGTTGCCCATCCCTGACGTCCTACATGGACCCCATCACCGCCACCTTCGAGGATGAACAGTATGCACAGACTGGCATCCCAGCAGGCGCCTTCGGCTCACTTACCCTTCAAACCTGCAAGCCATATACGAATCCAACTTCGAGTGGCCGGGTCAAGGGCCCAAAATTTCCGCTCGTTCTCTTCTCACCTGGCCTGGGGAACACTCGACTTTTGCACAGTGTTATGGCCCAGCAGTGTGTACTCCATATCTTCATTCCCTGCTCATCTAGAGCTTTAGATATGCAGGTCTCGCTAACTTTCACTTCCCTAACAGACTGTCCAGCACTGGCTACATCGTCGTAACCGTCGACCATCCGTATGACGCAGGCATCGTAACATTTCCTGACAATACCACAATCCTCGCCGCAAACATTACAACCGATAACCAGATTGTGGATGACCTGAACATCCGCGTGAGAGACGTATCCTTCGTCCTCGACCAGCTCCACCGTCCGTCCGTCATCTCAAAGCTCATCCCAGGCCAAACATGTGGGCTAGATACCTCTAAAGTGGGAATCTACGGTCACTCCCTTGGGGGCGCCACCGCAGCTGAGGCCATGCTTTCCGATTCCCGTCTCAAAGGGGGTATCAATCTGGACGGTTCATTTTTCGGCTCTGTTATCAACCGGGGATTGGATAAGCCCTTCATGATAATGGCACATGAAGGGAAGAATCTGACAACTGATGTCACTTGGGGCGCTCTGTGGCCAAAGTTGAAGGGTACCAGGAGACGATTTATGATTAATGGGAGTACACATGGTACATTCACAGATTTGGCGCAGGCTGCTGATATCGTTGGTCTGAGAGAGGAGTTTCCGACACAGGCGGCCGCATTCTTGGGAAGTATTGATGGGGGAAGAGCCCTTCAGGTCATTGCTACTTACACTAGCAGATTCTTTGACTTTGTTTTGAAGGGGAAGAAAGTTGAGTTATTGGATATGTCCAGTAAGGAGTTTCCTGAGGTGACTGTTGGGGAAAATTAACTCCTGGTAAGGTACCTAGTTCTAGGAAGTGCTAAGATATTATAAGTCCATAGCCTGACTCAGTAATCTTGTCCAATACATGCAGCAGTAATCAAGCTAAAGTACTATTACAGGCCTTGATTCACTCATCTACTTATAGCATACCAGATAATTCTTCCTTACCTCTTTCAGCCCTCTCCCTAAGTTTTATGCAGAGAATGCATGGTATAGTGTACTAGTAGATAAGCTGCTAGGTTAGATTTTAGCATTCCTTATAATTACACCCTCTATCTTGCTATACTAATAGGTTATTATAAACCTCTGTTGCGACAGCATAAAATGCATCTACAGTAACATACTTAGGAGGTATATTAATCCCAGCAGCTCGCAGACGTGCGGCTACCTCTCATTAATGCACAGGAATCCTCCCACTTCCAAGCAGCCAATCAACCACTGGGAATCTCTTTTGGTCAATCAGTCACACACGATAGCGGACCCTGCTTACCAGGCGCTAACTTCTTATGCGTGATTGGGCAACAGATGCCATTGCTTTTGCCCTTGTGCTGCCTGACCTAGACGGTGGCTTTGGTGTCCTTCTTCCTCACCAACCATAAGTTACCACAAATACGAAAGAGCCATTTGGACTCTCCGCCTTCTCACAATCATCGCTGTTCTCCAGGGACATCCGTTTGTCCTCAGGTTCCTGTGCGGGGCGCTATCCACAAAACACTTTTTTTTGTAGGGTGAATCAGTTGAAAATACAGCTAGAACATGGAGGGACGAGAAGTTGCTGCGTCCAAGTAACCCGCAATTTTTGTCGGGAATTTGCAGAAACGCATGATCCATTTCCTCTGGTCGAGAACCTATAAACCGTCATGTATAAGGAGGACAATTAGCTGAATGTCCCTTGACGGCAAGGAGAATAGTCTTGCCCGAGTGGACCACTGAAGCTCTGGATTGAACCATTGAGTAGGGCGTTTGATCCTGGCCTCCACAGGCGTTTATCTAATAGCTCAGTGGTCGTCACGCTTCCTCTGGCTGCTTGCTTGTCACTGGCGCAGGAGGAAACCAATCTGACCTGCCTCGCAGTGAAGCCCCAAAACAAAATGTGAGTAGTCAAAAGTGCGTGCCAAAAGGTTGAAAGAATCTGTGCGAGGTGGCTGTGTTCAGCCGCAGCCTTGCTCAAAACCCGAGCTCCTCCGCTCTTTATATCCCACGACCTCCCCAGGAAAAGCTAGAATCACAACACTAACGACCGAAACAATGGTGGAACCGCTCACTATAATAGCGAGCGCGGCCTCACTTCTCGCAGTATGTTCGAAAGTCACCGTCGAGCTGAAGAAATTTCGCCATGGAGCGGCGGAAGCCCACACGAACGTCACGGCAATGTTGAACGACATGAGAGGCTTACGAGATGTCCTCCAGTCAATGGAAGATACCTTCGACGAGTTGCAAGTCCAGCCTTTAAGTGGCCACATTGGGATTCACTGGAAGAACCTTTTGAGATCTCTCCATGATGGACGCAGTACTCTTGAACAACTTGAAGAGCTTCTCACTAAGATCAACAAGCAAGTCGCTTTCCTAGACTCCACGCGGCGCAAAGTACGCGAGAAGAGCGCTGTGGAACAGATTGTAAACTTCCGGCAGCAAGTACAAACGTATAAGGATGCAATGCAGCTCTCATTACAAACCATTATCTTGTAAGCTCACTTCCCAGCAATATGGTATCAATGAATAACAATAAGGGAAAGCTGGCACCAGGTCTCTATCCAAGAGTCAACTTCAAAAATCCTGCCTAATCTGAACGCCATGCATTCGGACATCCGTCGGCTTGCAACAAACCTGGACATCAAGCTTCATGGACTGCAAAATATGCTCTCTGGGAGGAACCAGCAAAAGCAAATGACTGGTGTCCAAAATCTAAAAGAAGTCATTCAGTCGGCCGCCACGGTCCTTTCATCCGCTTCCACAATAACCTCCAAAGACAAGGAGGGAAACGATGCCCTTTCTGGGTATGTGGACGATTTTTGGCCTGATTTCAATGCAGACTGGTTTCGGACCAAAGCAAGTTTATCAACCTTGGATTGGGTCTGCTCCACTAGTGGGAAATCACCCCCCTTCGAACTGGGCAATACGAGCTTTCAAGAACCCTTAACGACGAGTTCTGATATCCATGGTGGGTCACTGGAGGTTTCTCCATCACCTACACAACCCGTAGTACATTTGACTAGGGAAGGCTCGGGCCATTGTTTTGACAGGCTCTTACCTAGCAGCCGGGAACAACAATCAACCGTGTTCAATTTGGAAACTCGAAATAGCGACCATTACCTACTAAAGGATAAGGCTGTTGCGACTGAAACCCCCGCAGAAGACAGTTATCTATCACGCCCTGTCCCACCATCCCTGCCAATGCCGGCTCATCAGCAGAGCAAAACATCTGGACCAAACTTATCACCGTTGTTTGCTTCTCCTTTCAGGGAAAAGCGACGATCTCTCATTCAATTTTTCTGGAGGAAGGGCTCTGCTAATAAGAGATCCACACCCAAGGCAAGGCGGGACCTAGCGCTGACGGAAGACCAAGGGCACAAACAGTCCAGAATACGAATGAAGTTTGTCTTTGTGGGCGACGGTGCATGTGGGAAAACATGTCTTCTAATGTATGCTTTCTTCCATTGCCACTTTCAATCTCCAATTGACAATCCTCAAGCCGGGCGTCTAAAGGCGTTATGCCAGAGGTAAGCCATGGCACTCTATCGGATCTGTGAATATATAGAGCGCGGCTGAATCCCGTCTCAGGTCTATGTTCCCACCGTCTTCGAGAACTACGTGTGCCAAGTTCAGGCCTACGGAGAGTCTGTCGAAGTGGCTCTGTGGGATACTGCTGGGCAGGAGGATTACGATCGATTGCGATCCCTCGCATATCCTGACTCCGACGGCGTCTTCATATGTTTTGCTGTAGATTCTCCGGACAGTTTGGATAACGCTCAAGAGAAAGTAAAGTATTCCGTGCGACAAGACAGAGAAGAGGCCCGTTTCTAATCGCTGTTATGCAGTGGATAAGAGAGGTATTGCACTTCTGCAAAGAGGTTCCTGTTTTCCTCCTAGGGTGCAAGAACGATCTTCGTGACGACCCTTCAACTATTGGAGACCTTTTAAAGACTTCACAATACCCGGTGAAATCTGCTGTGGTACGGATGACCTTGTATGCATGTTTATGAGGACCATTGACTAAACGTTCTTCATGTTATAGGCTGAAGAAGTGGGCCGAGGCTTGGGCGCTGTTGAGTATTTTGATTGTTCTGCAAAGACCGGAGCCGGCGTCGATGTAGCCTTAGAGAAAGCGGTTAGGCATGTGTTGCACGGAGAACTGGCACAGGAGAAAGGGAGAAAAGGCCGCAGTTTCTTCTAGCGAGGGTCATTACCCCTATGCTTGCGACCATCAATACATAGTAGACGGTGTTTAGGGAGGAATTACCTATTCATTCCATTCAATACGAAGATTGTATTTCCTGAGCAAATTGATAGAGGTGTTGTCTAGCGGCTGTGATGATGGATCCAATTCTTTATAGGCAAACAATGGAAGTGCTCAGGCTCGCCTTGCCTCTTGGCCACTAAAGTTTGATAGGGTCGATGCGGTTGCGTTGTATGGTAGCTGTTTGAATAGCTTCAAGGTGTGAACGCATGAATATGGTGAGGATGCTCAGCGTGCCTGGGTTGTCCGGTTGGGAATTGTTGATATAATTTTCCGCTTACGCGAATGGACTGATTCCCGCATGTTTCTATTGTTCGGATCGAACCCTAACCGGATATTACAGTCGGTGTCAAGTACAATCGCCAGCCCCCTGTGGGATAGGGTTTGTTCAGAGTCAATCATGTCCATGGATGACGGGCTGGAGGAGCTTTGATGATTGCGGTAGGTCTCCCCGCAGATCCCTCATCCGGGACTAAGTGTCATGGAAGCGCAGGAAGCCCGTTATAGTGCGAACCACTGCGGCACTGCCCAGCACTGGGGAACATATGTAGACTGGTGGCTTGGGATGTTGAAGGTAACTTCGTTCTGGAAGGCGCCCCAATTCCCCGCGACGTCTCCCTCACTCTGGAGCCATATTGTCGGTCGGCACTGTGTAGCAGGGCCTATTGGACGCTCAGTTATGAGGAGGGACGGAGTGTCGAAAGCTTTCATTGCTTTACACATATGAATTCGCTCATTTCCCCAACCTACAAAATTGAAACCCCTCATTACAAAGAGTGAACGCGAGGAACCTTGCTGGATACTAAGATAGGTACGACGCATCTAAAAGTGCAAGAGAGCTCGAGGCTAAGCAAGAAGTCAATTCACTGGAAGTAAGACTGTTATAAAGCTGGTTTAATGAAAAAAAGCTTCTAAGTATAGCAATGTGTGCGGTGCTGATGTTTATTTAGTTATATGCATAAGGGATACTAGTCATGTCCATATATTTTCTACGGATTAGGGCAGCTCGCGAGTGCCGATAGGCTCGAGCATACAGCAGGCCTTGCCCGCTACAAGGATCTCTAAAAGAGATATGAAATTATCTCTATACATACACTATACATAGACAAGATAGTAAGATAGTTATAAGAGAGGGAAATCCATAGTATTACTTATACTTATATTAAACTACTATACTATTTTGATCTAGTAAATAATAGCTTCTCCCTAAGGTGATGTTATTGACTATGGTTCTAGCTTACTTCGACTTTAGGACTAGCACAGTCACAGTCTGCGGTTGGACGTTATCTCTCAGGAGAAGCAGTAATCACTTAAATATTCCTGTCTAAACTAATTCAAAACTACTAAAGCTTGAGGAAAACTCAGAGGAAATGATGCTGTCATTCCTTAGGTATCAGCGAGTCTGCGTTTGTGTTATAAAGCATAAAAGGCGGTGATGGACTCAGAAATGCCTCTGTGGTGTAGTTGGTTATCACGTGAGTCTCATATTGCCTGTATGATCAGAAGTTGCACTTCTGAGCCATCTCAAGGTCGGGAGTTCGATCCTCCCCGGAGGCAATTTTTTATCTATTTCTTTTGGACCTTGACCAAAGCAAGATGGAATTAGATTTGCATGAATTTACGGATGAAATTATTGCCAAGATATATATACCTGAGTCTATTATTTACAACTGGATGACAGACTACTGCAAGCCAGCCTGCAGCCTCTTCTCTCTGATCACCTCTCTCATATACGGACTCTTCTCGCGTACTTTCCTCCCCCAAACAATAAAAGCGATCGGGGCGACAACCAGAGACAAGCTGATGAACGCCAGCAGCGTACTGGCCCACTGGAACCCCAGCGTATTATACATGCTCATGGCCGCCAACGGCAGAAACGCCGAAAAGGTATTCTCCCCCAGCACGAAACATGCCATCACACTGCCGGCGTACTGGCTGTACGCATCGACAATGTAATCCGCCAGTCCAGAGACCACCACCACGCTGCCTGCGCCGACCATGAACAGTCCCACCGCTGGGGCGACCCACGGTAGCGTCGGATATGAGGTCCACGCGTACACGAACATGCCCCCGGAAATACCCACGACGCTGCCGGCTACGGACAGGTACAGCCGTGCTTCGGGGATGGGGAGACCAGGCATCTCGGTATTGCGACTGGCCGACGCGAAGTATAGCTTGGCCGAGAGGATGGAGAAGAACCATCCAGCAACTTCGCCAATCACAATGGCGGCCTGGACGTATCCGGCTGTGACAGGACCCCAGTCATACAGACCTACAAACACCTGCTCGACGGACTGGGTGAAGAGGTACAGAGTGCCGACGGTAAAGGCCGACCACAGCGTCGAGAAGAAGACCACGTACTCGGTGACCAGCATCTTGAGCGGCCGCTGGATGCTCGTGGCCAGCAGCTGCAGCAGAGGCTCAGCGTCGAGTTCCTGGCGAGTATATGCATTCTGCCCTTTGGCGCGTAATCGCTTCGCACGCTGGTGGAGGATGATCGCAGCGCGCGATTCCTTGAAAACCAAAAAGTTGACTGGGAATAACACCCCGTACCAGATCAACTGCAGGTAGGAAATCCATCTCCAGGATAGAAACTGAAAGATAGACGCTCCAATCACCGGGCCAACGCTGCTTCCCGCCAAATAGGCCCAGATCCAGAGACTGACGGGCTTACTGCGCTGCTTCTCCGTTTCCCACACATTCCCGATCACGCTGGCGGCACTGTTACCAATGACGGTGACGCAGCCTCCCGCAAAGAAACGCGTAATGACCAGCGTCTCAAAGTTCTGCGCCACGCCTTGCGGAATGACAAAGAGGATCAACAGGAGATGCGTCAAGAGGAACGTTCGTCGGATGCCAAAGTCCTCCATGATGGGGAGGATGAGGAGAGAGAAGAAGACGCCTCCGAGGGCCCAGAAGGTCACAGGCCAATACGAGTGCGGGAAGACGGCATCGCTGATCCCAAATCGCTCGTTGATGGCTTCATGGGCGACGGTGATGATGGTGCCGTTCATGAGGGCCACAAACGTCATGAGCAGCGAGATGCAGGTGATGAGCCATTTTCTCGCCTTGGACCAGTTCAGTGGGTTTTCCGGATCGTCTGGTCCATCCCAATCTACGATGGTCACGTCTGAGCTCACTGAGAGCGTGTCAGTATCTGGACAGCATTTATATATAAATCTATACTGACACTTACCGGAATCCTGATCCCCACGGTCATTGGCAAACATTCTTAATGCTCAGTGCTATAGACCTAGCTCTGCCATTGCTCAGGCCAGACAGCCATATATATACACCATCAACCTCTCAGCCGATTGACCCAACATGGTTAGCTGTGGAAAAATCGGTGGCCACTCTCGTGCTGGACTTCCCCATGTGGTCTGGAATCATGAAGAAAGCGCCGAACCAATGAGACTGGAACTGTGGGCATTGGTGGACCTTGGTAGTGCGTGGGAGGAACAGGATCTGGTTCGAATTACATAAAGCAATTAATCATGCTTTCAGTGCCTGACTCTCTTGGCATCTTGTACCTGCTTCATAAGTTATGAATATACACATCGATTTACAGAGTATTAGAGTGCTGATAGCGGGAATAGGTACGAGTCTTCAATTCCCAGCCTGAGACTGAATAGAATGCAGTGTGTGATGATGCCTATAGAATACTGTGTTGCCAGCCAGTTGCCACACTGACTTCACTGTTTTCCTACTTCTTCCGCTAAGCTTCTCCAATGAGCTGCCTATTCAGGCTAGTGCCAGGAGAATTCAAATAGATGCTTATGATTGGATGGCAAGATGGCAGGTACTAACTGTGCTTGGTTGCTTATTTGAGTCTGTGTGTCAATGCACAAAATACGCCGAGATCGACAGAGGCATGGATGCTGCATTATCAGACAGCATGCTCGACTTTTATGACAATAAGAGTTTCTCTTGATTTGCTTATTTTGGTGATTATTAAGACATCCCATAAGTCGGTATATCTCTAATACACCTATGCTCATATCTCTGTTCTATCCCCGGCGATGGCACTGCGACTATCAAAGCTCTGCGCCCTTTTCAAGCAGATATTGATAAAAAGGATCATGTGAGTGAACCAGATGTAAAGCAGTCTGCCCATAGCTGTCCCGGGCGTTGACGTTTGCCCCAGCCTCGACTAGAATCCTGGCTGTCTCCTCGTTCCCCGCCGCTATCGCCCTCTCAAGACAACTCCACCCGTCCTCGTCTTGATCATTGGCATTTGCCCCGTGGGAGAGCAAAAGCCTTACGAGCTGAGGATCCCCTTCTTCCCCGGTCGCGAACATAATCGGCGTGCGCCCTTCCGCGTTTCGGGCATGGACATTCGCTCGACCGGTCCGGAGCAGCATCTCAGCTATCTCGTAGTTATCCTCCCCGAAAATCTCACAGGCAATAAGCAGCGGGGTACAACCGGAATCAGATACAGGATTGGGATCGACGCCGTTTTCCAGGAGATACCGCGTGACCCGGACCATTCGATTGTCGACTGCGTGGATGAGTCGATTGGGACCATCGGCATTTGCAAAGTCCGGATCAGCGCCTCGTCGGAGCAAGAACTCGACGGCCTCATCTTGACGTCTCCAGAGGGCCGTGTGCAGCGGCGCGCCTTGACCGCGGATAGTCATGTCTGCGCCGTTGGCGAGCAAGAGCTCCATCATTTCGAGATGACCGCCCGCGGCAGCCACAGCTAAAGGAGTCCGGCCCGCATTGTCTGGTTTATCCACTTCGATGCCCAGCTGTATGAGCATTTCAACCAGCGGCTGATCTTTCCGCCGTACGGCGATATGGAGGAGTGTTTCTCCGTCAGTTTGAATGTCTATCCTGGCACCACGGGCCAAGAGCGCTTTGAGTATGGGGATGGACCCGTTGGTGACAGCCCAGTGGATGGGCCGTATCCCGCGAGAGTTGGGCGAGCTTGGATCTACTCCATGCCGCAGGAGAAGATCCACAACCATTTCGTGGTTTTCTCTGGCCGCCCAGCACAGAGCCGTCTCTCCGTCCTCGCCGACATTTTCTGTCCCGACGCCCCACGCAAGCAACGTCTCGACGACATCTGCGTGGCCCTCCTTGGCCGCGTGCCCGAGAGCAGTGAATCCGGTACGGTCCCGAATATCCGGATCCACTCCATGAGCAAGGAAATACTGGACCAGTGACTGGTGTCCCATGACTGCAGCAAGCGATAGAGCTGTATACCCACAACAGCTGAGTGGATTACACCCGCGACTCATGAGGAACTCGACCAGAGCTTGACTCCCGCTTCTAATGGCCGGATGGAGTGCCCGGGCGCCTGTAGACTCATACTGCTGGAGATCTGCGCCTCGCTCGATCAGGAGGAGAACACATTCCAGAGATCCTCGTTCTAAAGCGAAATGCAGCGGTTGTTGGCTGAACGGGGTGGATGGCAGGGTAACCTTTGTGTCTTCCCGGGCTAATAATACTCGCATGGCTGCGTCGTGTCCATTTTGGATGGCCAAAGAAAGGGGCACCTGAGGAAATTGACGGTTCTCGTTCGGGCTGGCCCCATAATCCAGTAAGAGCTGCAAGACACCATCGTAGCCTCGTTCGGCTGCAACGTTCACCAGCGGTGGCTCACTTCTGTCTTCATCGCTGTCTTCGTCCTCGTCGTTCGGGTCCGTCTTGGGTTTACCCTCAATAGGTGCACCTAGCTCTAGGCATTTTCTAACGGTACCCTCAGAACCCACATACACACCCCAGCGAAGAGCAGAGCTGTGGCAATGTCGGATATTATACTGGTAGAGGAATCGGTTGAGCGGTGGGTAAAGTTGACGGCTAGTCTGCGCAAGGGCGTTGATGTCCTTCTCTCGCGACAGATTATCGGCCAAGAGAAAGAGGATATCATCTGGCAGTCGTAAAATGGACATGGGGATTCTATGATGCTCTATGTGATGAGAACCGATGGATGGATGGATGGATGACTGGAGGAGGTTGTCGTGAATTTGAGGGGTAGAGAGACTAAGCTAAATGAAGGCATACGCATCATGCACGCGATTGGCCGCATTCTGTATGCATGTCCTTCTACAATACAAGAATCGATTGGGTATGCAGGGCTGCTATATGATGATGATTGATGATACTTCTAACCTCTCTCCTAAGTGTATTACCTCTGCTCTTGAATAATGATCCGCATATATCTGGTACCCATCAGTGTTCTGCTCTCTATCAAAGCTGGTGACTTACATGCTCATGCCCACCAACGCCAGCATAATCCCAACAATGCTCTGAAAATAGATGGGATGCGTGCTAAAAGCCCATCCCAGCCCGACAATGATGCACGTCTTGAGCTGACCGACCACAGTCCCGCTGATGGGTCCCGCCAAGTCGATAATGAAAAACTGCGAGAGATTCACCAAGGAAGCAAAGATGCCGCTCTGTACTCGTTAGAAGAACCGAGGACAGGACGTGGGTTCAGAGCCATACCATTAAGATTAAAACCCACATGGACACTGGAACAGCCCCCAATGGCGGCGTCGCAGTGAAAGGAACAGTGAGCAGCAACAGAACGGTGCTGACTGGTGCCTGATTCAGGAGAAGCTGCATGCTATTCAACTGGAACTTCTTGTGGTACTGCCCAATCCATACCATATAGATTGAACTGGCGCAGACGCCGGCGAGGGCAAATAATGTTCCCCAGAACGAAGTACTCGCGGTGCTCGCGTTGTCCATCGCGAGAGAGTCATAGTAGGAGACGATTCCCACGCCGGAGCACAGCAGGATGAGAGGGGAGACGGCCGCCCGGGGAATCTTGGTCGAGTAAAGCATGTAGTTGAGCAAAGCCACGACGGGGGTCAGGAGTAATCGAGCCAGCTGATGGAACATGACGGACGAATATGCAAGCGAGAGATTCTGAAGGATCACCTGGATACACATCGCTGCCGCCAGGGGGATAATCTGCATTATCGACACCTGTTTTGGTATGAAGATGGCGCACTGTGGGCGAGAGATGACCCATAATGTGGCCCCCGTGATGAAGAAATGATATGCAGCAAAGGCGACCTGGCAGTTGCGGAAGGATATATCGGATAGGATGTATTTGTTGGTGAAGACCTTGGCTGGTCAGTCTAGGATCCTATGGGGAGGGCAAAGTACATACTATGGCAACGGTGGAAGCAACATTGATTGCCGTCCATCCAATGAAGCGAAGGCCTGGGGCTGCCTTGTCTTTTTTCTTCGTATCTGCTAGGATGCCGGCATATTTCTCTCGGTCTTCAAGATCCGGACTTTCTGTGTAGCCGGACGACGACAGATCTGCATCGTAGTCGGACAGAGTCGAACTGACAGGCTGGACCTCTTCCTCTGGGGCCTTTTCAAAAAGAGTAGTTGTGTAAGACATTTTCAGTAGATATTGTCAAACAAGCAGGTGAGAGCTTACCGACAAGCTATATGGAAGACAACTATGACCTAGAACCGTGAAGGCTTTCCTGGTTGAGTGGAGCGATGACACCCAAGATCCAGTATTCGTGACAGTCAATGGAACATTGTGATCATTGTCCGTGTCTGATCAGACAAAGACAGGCAATTGTATTGATTAGGGCTAGCAGGCGGGTCAGGTTGTTCGCATCCGGAAGGGTTGCAGCGGTGGACATGGTCCAAGTAACCTCATGTTGCATTTTCACGAAGGGCACACTTTTACTAAATATAGCAGATTACACGGATAAGTCTTGAATAGTGCTATTCTACAAGATGCAGCTACAAATCTAAACTAAGCACACAGGCTCTACTAAACATAATCGGAACACGCAACATGAAATCCTTCCGGATACTGAAACTCCTTCACCTTCAACTCAGCCGGCGACCATGGTTTATGATCGTCCGGCCACTGAGACATCACCGTCTCATTTCCTGCCAGCAACCGATGAAGGTTGAGCTTCGTACTGTATACCAGATCCCACGCCTCGTCTGGATGCCAGTTGTCCTGTCCATAGGTCTCAATGTCCGAGTCCTTGTAAGAAGAGCCCGCGCGCCGATGCGTCGCGATCAGATTCGGATGCGGCGCATAGCATTGGATCTGAGGGCGATTCCTGCCTCCACACATGTCGCCCAGGGCATTGTCCACGGGATTTTCCAGGTGGTCCACCGACAACGAGGCCAGGATCTTCCGCGCACCATTGTAGGTCACAGCGTAACCGTAAAGACAGCATCCGGTGTCTGCGCGATAGACATACCGGGTAGATTCCTCGGGAAGCTGGGGAAAGCGGTGCTTCCACCGGTCCAACGGTCCTCGCCGGTCGACCCAGAAGCTGCGGCGGTTCATGCCTGGAACCGTAGGATCGTTGGGGATTGCGTAGAATTGGGTCTCATTGACTCCGGCAGCTGTTGAGCATCCCCCAACCCAGAGAAGATCCCAGTCGGTGCCATAAGGCGCTTGTTTAGAGGCGGCTTTGGTCAGCGAAAGCGTCCGGAGTCCTCGGGCGAACTCGCGCAGCTGCTGTTTGAGCGAGACGTCCCAGTCGGCGTCGTCTTCCATAATCAGAGCGGTTGCGTGCCGTTTTTCCACGACTCTGCGAGTTGTCAGTATGAATCGTTCGTCCCAAGTGCCATGACACATACGTGCGAAGAGCATTCATATGAGCTCGCCAACAGGCTGCAACCGTAGGTTTGATAATCGTCATGTTCATTCCCTGGATCAGTATTAGTGAGACCAGGCCAGACAGGAGCAAAGATAATTTACCTGAGGAAGCGACTTCGGATGGACTTCGTCTGGTTTCACTCCGTCTAACCAGTCAACCTGAAAGCCGACAATCGATGCCGCCAGAGCGAGGAAATCGCGCTTGTCGGTACGCTCCTTGAGACCAATGGCATAGACATGCTCGAACTGCACACATTAGACAGGTCTACAATAGCAGCTTCAGATGGCGTACTCCAAGTGTCTCATTTTGAATGGCCTCGTACAGATAATCATCCGCCCGACGAGAATGGCCGCCACCGCCACGGATCATATGTCGTGTTGCCGTGTAGTCGACCCCATTGCTGACCAGCGCATTGAGCAACAGGATGCTGCACAAAAACCCGGCAATGATCTTGATGACCTTGGAGTTCCACAGCGTCATGACGACAGCCATGGAGTAGGAATTGGCCAGAAGCTCTGGACTTTAGCAAGAGGGACGTTGATCGAGGACAGTCTGTAGGCAGACAGTGAGGATGAGATGAGTTGATTGTCTTCTTCTCTTGCCTATATCGAACTCATCCAGTGGTACAAAGCTCACAATGGACATTCTTTAGTCTAGACACACTCCTTGGGCGGATAGCCTTGTTCTGTCCGTTTTCGTCCATGGCTGCTGTTTCCGCTCCTTCAGCATCTTGGTGATGCCGCTTCCAACAACGGTTTAATTCCGTTTTAGGCAATTGACTCAAATCATTCTGTAATTGAATACTAAGTTGAGCCCTTCCAGATGCATCATTTAGGTGAGCTGGTGGAATAAGAGTAAGACGACAAAGGCCACCTGGTCCCCTGGATTCCTGAGGCACTAACCAAGTAACGGATGATCAGGTGACCTCGTCCCAATGCGGTAGTTGAAATACAGTTACATAAGATACGCCACATGACCCAATCACTACTCAGTATTCCTGTATCAATACCTTCCATAGAACATCCCTCGTCCTGCTGCAGAACCCCGGATTTCCTACTGACGACATCCAACAACCAGCTCGACCTAGTCAACGTTGCCATCTCATGCAAACTTGCTCCTCCTCAGAAATTCTCACTATCCAACGGTGACTAGTTTTTGCAAACTTCACTCCGGTCGCGTCGCACAAATTGCCCGTATCCCTACCTCCCTCGACGCTGCCATGGTCGCGATCCCAGACCACGTCTCTCGCAGCAAGGTGTATCGCAGCCATTGGGACATTGTCATCCGTTCAAACGGAGTACTCACACTATGATGCAGTAGACTGTTGGTGATGGGATGTGCTTCAGAGAAGGATACCAGATCTGTCAGGCCACGAACTTCTGCGCTATGAGTGGATTCTCGCTCAAGACCATCCAACTCGTCGAGGATGTAGCGGATCACCGCCTTCATGCCGTTGAGCGTATGGTCGTACAAAAACAGGTGTGTCGAAGGAAAGAGTCCCGCAGTGCGATCCTCCACAGATACTATAGAGACGGAGGGCGTCATGCGTGTGAGAGGTACGCGGGCGTGTCTCTGCATACGAGGAGTCCGTCTGTGTGCACCTCAGTAATGAAGGAGGAAACATGGATAGTTAAGACGAGAGCTAGTGTCGATTTGTCGCATAGCTGTAGGCTTCATAGGCCGTGTAGATTCTCACTGGGTAGTAGTCGCAGTATGCATTGTCGGCTGCTTTCTTTCGACCCCGTCCCATGCGCCGAGGTGAGATGGATCTGACTTGTGCGGGGTGCAATGAGATAATCGTCTTTGTACCTTCAGCATGGCGATCTTGCCGTCCTCGATGCCGCTATCATTCGACCAATCTCGGCCGCTGTGAGCACGGTGAGTACGCCTTATCAAAGGGATGAAGCCAAAGTAGCCAGTCAATACTGTGGGCCGTCTTATCTTCTCTGCTCAGGCAATTTCATTTATCAATGCAGGTAACACATGGCGTATCCGTGCTAAAACACCTTCCTGTTTCGACCTAGACTGAGTCTGAAGCTGATAGGCAGACACGTTTCTTGCAGCTTGAAGAATGAGGGATAATTTGGTCTGGTGAGCCTAATCTAACAAAGTTTGGATAGTGGCATCTAGTGCACGCCCTGCTCTGCGGAGGGTTACATCCGCTGTTCCACGGCGCTGAAGAATTGCTCTTCTGACGAATTGTACTGCATCAATTGATGGAAGACAGATGGAGAGGATCAGGTGGTTCAATCATTGTAGTACACAGTACTCACCCTACGCTCGCATCCCTCTCTCTCCCTCGTATGCCGATATTAGCATGCACTTTTCGTCTCGACGACAGACCCACTGGCCCACCACTCCCATTGTCACGGCAAATAAGCATTGTCAAGCCTTGATAGTTCGCCTTGGCTATCCTCGGCATGCTTCTTCTCCGAGTTTCTGGATTGCCATGGAGCGACTAGAACCTGGGGATAGGAAACCTTATCCGCAGCAACATCATTGCCAGGAGGCGAACAGCCGACTCTAACCCTGTAGCCAGCCTGATTATACTTTCCCTCGCTTCCTATCATGCCACTATTCTGTTATTGGTCTGCGGATGACGGCTATCTGTGCGTCTCGGAGAATGGTTCACCGGATAAATAGCCGTCGGTCCCAGCTGCTCTCCTCCGTGTCTCCCTCCCTCCAAAGATCTTCTTCTTCTTCTTCTCTTCCTCTTCAACTCATTAAACTCCGTCATGACACAGCCAGCGAGTGTCGTCCTCGACGGAGAGGATCCTCGGCTGCATGAGAAAGAGCGTGAGGCATTTGATGCCCTTGACTACGGCACTGGCACTGCTACTATCCGTCCGCAGCATCGCAAGTTGCATGATTCTAGTGTCACCTTCGAGGAGTACTACTACTACGCCCAATTGACTCGTGCCGAAGAAGAGTCCGGGCCCAATGGCGATCAGGAACGGGGATGGCTGTCCATCATCTTCCCTTCCAAGTCGGGCGGCGGCGTCCAGCCGGTGCCCGAAAACACGCCTGAAGATGCCAAAACGCTCAGCGCCGGCGATGCAGCTGGCCAAATGACCATCACTGACGAGGAATGGACCAATGCGTCTCGGGCGCTGCGGACGGCCACCCGAGGAGCCATTTTCTATCTGATTACCACCGACATTCTGGGTCCATTCGGTCTGGGGTATGCCTTTGCGACCATGGGTTGGGGGTGAGTAGAGTTCTATGTATCTTGTTTTGCCTGGACTGACGAGATAGTCCCGGAGTTGCATTGTACACCGTCTTTGGTGGCCTGGCTGCCTATTCTGGCTATCTCCTCTGGTCAGCGTTCCTGGGCCTCGATTCGTATCAATTCCCCCTTCGCAGCTTCGGAGACCTGGGTTTCCGTCTGTATGGCCGGTGGATGCGGTATCTATTCAACGTCCTGCAGAGCATCCAGCTGCTGCTGAACGTTGGTCTGATCGTCATCTCCAACGGTGAGGCGCTCTACCAGGTGTCCAAGAGCAAGCTGTGCTTCATCATCTGCTGCCTGGTGTGGGCGCTGTTCGGCTTCTTCATCGGCCAGATCCGTACTCTCCAAAAGTATGGCTGGCTCGCCAATTCCGCCGTCTGGATCAACCTCATCGTCATGTTCATCACCATGGGCGGAGCGGCCAACGCGCCCCCCAACTACGCGGCCGCCTCGGCGTCGGCGGGTGCGGTCGTCAACAAGGCCCTCATCACGCCGGTGAACGGTGTCTATCCTCCTGTCCAGACATCCGGCGGCCTGCCCGAGGCGGGTAACTTCGTCGGCTCGCTCAATGGCGCTATGCAAGCCGTGTTCGCATACGGTGGTGCCATGGTGTTCCCGGAATTCATGTCGGAGATGAAGCGGCCCAAGGACTTTTTGACCGCCATGTGGGCGGCCCAGGCGTTCATCTACTTCTGGTACATGTTCTACGGCCTGTTCATGTACGGCTACCAGGGCCAGTACAACGTCAATCCCAGCTACCTGGGAATCGGCTCGTACGACATCTCGACGGCCGGCAACGTCTTTGCCATGCTCAGTGCGGCCATTGCGGCGGGTCTGTATGGAAACATCGGCCTGAAGGGTATGTCTGCAGCACTTCCGTATGCTACTGCATACTGACCGTCTTAGTCTTGTACAACCAAGTCTTGGTCGAGCTCTTCCGGTGCCCTCCGTTGACCACTCGGGGCGGCAAGCTGTTCTGGGTCATCCTGGTTCCCATCTACTGGGGTATCGCATTTGCTCTCGCCGCCGGTATCCCCAACTTCTCCGGTCTGGCCTCCGTAGTCGCTGCCGTGTGTATTCTGCAATTCACTTACAGCTTCCCCCCTCTTCTGGCCCTGGCGTACTGGGTAAAGCGCGCCGCCCTGCGAGACGGGGAAGGCTTCGATCCCGCAACGGGCCAGACCGTTCGCCACGATCAGGGCATGCGGCGTGTTGTCCGGGGTTTCCTCGCGCAGAGACCCAAGGAACTGGCTATGAGTGTGTTCAACATTTTCTACGTCTTGGGTGCATTGGCGTTGGCGGGGATGGGTGCATATGCTGCCATTGAGAGTCTGATCAATGCTTTTGCGCAGAGCCGTACTACTTCGTATACCTGCAAGATCGGTATATGAGCCGCAGGCATGCTGTAGTACGGCAGTCAGGCCCTGTGACGCTGGCAGAGGATGATGATTTGTATCATACGATGCTACCATATCCTTGTCCATCATCCATGGCCAGGAACAAGAGTAGTCATTCCGAGTAAAATCGATCCATCGTCTAGTAGAATCATTCACACTATCATTACAGCGTACGAATATATCTCAGTCATATCACCACTGTATAACCTCCTCCCGGAGCTTGGTCCCATTCCGAAAGAACTCAATCTTCCCCTGTCGACCCTCGCAAAACTCACCAGCAACAGCATTAGTCCGGGCAGAAATAGGCAGATCCGCCGGCTCGTACATGGCTCCCTTTGCGAATCCAGCAGCCTCTTCCTCCATAGTGACCATTTTTCGCGCCAGCGTCGAGAACAGCACCGAGTCCCATACACCTTCGCGCCGGCGACTGCGGCTCATCAGGTCGATGGCTCGGTGGCGGATTTGCGAATGTCGACACGATGTGGCGATGATCCAGAGGAGGGGGACGAGTCCTAGCGAGACGACGAAGAAGGAGGAGGAGGATGACGATGATGAGGAGGATTCAGGCTTGGGGAGGATTGTGGGAAGGGTTTTCTGTTGTTGTCGAGATGGTTGAACCCTGACAGAGGGCTTCGACCTTGAAGCAGGTGTGCAAGAAGAGGAATTTATAAGATCCTCCGCCAGACATAAGATCGCCCCGAATTCAGAGGCGAACCGGTCAAGTACGCCCTCTGACGACGACGCATCCATATTCAAGAAGATGCCCATCACCTTCCGCCACATCTTCAGATGATTGATTGTCACGCGGTCGGCTTCACTCTGGTCGGTTTGCACGTGGGCTCCGAGGAATGCGTCGAACTTGTCCGACCAGGCATGCATGTGCTGTCGCATCTGGGCATAGTATGCCTGGTTCTGCTGAAGAATCTGGACCAGCTCCGCACTTTCGAGTCTCTGGGATAGGTATAGAAACTTGAGATACTGGTTGTAGCAAAACTGAAAAGAATCACTGAGCTGTTCGAGCGTCGGAGTGTCGTCCAGGTTGACTGGAGGCAGTTTGGAGGGAGACAGAAGGGTTGACTGGATGGAGACAGGCAGGTACGATTGCCAGTCTATTTCGAGCATTTGATTCTCAATGGTGACAAACATCAAGCGAACAATGCTCGGGGGAAGACGGGCTACGATTCCTTCGTTCAGGAAGCGCTCTTCCCGTTGCCTGAGGATTCGGAGGCCGGCTATGCCGTGCTGGACCGCATTTCGAAAGTGGCCTTGCAGACTCTCGAAGCAGAAAAAAAGCACACACATGATAAGTATGCTGTCAGTGCTTTGTCCCTCCGTGACAGGGATCTGGTTAAGAGCCAGGTGGATGGCAGAACTGTACTGCTGCAATGCATACCGAGTCAGTCCGGATTGCGCCACGGCCGGCCCATCACCGTCACGCACAAAGGCGCGATGTAACGACCCTAGCGCAGTGGCAGCCACCCGCACAGGCGCGTCATGGTAGGCTGCACGAAGAAGAAAGTCCCCGGCCTTGGGTCCGAAGCAGGAGACGGTCTGAAAGTGGAAAAACTCCAGCGCACGGTAGTCACACCCTGCTAGCGGCTGGTGAAACGAAGGGAACATGCTCATCTTCATTGGCTCGGGTACCTGCGACGTATATTGAATAATCCGTAGATCGGTCGATTGGCGACGAGTGCTAGAGGAGGGGCTGGCGTAGCCATCGCACTTTCGGCCAGTGGATCGACATCGTCGGCAGGTGGGCTTTTCTTCATCGCATTTCACTCTTCGTATCCTAGCACCAGAATGAATATTATGGCTTCAATTGCACTACATGTTGTCGACTCACTTGCATGTCAGACAACCGTTGCGAGACCGGCTGACTCCTGTCCGTAGAGGCATGGTTTCTATACATATAAAACGTCCCACGATCACGGATTCATATACTTCCAGCGCAACTTTCAACCTCAAAACTCCAAACGCGAGTTGCTCAGAGAGAGGCGAGTCGGAGATATCCACGGATCCAAGCTTGTGGGAACGCGGCTGCCTATCACCATGTCAGACGGAGTTGAGAAACCAGGCCAGATCGTTTAAGCTCCAAGACTAAAACAGTTAGCGGATGCGAGAAGATGTGAATTGTCCATTCAGCGTGGACGATTGCTTGCCTGTCAGATTCGCCATGATTGACCCGTTATGATCCCAGTCAGCCTGGACTATTTTTATTACTTGACTTCGTATCCATATGTCATTGCCAAGCTTCATTTATACTGTCTGATTGGTCTGCTCGCTTGTCATCTCAAAAAGACTGAAATATCTGAAGAAGATTCAAGTCATGATGTGAGTTGGATGCTTCATGTCTGGTGGAGACTGATATGGCTGAGCGTCATGTCTACACTGGTTATATATCCTATTATCTGGCTGCCTGACAGGCTTCAAAATAGCGTCAGAAATCATGGATATATATATAAGTGTATATTTCCAGCCATGATGGCCTCTACACCATGATCAACTGGAAAGCTTCTTCTACTCAAGTCCCATATTATAACCATCTGTCAATATGAACACTACAGCATCAATATCCCCCACTGCTACAGCTTCAGCAATATCTCCCACCGAGACCTGTACACGTCCAAAACCAGGCAAAAATGGCTATCTGCCTCCAGAAGCCTGTGATGCCATTCTTCTCTATGTGCCGTCCTTTGGCGCAGCAATCTTGTTCACGATCCTGTTCGGGCTAACGACCCTCTGCCACGTCGTTCAAGCTTTCATTTACAAAAAGGTTGGTGTCGCATCGAGAAATCCAAGAATGATTTGCTAACAAAGGCAGAAATATGCCTGGGTCGTTATCATGGGAGCCAGCTGGGAGTTACTTGCATTTGTATTCCGGACTCTACAGACACGACACCAGGACAACGAGCCCTTTGCTACTGCTCACACACTTCTATATCTTTTGGCACCTTTATGTGCGCCCAGCCTCCTGACATCTAATCCGAGAGATACTGATCAAATGTAGGGATCAATGCTTTCATCTACATGACCCTAGGCCGCCTCATCCACTTCTTCATCCCCGAGCGACGCCTTGGAGGAATCTCTGCCAAACGATATGGATTCATATTCGTGTGGCTGGACATTCTCGCCTTTATCGTCCAGCTCGTAGGTGCCAGCATCACCACACAGCACGACGCCCCCACCAGCACCACCATGCTCGGTATCCACATCTACATGGGCGGTATCGGACTCCAAGAACTGTTCGTGCTGATATTTGGCGTTCTGGCAATCCATCTCCACCGTCGGATGGTACAAATGGAGAACTATGGGGGATTGGACTACGAAAAGACCACCCGTGGCTCAGTTTCCTGGCGCTGGCTGTTCTGGGCGCTATATGCCTCTTTGACTCTCATCACCGTATGTGATCTCAGCTCTGAAAGAGAGGGTATACTGACAAGTCGCAGATCCGAATCATCTTCCGACTATGCCAGTACGCGCGAGGCACGGATCCGACGAACCCCATTCTGACTCAGGAGGCATACGAATATGTCCTCGACGCGGCGCCGATGTTCCTCGCTCTACTCATTCTGAACGTCATTCATCCTGGTCGAGTGTTGCAAGGCCCTGACTCGGAATTTCCCAAGATCAGCAGGCAGGAGAAAAAGCGGATCAAGCAGGAGAAGAAAGAAGCAAAGAAAGCTGAGAAAGAGCGCAAGAAGCATGGTAAGAACAAGGAAGGACCTTTCGAGTCGCTTTCAATCCAGGAGGGGAGTCACATTTACGATTCCAGGGTCTAGTGGTTGACAACGATGAGTTTCTCTAGAAGATGGTCAAAGTATAAAATGATAGAAGTGTTACATAAAGCAAATGCAATTCGCTTCCCCGTGGCACTCAGCACGTCGCAGGCTATTGATACGAGCCAGACGGTAATGATCAATGTTCACACAAGTTAAAGCTGTCCATCTCGAATTTCTCGTTCTGCTCCTCCAACCTGGTCGAACGTTCCTCCATCAGCTTCTTTCGGTAATGCTGGGCCTCCTCCATCGTGATGGGAATAGCATGGAACTCGCCCTTTACTATGTCCTGCAGTTCCGGAGGCAGCCTATCCCCGAGCAAACAGCCAACGAGCTCCTGCCGCTCTCTCCACCAGTCCTCTTGCTGAGGTGGCACATTCGCGGAGGAAATGATAGATAGATGCGGATCGACGAGGAAAAATGCGAGGATCTTGCGATGGCCCGGTTTGGACCGGTCCGCCAGTGAGAACGGCGCCACGCGATGTTGGAGGATATTCGGAAAGGTGAGAAGACGTCCCTGGCGCGTCTCGACACTGCCTAGCAGCTGCGTGATGTTGCACTCATTGGAACCATCCACGTCAGGCCCAAAGCCAAAGACCTGTTGCAGAAACTCATGCCGGGATTGTTCGTAGTGAATGTCCTCGATCTTGTCCGAGCTTGCCCGTTGACGGAACGCGAGAGTGCTCTGTGAGATATTCTCGCTATCATAATAGTAGATGGCCGTAGCACAGATATGTTCATTCTATTCATCATTAGGAAGGGCTCGTTGATCAACAGCAACGAGGGACTTACCAGTTGCCCTTCAATATGCCAGGAGCCTCCTTCATACTGGGGTTTCTCTGGCGTCAGCTCGATGTTCGCCAGCTTGACAATCACCTGGAGTCCTCGCTCGGCGTATTCCTTGCGGAGGTTGACCTGGTTGTAAAAAGGGTTCGGGACAAAGTTTCCTGGTTCTGGTCGTTTGATGGGCTGACTCCGTTGCCATTCCCAGTGTTTCTCGCAGAATTCGTCGTCATCCTCTTCATCCTCGTCCGCCGCCTCCGGCTCGGGTTCTGGATGGTCCTCATACGCAACTTCATAGTATCCAATGCGTTTATAATCATTTTCCAAGAGACTCAGGGTTGTGTTCCACATAGGGATGGTCTTCGCCAGAATCCTTTCGATGACTTGGTACAGGCCTGGGTGTCGCTGGGGATGTAGATTGTTGATGTACGATGCAATCCGACATTCATCGTTTGGTCCAAAGTGGACGTCACAAGGGAGCCATTGAAACTTGAGGCTGTAGGGTCGATGAGGGCGCCTCTGGTACCAGTAGTCGTAATCACTCTGCTTCGTGACACACTCCTGCTTTGGGCGGACAGAAAGCACTTCGCCCTCACCGATGTGGTTTGCAAAGGCTTCGAGACTGATGAGCTGGTCTGGCAGGATGCGCGTTCGGCCGTATATCACAGGAAATAACGACGGATGAACCAGGTCAACTACCTTATCGTCCGTTCCAGGATGGTAGTCCTTCTGCTCCTCGGGAAGCTCCTCCAGGGGACGGACGGCCTCTATGAGAGCCTGCCGTAATTCCTCCGATATGGCAACATCGGATTTGACAACACCCACGTCAAATGCGACGATGTGCTTGGTATCTTGGAAGACCCCAGCTTTCCACTGCGCTTCTTTGATGATCCACTCTAACATTCGCTCGCTGACATCTTCCCCGCTGTCCTGAATTTCCTTACGCCATTTGGCAGTAATCTCATCATTGAACACCTGTGAAGGTCAGTATGAGCGTGTGAATAACATGGACGACGTGCCTTCTTGTCCCAGTCCGGCTTGTCGGTGATTGCATTCATTGCTCGCATCATCAATATCTCTCGATGCGTATCCAACCGTCTATTCTGTCAGCTTGCCCTCAATTGCAGGCCGTGATTACCTTACGAGATGGAATAATCGTCCAGCCCATTGGGGAACATGACACGCCTCACCGTCCCTGGGGTGAAGTTCAGGGGTAACGAGAAACCCGGTAAGTCGAAACGCGACTGCGGTGAAGCCATTGCCACTGCCATGTTGAGTGAGCTTGCTGATTCTGTATGCAATGACTGAAAAGCTGTCTGTCAAAGCAACAATAGAGGCGTCAATCGCGTTATATCGACGCGTTGGTGATTAGGCTGCCAGCTGCTGCCTCGGGGCTCGGGCGGGTCAAATACGGACGGATTGAAGCCACGGTCTTGGCGCTTGAGTTGCCTGATTTAGCCGGTGGTTGGATCCAAGGAAAAGGGTCTGAAAGGGATGGGAAGGTGAGTCGGCCTTTTAAAGGATGGTTCATGGAAGGGTCGGTGTCCTGAGGAGTATCAGAGGCACTTGACAGTGCGGATAACTCACGGAGGAGGAAGTCACACGGGGTTGCCCTTTGTAGATAGGACATGGAAGAAGTCCTCAATGGTAGATGGCATGGGCAGTGGAAAGTTAGTCATTGGAAAGCACAGCGAGACTATAAAATATACGCAGTGTCTGCCTGAAGGGAAAAGTGCCGAAAGGTAATGTCTCTGAAGCTGATAAAGATCTTCAGTTGGGATTGGACATTGAAAATAATCCAGAACGATAGCAGTTAGTCGTCTGAAAACCTCCACTACTGCAGAAGATGGCAGTATAAGCTTTTCTATTGGCGCTGATCTATACTCTAGCTGCAATGCAACTGCGAAACGTTGCGAAAATCCCAGGGCTTCAGGACGTGTCAATCTAGCCACTTTCATTGGTACTAGGCAAGTAATGCATATTTACAATCAAAAGCCTATTTGAAAGCCTCGAATGCATCACAGCCTTTTCCTCACTTCTAGCACCGACTCATCTCCCTTGTCGGTATTCCAGATCTGCACCAGCTCGAGACCTACAGCATCGAATAAAGCCCTCCACTGCGAGACAGTTCGCTCGAGACCGGCCGTATGTAACCACATGAGAATATCCATCTCAGCTGCTCTCAGCTCGGCCCCAGTATCCGGCAACACATAGTCGTCGATCAGCAGGGTGGAGTATTCCGGCTCCATGGCATCGGCGATATGCGACAGAATCTGCTTGCTTTTGGCGTCGGACCAGTTATGCAGCACTTGCCGGAAGAAATAAGCCCGGGCACCTTTACTTGTCAGTTCTGTTTGATTTGGTACAGGGAATGCGTCTCACCCTTGACCGGCTGCGGATTGAAGAAATCGTGTTCCATTGGCTCAATCCCCTCTGGTATCTTCTCGATCCGATTGAGTGTTAGAGGCAGATCTTGCAAGATGATTCTCCCCGGAACGTCCGGGTGACGGTGTCTGAAACGCGACATTTCCTGACCTGGTCCGCCTCCCACATCGACCAGCAGGACAGAATCTGGACTGTCTCTCACATGCCGCAGTGTCTCGGCAGCAGGATAGATTTCAAACCACTGCGGCTGGTTGATCAACCGTCGAGAGGCCATGTAGTCATCAAACGCCTGCTTTTGTTCTGGGTTTTGTTCGAGCATGCCGAAGATTTTGTCAAATCCATGTGCGTACTCGAAGAGTGTTTGTTGCCCTGGTTCATCGGCGAACTGGGAAATGCCTGGCCCACGCATGTACTCGACGAGTTTGGCTCCCTAGATTGTCAGCCAGGACCGTGGAGTGAGCATAGAGGGAACGTACCATGCCAAAGTCGGGTTCAAAGCTACTAAAGTCGGTCACTCACCCTTCATGAACATGGAGATACGTACTGATGCTTAACTGCGGCAATTGATCCAGGGAGGATCTCAAAATGGGTCGTGTCATTCGCCGCGTATGTCTGGTTGGCCGTCTCGAGGGCGAGCCCAATTGCGGTCAGCACGCGCATTACACGGACTGATGCATTAGGGTGAGTATTGATCTGAATACGGAGGGATGCATGTAAGGCACCTACCAACTAGGAGCTCATCGGTATCAGTCACACGCGACAGTTCGGCCGATGTTATGGGTTCTCCATTCCTCGCCGCTATCGCGTGCAGCAGCTTCCTTTCGATTGCTACTCGAACGCAGATATTTTGCATAATCTGCTTGTAAGTTGCATTCCTCGAGTGAACTTATGTCGTAGGACTTACTTGAAAGTTTACTCGAGAAGTTGTGTCAATCGGCTTTTCGGCTGCCAATTGAAGCTTGCGAATCGCAGCCAGCAGTTGATTGTGAGCATTGGGATCTCCTGCAGCTTCGGCCTCGGCTAGCGTCTGGACGTGCTTAATCTCGTCGAATATGGTCATTTTGCCTACAAGCTGAAAAGGAAAAGAATATAGACGAGGACTGTCCAGGGGGCTCGGAAAGCTGGCGAGGTTGACATACGCAGAGCAATAGAGGATGAGCAAGTCCCTGACCACGCCAATTTATCCAGGAAGGTCTCAATCCACAAATGAGGCAATGGAAGTGCGGCACGCTCATGATCCACCCAATGGACAATGTTTGGACGGAGACAAAATGACAGTGGGTGTACTAGAAACGCACCAGACAGGGGTGCTTTGAACCGTTCCTACTAGTGTGTTTAGGGCATCCTGGTGGAGTCAGGGGGATTTGGAATAAAGTACCAGTTAGATAAAGCGTCAGCGAGCTATCATGTACAAATCTACCTTAACTTGATGTGCTAGCTGCGGTTGAGCTGCTTCGGTAATCTTGATACTTGGAAGGAGTCTCCTCGATTATGAAGAAGCCGGTGGGACACTGCGAAAGACTCTATTTCAAACCCAGAGAGATGCTAATATTATACAGAAGGATACGGAAGACATTATTATCTGGATAAGCTGCTAGCGAGACTCCTCCATCACAGTAGTTTTCTTCGTAACAACGATCTGATCAGGATACGTCGTGGACAGGATATTCTCCTCACTGCCTCCATGAATCCCCACGGACACGCCCTTCTTCGTACGAGGCCCATTAGCAATCCAGGGGCTATGCTGCTGGCCATCGAGGTTTATCCATGTCTCGTCTTTGGGACGACTCCCACTACGATCGCCATCGGCATGAGTGCGGCTACGCGAACCCGAGTATCCCGCGACAGTCTTGATGCTCTGAGAGAATCGCACGAAGAAGGGGCGCAGGACCGGAATTGACCCAAAGATGAGAATGAACCACATTTCTGTCAGCACCCAGGTATTTAGTTTGGCGATGGCGTACGTCTGGTCGGCGGTTTCGGCGATGGTGGATATGGCGACTGTCTTGTTGATCCCGGCTATTCCTGCTCTGTTACAGGGATGGACATTAGAAAAGAAGAAATAAATGTCAGAAAGCAGGGAATACTGACATGACACCTCCACTCATCAACAAGCACAGTCCAACCTTGACGGAAAGTCTCATCTGCTGAAGTCGTCCGATAATATAAACCGGATAACAGGCCAGAAAGAGGTCCGCGAGTGCACCCATTCCTGTTTCCATCAATACCTTTGTCCTTATTGAGATGCAAGGGGAGCATACCACCCTGAGCGTATCCGATATACAAACAAGTCTCGATTAGATTGCATGTTCCTGGAACGTCCATATCCCACAATCGCCGAGGGGGATCACACTGATGGAAGATGACCCCAATCTCGGCGACATTGATCAGTCCTTGAAGGGCACCCACTGTGAGCAGTGCCCAGCGGCCTTTGCGGTGGGTATGCATTTGCAAGGCCAGGAGGAAAGCGATGACTGCACACCGGGCGATGGCCAGATCAAGAATGGCCAGGACTTGAGCGATCCAGCTCCAGTAGTTGCTGGCAACAATCTGCTGGTGCGAAAGCTGATCCTGGTGTAACCCGAGACCGTATGAGACACTCACCGTCATGGTGCACTGTGCCGCAAATGCAAGTGCCTGCCGTATATCAGTATGTATTGTCCTCAAGTGTGGCCGATCCGACACACATAGGCAAACATCACCCAGATAAAATCCCATCGCAGACCACAGAACCCAAATGAAACATCCTCTGGTGGACACAGAGACGCTGTCTTTGCACGTAGCCCGAAGAGAATCAAAGCCAGGGCTGTTTCTGCCCAGGTAACTCCGAGCAGAACAGGACCGCGTCCTCCGTATGCCGTAGCCATAGTGAGCCTGAGTCGTCGTTGCACGTCGATGAAAACATAGTAGAGTACGTGATTACTTCAGTCACGGAGATTTTGTAGTCCAGCCAGATGGAGGCCGTCTAGGGTGCTGTTCCCGGTCAAACTCTGTTACACTCGCTACAGGGATAGTGGACAGGGAGCTGAGAACAGTTTCTTGTTATCCTGGACTACGTATGAGATTTACAAGCACCATGACTGTGCTGTATTGCTCTAGAGGCCATGGATTGAAATTAAATGACCAATGAAATAGGCATAAATGACCTCTCTGTGAGTTGGAAGTGGACTATTATGCAACCGCGGGATCGTCCCCTGTCGCATCCCTGTCGTTAGAGTATATTAGTTTCCCACGGCTATGTCTGGGCAAAGCAACAGCAATTTCTTAATTCGGCTTGACTTCTACGATGCTGGTGAGTCTCTCAGATATGATTCCTGTCAATTGTGGGCCAAGAGAATGCTATCGTGCTAAGACCACAGCCAACTTCCTTGTCTCTTCCATCTGCATTTCCCGTTTCTGGTAATCCTAACCCACGATATATGAATTTCTGATCCCTGTCTAGATTCTTACTAGATGCAGGGGCTTGCGTCTCTTTCTATCCTCTTAAGAACAGTATCTCTCGGGTAATTGTGCCGTAAATCCGTACCGGATCCGAGACAGGACGTGGTCTATTTTGCTGGCGCTGCAGGGATCTTATATAGTGGTATGGACACAGAACAAGTCATGTTCCCTGTTCATTAGGATAAATGAAAAATTTCCCGAATTCCACAGCGTGTATTATAGTTGAGCGTTTTCCACAAACGTTCAAAAACCTTTTGGGATTTCTCTCTCGTCTCTCCCCAGGCCAATTGCACCCGAGGTTGCCGATTAAAGGTGGACTAATAGAGTCACGTTGTATTGGCATCAGCTCATACAATGGACGACAAGCCCCCCGTACAGATTACTTCGGCTGGGATCGACGAGGATGAAGAAGCCCTGGAGGGATATGTCGTTGAACCCAGCCGATATCCTAACAACGCGGCCGGCCTGAAAACAACTCCAGATGGCCGTTATGTTCTCATCCCACAACCCTTAGACACCCCCGATGATCCGTTGAATTGGAGCTCGCACAAGAAATGGCTGATTGTCTGGATCATGGCGTATATCGCCTTCCTGGCCGACTATACTGGAGGCACGGCGATCATTACTGTCATCCCTCAGTCCATGTAGGGCCCATACTTCATATCCAAAGAACTCCGCTGATATGATTAGAGAGTGGAATCTGTCCCAGGCCACGGTCCAACGAGCCGTCGTAGGCAACCTCTTCACGATCGGTTCGTGCGGTATCATCGTAGTGATACTGGCAGGCTTCTTCGGTCGCATGCCCGTTCTTCTGCTCTTCCAAGCAGTCATGGTCGGGACTTGTGCCTGGTCCGCAGCGGCCACCAGCTTCGAGTCATACATGGCGGCGCGGATCATCAACGGGCTCTTCTGCAGTGTCGGTCAGGGAGGCGCGTTGCTCTGGATCAAAGACCTGTTCTTCTTCCATGAACACCCCAAAGTCATCAACTACATCGAGTTCTTCATCATCATGAGCCCCTACCTTGGCCCGCTGCTGACCTGCTTTATCGTGACGGATGTCTCCTGGCGCTGGGCCTTTTGGCTTTGTACCTGCATGTCAGCCGTGGCCTTTCTGCTTGTCTTTCTTCTCGATGAAACGCTGTTTAATCGAAAAGGTCGCCAGATCCCAAGGGGGTCATATATCGCCCGCCTCACGGGAGCCCAGCAAGCACAGCTGTGGCGGGAGAAGAGTTTCCTCCAGTGCGCTATGCGACCTATCGTCGCTATTACCAGAATTCCGGTGCTGATTATCTTGATCTACTATTTCCTCAACTTCGCCTGGGTGATTGGAGTCAATACGACCATCGGAATCTGGCTGAGCAATGACTACGGCTTTTCCACTCGCGGCATTGGTATATGATATATCCCTTGACTTGCGGTTTCTCGAGATACTGACCTTGACAGGCTACTTCTACTTCTTCGGCATCGTCGGTGTCATCATTGGCTGGTTGATGGGACATTACCTCCACGATGCAGTGGGCACCTTTTATATGAATCGACACCAAGGCCGACTGCACCCCGAAGCACGCCTGATCATCGTCTACCCCGCCACTATCCTCTGCTGCGTCAGTCTGATCGTGCTCGGGTTCGCCTTTGAGCGCCACTGGCATTACATGGTCATTGCCGTCTTCGCAGCCATGCAATGCAGCAGTATGATGATCATCACGACCGCCATCAACGCATACCTGCTCGACTGCTACCCCGAGGGATCCGGCGAGGTGGGCGCGTGGGTGACGGCCAGTCGCAACTGGGGAGGTTTCATGGCTACATATATTCAGATTGACTGGGTCAGCGGCATGGGACCGGCTAGGGCACTGGGGATCCAAGCGGCTATTACGTTTGGGTCACTGTTCTTTATGGTGGTGTTGCAGCTGTTTGGACAGCGGCTGCGCAGGTGGCAGGGGAGAATGCATTTCGGTAAAGCTGTGAAGTCTGCATAGTGCTGTGTATGCTGAACTTGGAAATAATATATGCTGTCAGATTAGAACTACACATAGTTACAAACACTTTAATCTAGTAACAGTATTAAGATGGTCCAAGCACAAGGCAAGTCTCAAACCGGGCCCGTAACTGCGTAGGATATAAGCAACCATGCATCATCCAGTTTTCCCTGGAAGGACCAGCATGCATTGACAGGCAGGTCTTGCGAGGATCGTATATCTGCCTGGCTACCTTCAAGGCCAGCTCGAACTGCTGAGTAGCCATGAGACCCTCCATAATCAAACAAGGGATATGGACTCCGAGTTCCCAGTTGTAGACGGACGATGGCTGGGCGCCCTCGTGGTAATGGATTCGGTTTGACGGGAAACGCTCCGTCCACTGCCCGAATGCCTCGATGTAGTCCCTTCTGGTAGTGTAGTATTGCCCGCTGTCTGGGACTGTCCATTCATAGTCGCAGTCCGATGAAAGCGCACCCTGCAGGCCGAGGCGTACCTTGACCTTCCTCGAAGTCAGCGCCCCTGTGTGTAGACTGTTGCCTCAACGCGTGATCCTGCTGCAAGCCGTGCAGATCCTGGAGACTCATGCGATTGAAGCCCAGCTTGCCAGTCGTCGAGCGAACAACAGTGCTGAATTCGAATTCTAAAACGTCAAGCTCAAGCGTCTGCCCGAGAATCGAGATGCGCATGAGCGCACTCACTACCGGTTCTGCCATTACCAGGTTGCTGTCTTCCACAAATATATCGTATCCAAACCCTGCCGATGGTGCACCGATAGCAGTGGGAGGGTACCATGTCAGGTCGCTGAGCTGGTTGTTGTACTCGAATCTGTGAAGCGGCCCCCAGTGAGGGCATCAGTGGTGGCTCTGCCCTTGTCATCGAAGACGAGCTGCAGCTCATATACTCTGAGGCTAGTTGGCTGACCTTCCCCTTGGAAGACAATGACTTAGCGGTCAGCAGCTGGGGGCTGGAAATACCCTCGTGGAGGACTCAAGTCGGATGACTATCTGACGGTGTTTGCCACGGTACTTACCCCCTTGGTCCGGACGCGAGACATTGAAATCTGACACGCCTCGGCATTTGCGATGATCATAGTTTTTGGGGGTTGCAGTCTGCGTCACTGGATTGATCATCGGTACGTACCTACTTGTACCTTGAACGAGGCGAGTTAGGGACTCTCGATTGACGTGGCCCATTGTAGGACCTCCCTGTGGATTCGGACGTCACAAAGCCTCCTTTTCGGAGGAGCAAGTAATAAAGTTCATGCTGGTAGGTCGCCTTGTCTAATCGCAGAGGAACAAGATTGACACGGTCAGGGAAACTATATCTTCAGTCACTTCTATAATGCAGCCAGGATGGACTACCACTTGAAAGTCTCTGACAAGGCGGCGCGCAAAGAGCTCAGTGTTGCAGCGGATGAGTCGCAATACCATCCAAATGAACCAGTATTGCGAGTAGCAGGTTGATCATGAAGGTGCATCCGGTATCGAAGGGATGCGGCAATTGTATATAGCTGGAGATTTCTCATGCAATTAATGACATAATATTCCTCATGGCACTGACGTATGTAATGCCTACTGGGAATCTAACGAGTTGACAGACTGAACATATTGCAGCGATCGTCTGATCTAATCAACATATTGTAACAAATATAGCATCCGTCTACAGGGTTGCCTGTCTCATCAACCCCAACTGTTGGTCCAGCACGTCTTTGACCATCTGGTCCAACGACCTCCATTTCATGCCCAAGACCTTCTCGGCCTCAGTTGTATCCAGTGGGTAAGGTTCTCCAGAGATATCCTCCGTAATTTTGGCACCAATTGCCGGATAGTCTCTCTTCACGATGCGAGCAACGTCGCTCCAGGATGCCTTTTTACCTGCCAACAAGAACTTGGACCCGTCCGGCACCGTCTCATCAAGCGCCTTAATATGTGCCTCAGCCACGTCCCGGACATGCACCCCAGTAATGTTTCCCAGTGGTTTGCCGGTCATGATGGTTCCCCAGAGCATTCCATTAGTACCACCTTGGACCTCCTCCAGGCTAGTCTGCACATGATTATGTCCAAAGACATAGGCAGGATGGAGAGTGACGAGCGAGAAATGCGGTTTCTCGGTGTTCTTGAATTCCCAACTGGCGTTGTTTGCTAGGAGCTTGGAGGCGTGGTAAAGGCTGAACGAGGTGGCGGCGTTGTCTGGGCCTGTGAAGTCAGCATTTGGGTCGACGGTTAGGTCCCAACCGTTGTCCTCTGTGCATGTTCAATCAGTATTTATCCTCGGCCTGACAACTACTCTAAAATCATGGGAAACCCGACCTCTGACGAACGCCCCCTCGGGAACTCCCGTGAGCGGTATGAGTGCCGCCATGGACGAAGTAATCACGACTCGCTTGACCGTGCTGACTTTGGCGGCTTCTTTCAGGATGGCCGTCGTGCCCTTTACAGCCGGACCAAAGTACGTCTCTTTATTCGTCCCGTGGGGAAGAGGAGAGGCAAGGTGAAGCACATAGTCGACTCCGTCTAGCTTCCCTGCGAAGGAAGACTCCTGAGTGATGTCAGGCACGACAATGAACTCTATCTTGTCTTCGAATTGCGACAGAATTTTCTTGAGTTTGGGGATCTGTGACTCCTTGCGGATGCTGATGCGCAGTGAGTAACCTGCTTTGAGGGCTTCGAGGGCCACAGCGCTGCCAATAAAGCCGGTAGCACCGGTGATGAAGATAAGTCCGGAAGGCATTTGGTTGGAATTGTCCTTAGAATAAAGAATTAGTGTAGATGAGAACAGATGCTATAGGAGGCAGTTTTGGTTAAATATACAACTCGACGTGAGGGCGTCCATCGCATTTTGCGGTAATAATGGTTTATTATTGTTTAGTGATCATGTACCCCATAGTGGAGACGGTCCTCCGCCGTCAAGTTTTTGATTAGTGATTGAATAGTCAATATAACCACATGGCTACTCTTAACTTTGTATAAATGATTAGTATTACGTCCGATACTGTGGTATACTGATAACATAAAGATGGCTTGCCTTCGATAAACAATCAACGTAGAGATGGATAATCAACTGGCCACTTCTGTCAGTCATCAATTGCAAAATCCCAACGGATATCTTTCTTAATGTAGTCTTCTCTGCTATACCATTTGTATAAAGAGTGTAAACCTATCTATATGAGTGTTGCCTCTCACTAGACGGAGACATCTGTATAATATTGGCGGAAGAAGACGGACTGCCCGTTTAAATATATATATCCAGACTAAGCGTTCGATATGCCCACTAGATGAGTATTCGACCCATACAATCTTCTGCGATTGAAAGCTAATGGCTTTTTTTTTAAGTTATCATAGCATATTTATGGAAGCAGCAAAACTATCTAGGTAATACAAGTAATACAAGCAGAATTGTAGAAGACAGTCAGATTTATACATCAGCATAATTCATTGTAAGAAGAGAGATGAGGTAAGCTATGTCTAAACAATTTCACCAATCATAGAGTATCCTCCTTAGCAAGCTTACTCATTCAACATCTCGAATTCTCGATATTCTTCTGTCATCAATTCATCAGTAGACAGACGAGACTGGAATAACTCATCAAGGCGACTGATATCTCCTGCTCTACTGACCCATGTCGACATGGATATATCATCATCCAACGCTCCGACCGCATCGAAAGCCGGCCCTGCAAAACGCAATCGAGTCCCACTTTCCTGTGCTTCCTGCCGGGTGCGCAAGTATGTATTCTAGCCATCTAACCTATGGGGTGATACATATTAACCGACACGGTTTAGACTGCGATGTGATCGTCATCAGCCCTGTCACAATTGTGTGATGCGAGGGTCCAGTAATCTTTGTCTGTATGCCGCTCGTCCCAGTCGACGACAGAAAGTGACTAGCTCGGCACCACAGTCCGAGAGCAGGGCCAACAGTCCTGTCCTTGGGCGGCTATTTGACGGACTTTTCTATCGAAGTGGAAGTCACTGGGATAGTGTCCTCAGCGAGGTAGCTTCGTCATTTCTACTGCATGGAACATGCTGAGGATTCTGATTAAATTTCTCTAGCTGGCGACATTGAGCATCCAAGATGACTTACACAAGGATACATGCAATCATCCCCAGGGGACTGCTCCTGGATTGAATGACGAGCTGCTAGCGGTCATGCCGTCTCGCTCCGCAGCGGATAGACTGATATCAGCATTCTTTGCTCCACACTCTTTCGTTGGTCCAACAAGATGTAAGTTTCGAGAATGATGTTGCAACCCTGCTCGTCTCACAAAAAATCAGACTCGATTCATTATCCGACGTTTATGAAACAGGTTGGAGCCATCCTTCGTAGCTAGTCAACCATCGCTGACTGTAAACAGTACGAAGAATACTGGGAGAACTCATCATCCGCTACGTTAACATGGGTAGCTCTGCTCTATTCGATATTCAGCTTGGCGATGAAATTTCTTCCTGAAGCAAAAGACAACTCAGGGATGTCTGACGCACTCGGGAAGCTCTACCATAACAAGTCTGGCCAGTGTCTGGAGCGCATCAAAACGAACCAGACTACTCTGCAGACGCTCCAAGCAATGATCGCACACGGCATCTTTGGGTTTTCTCATCGTGAAGAATGGGGAGCTGGATTAATAACTCACATCGGCTCGATCGTGCGTCTGGCGATGAGGCTGGGATTGCACCGGGATCCGTCCCAGTTCTCCAACCTGTCGCCCTTTGAGGGAGAGGTGCGCCGGAGGATCTGGAGCACCATCGACCAGATTGACTGCCTGTCGTCCTTTCATCTTGGCATTCCAACGGCCGTCCGGTCGGAGGACTCTGATACAGACCCGCCGCGCAACCTCCTTGATACCGACATAGAAGAAGGCATGTCCGAATTGCCACCTTCAAGGCCCTTTTCGGCAAGTGTCCCAATCGGTTATTTACTAGCCAAGCTTAAACTTTCTCGAGTGATGAGACGGGTCGTCGAATTCCTGAATTCCGTACAGCGGCAGCCCTATGAGAGGGTCCTACAACTCGACAGTGACCTGATGGAGGCTTATCGGTCGATTCCTCCCCATTTGCAACTGAATAACTGGCACAATGCGCCAAACGAACCTGCATATGTCCTGGTGCAGAAAGTCCAGTTAGACACGCTTTACCATCAAGCAGTTACCGCACTGCATCGGAAGTACCTCCAAGAGGCCCGGAAGAACCCCACGTTTGCTCTTTCTCAGCAAAGAAGCATTGATTCGTCCATGACGCTACTCCGACATCAGGCTACCATATACAGGGAGGCCCAGCCGGGAGGGTGTTTTAGCAACTTCCATGGGTACACTATCACTCCTGACAGTGCGAACTTTAGCCTGGCTGCGATGGTACTGTGCTTATATCTGCAATACTGGACGCGAACAGACCAGCGGGTTCCTTCGCAAATAGATGGTCGTATCGAGGAGATATTCCAGGCTCTCGACACTTCGCGCCAGATTTGGAACAACCTGGCTGGTGAGAATCATGAAGCAGGCAAGGTTGGACTCGTGCTTGACACAATGCTGGAGCTATTACGGCCGAAACTTGGCCTTCCAGATCGACTTGCGCCGGCCGTTGACGTGCCAGTCTTAGTGGATGGCGAAAGGGGCCTTCCTCAAGATCCCACCCACAGTGGTCAGCCTGCGTCTATTTCTGATGTAGAACTTTATACATACGAAGATGATGCAAAGGACTCCAACATGAATACGGTTGAACTTAATTGGGTGCGTTGCTTTCTAGTTTGATAGGAACAAAGCTAATAGAAATCGCCAGGATGCTTGGGATTCATTTGTACAAGCAGGCGACTTTGAGACTGCGTATGAGAGCCTTCTTCTCGGCCAGGACTCAACATTCCCAATCGACGAGCTTCTCGACCCGAGTACTTCCTCGACTGTCTAGACTCATAGCTCGGTATGCAAAATCTTCGCCATGGGACTGATAGCCGTAACCCAAGCATCGACTGCAGCACGAGGGAATCCATCAGCGACATACTTCTGGATCTTCCCATTCTCATCTGTGACCTCCAACCCTCGCACCACTTTGTCAACGTATTGCTTGACCGGCATCGCCTGCGGCCTCGTCCCACCCATGCGTCTGGCCAATTCATCGACGTGATCTTTATCTAATTCTGTCTCCACGTACGGGGGCACAATCTCGACCACACTGATAGAAGTATCCTTGAGCTGGTTCCTCAAGAGCACCGTGAAGGAATGCAGCGCTGATTTTGTGGCGCAGTACACGGGGAACATGGTGGCTGGGACCAACGCCAGACCTGAAGTCACAAAGGCTAGAAGGCAAGGTTGGTTCGGTCGCGACGCTTTGAAGTGTTCGATGATGCAGCGTGCCAGGACGGTCGGCCCGGTCAGATTGGTTGTGATCTCGTCGCTGATGGCGTCTGTGGTTGGGTACTGGGCTGCAGAGACATCGGTGGTGTTGAAGTCCAGGAGACGCTGGATGCCGGCGTTGATGATTACCGCATCGATGTCTGGGTACTTTGCAAATGCTTCGTCCATCTTGCTGGGCAGTGCTTCAAGGTTCTTTACATCCATCTGTGCTTTGTTAGACAACCGTATGTTATAGAGCGCTGCACATACCTGGATGGAGCCCAACCCTGGTAGCTCAGCCGTCAGGGCCTCCAGTCGTTCTGTTCGGCGACCCGAAATGATGACCTTCTTTCCGTTGGCATGATACTGGCGAGCCAATTCTTCGCCAATCCCCGAGGTGGCTCCAATGATAAGGATTGTCTGAAAGGTGGTCATGTTGTGGAAGTGGAACAGTTGTGATGTGCTGAGTAGACGAGACGTCCAGCGGGAAGAAGGGAGATTTATAAACTCGTAGATACATTTTTTCAACACTCACTATATGTCTGAGTTACTAATCTCCGAGGATTTAAGAACCTTGATGCTGATCTGCGGCCCAGCGGTGTTTATAGCGGAGGCTTATCTCCATGGACTTAAGGAAAGCCTCAAGACAGAACGTCGGCAGTAAAGATTACGGGAAGACCCACTTGGAGAAAATTTCCAAGGATTACGCTCTATGAGAAAAGGCATGCATTTTGTCTACCAGTTCTACCAGCTAAGGCATTCCTTCCATTCGTCCCACTCGCCGTCCATTCCGTTGGATCGTCTACGGAATTCCACACTCACTTGGCGAGTTTCATAATCTATCGCCCACCCGAGGCCATGAAGCCTCTTGAACTCTGGAATCGGCCCGTTTCCGTCTAGTCCCAGCTCCTCGATTTCCTTCGCCCTCCGTGAGACAGCCGTCAGTATCGGCGCCTCCCAGACCACATCCGGATACGGCGCCGAGGACAACAAGTCGATGGCCTCCTGCCGGACCGCCGAGTCTCGACATTTGGTTGCGACAAAATACAACGGGTATATGACGCCCATCTTCATGGGAACCCCGACGAGCAAACTCGCAGCTGCGCTCTGTTGGCAGGCGTTGGATGTTCTCACCAGGGATAGAATCCGCTTGAACGCATACACGAACCGATCATATAGCGTTTCCTCGGCATAGACGGATGTAGATGCAGTTACTAGTGCGACGTAATACTGGATGAGCAGAAGAGAAGCGCGCGCAGAAGTCTGCGGACTGCCCTGCGCCTTCTGACACGAATAAGAGTACCCGAATGCCGACTTCCAGAGCTCTAGACGCGTCTGCAGGGTCTGTGTGTACGCGACCAGCTCCAGCGGAACGCCATCTGATTGATGGGTACGGTAGAAGTTGCCTCCATTACGGTAAAAGTGGATGACTCGAGCGTACTCCTCCATCAGGCAGGTTTCGGCCTGGTTGAAAGAGTCGAAGACGTAGGGAATCGGGGACATTTCTTCGCGGACGGTGACGGGGGCACGAATCCCGACATACAGCGATGCTTGCATGTCCATTCGCGCATATGCTCGTTGGATGTCTGAGTCGATATTTCCCAAAGGGCCTGCATTTAGGACAATCTTCAAACACATCTCCAGGTGACTCAACCCGGCAAGATAATCCCGCATGAGAATCTCGAACCATATACAGACGATCCCACAGAGCAGGGCTACCTGGGTAAGATATTTGTCGTTCCCCATATCCTTGACTAATCCCTGCAAGGAAGCCAACGCTCTGCCATACTTCTTCAGCCCGAAAAGATACCGACCGCTCCGAGGGGGTGTATTAAACCCATGTATCCCCACTGAGCCATTCGCCAGTCGTTCCTGCATGAGCGCGCTAAGAGCGACAACACCTCGACGGATAGCAATCTCCTGGTGCATGGCTTGGATCATGAGAGGTCGCCAGGGCGCGTACTCGCTGCCACAACTGGACATGTCCCGGGAGAGACACTCGATGAAGTATTGCACATAGCGAGCGTCTTGTTCGCTTTCTTCCCATAATCTGGGAAATTGTCGCATTCTCACCGTGGATGTCAACGTCCATGTCTGGGTGAATGAGACTGCGACTGGGCTAGTCTGTGTAAGAGAGGGGCCATCGCAGCGACGGCCTGTGCTCGTACAACGCTTGCAGGAGGGCCATGTCTCATCGCAACGGATACGACGGGTTCTGTAGCAGTACAGAGATTGAGTCAGTAAATATCGTATCAGACATATATCTACTCGTTTTCTCGTTTGAGCAGGGAGGGGTCATACTTGCATGTTCGGCAACCGGTCCTTGATTTAGTATGTGCTCTGCGCATTGTACCGTGTCTTCCTTGCGTATTTCTATAAAATTATCGATAAGATGACAGTAAAGGCAGTCAAATGTTCTACATCTGAAACAAAAGCGAGATACCCCATATACATATCAAGGGTGGATATCGGATATATCTCGGTCTTCTTTAATCCACATTATACCTATTGCGGATGAGCAATACGAGCAGACCAATGGCACTGCCCATATACTAGGGTGCTTCAATACCTGTCCAATCAATGTCCAGCTACATAAATAGCCATCTTTGTGGCTCAATAAAGTTTGTTGTGGAGCCATCTCGAGGCAGACACTTTCACTGCTGACCATTTCTCCGCTCCAGGTAAAGCCCTCCACTTTGTATAATCCGTGTTAATATCTATTCCCCTGGGCTGTCTCAGCCAACGGAAGACCATCGTCCTGCTGGGTCTTCAACGGACAGGACATGGGGTCCTTCCAATGCCCTTTTAGACTCAGTCCCGGGTGGAATATACTCATACTGCCACAGGCGACGACCATGCTCGCGCCCTCGAGGATCATGAACGCAACCTCATCATTGGCAAGGTCACTGCTGAACCCGCCGTTCAATTCGGCCGTACGAAAGATCGATCGGATGAAGATGAGGAAAGTTGCAATTCCAATGCCTGATGTACTCTCAGTTAGAACTGTCCTTTGAAGGTGATTGTTTATGGATGTGGAACTAACCCCAGAGAAACCCCCTCCATTTCCAACTGCCACCGGACGAGAACATGCAGGACTGTGACTGTCGGTGTCGGCGCAGTCTCCACAGGTAATCGATGGCAAGCGCCATGAAGGCCCCTATCGATGCAACCTGCGCTGCTAGACCTGTGATCATGATGTTGACCCCGGTATGGCGGAGGCCGTCTTGGTCCCGTCCTGCGGTGGCAGTCACGGCTCCACCTGCGGCCTGCAGAACGAGACATAGAAGATCGCAGGTCACGAAGATAATGGCGTATGTTCGAGATTTAATCCTGGAGAAGCCTTCGCCGTAGACAATGATGACCCGTCCAAAACAAAGGTAGATCGCTGCGGTGATAAAAGCGGGTCCTATGGTAAGACAGATGAGGTACCTAGCTCCATTAACATCGCACGGGCCAGGTGATAGGGGATTGTGCATCGGTACTTACTGGAGGAAGGCCGAGAAATTGAACGGATTTGAGTGAAGCATGAGGCGTCCGCCATAGCCGACGACTTCAAGAAGGAGCCCGCCAGTCATGCAAGCGAGGTAGGACCAGGTGCGGGAGCGCAGTCCCTGATAGATCTGCACAAGTAGCATGATAAGGAAAAGAGCCAGGTATAGAGCATTTCCCGGGAGACTGGGCATGTAGCGCACCAGAGCCCAGTCGAGGGGACATGTATCTAGGGTGCAGGGTGCCGTGATGGTCGGCATTGGTGCAGAGACGTGGCTTGATGGAGTAGGCATGGCTGATTTCTTTCCAGAGAAGTGTGCAATGGGAAGAAAGGATCAATGACAGCGACTTCCCATTTATAGTGAAGGGACGGTCTCTCTGATTCTCAAAATGGCACAGTCAATGCTATGTATTTTTGATATGCCAAGCCTGTATTCGTTCCCAGTGGATCAAACCCGACAATGAACCATTGCGTGCGAGCTAAAATAACTTATTCTCGAGCCAATAGACTACTAGCATCGGGTTTCGTGGTCTGGACCCCTTTTTTCCGCACTTTTTCGATAGATGCTACTGACTCAAGGTGCCACCAGTTGGGAGTTGTTCGGTGAACCATCAGCTGGGGACCCCCGGTTTCATTCGCACACGAAATAGATCCTTAGTGTGGAGTATTTCCCATCCAATTGGATGTACAGTATAGATGGTACGTCTGGACTTCAATAGACGTGGGTTAGAACATAGTAGACGAAAAAGATCGAAAGTAGTGGGCACAATTCGGCTGACCGTCGTCGAGGACGCCGGCAAGCATTGAGACAGGATCTGGTTCCATATTCGTGTTGTCTTTTGCATAAGCAACTCGTAACCCCTTCATCTTCGACCGGGCGTCGAAACTATGGTATTCGTTCTGTTGGTACTGGAAGATTGACTTCTCAAATCCGAATCTAGGGTTATATATCTTCGCTGCACCAGAATAGAAGACATTATACCGCCCTCAGAAATGCCTGTCCTCATCTGGGCGACACCACATTCCCCCTCTGTAAAGTGTTGTAAAGGATACGTTCCGCCCTTAAGCATGGCAAAGTAAATAAAGGTTCACTAGGCGGTCAGATTAATCGAGCAAACAGCATAGGCAAGTGCATGTTAGGACGACCATGTTGTCCAATCCACACTGTCCAGCCACGCTGAATCGTCCAGCCCGAACGGTGCCATTTGAGCATCAAACCCAAGATACCCAAAGACGTCCTGGAGCCCCGTGTTGTCGTCCATGCTGGATGGAGGAGCTTCGTGAGTAGGTGGAGAGTGAATATCGATGACCCTCTGCCACATCATCTGAAGCTTGTTCAAACATCGCCTCACAGACAGACTGAGGTGCTCGTGTGCACTAAATACTGATGCAGCCGTGTTCCATGAGTCCGGGACCACAGTCCCGAAGAGATCAGGTCGCAGCATTGCCGCTATCAAATGCTGCATTGCAATGTAGAGGTAGAAAATACGGTACCACCAGGGTATGAGTCCAGTCTTGTCGGGTCGCGCGCACTCCTGAACCAGCATTATGAGCTTCTGTGCGTTTTCGACGCACAGCGTGGCGCATGTTTCGAGGACGCGGTCGCCTATGCTCGTTTCAGCTGATGGAGAAACTTTCCGCGTTTGCAGATGCGATAGACAGACGCGAGCTATGACGGGTCTCAGAAACATGATGCGTGTGTGCGCCAGACTAAGAGCGCAGGCTTAGCTCCGTGTCTGATATACGAACTAGCAACGAGGGCTCGTCACGACTCACCGGAGACGAAGAAGAATCAGCCGTCCCTCGAAGGGATTAGCAGTTTCACCACTGGCCGTATTGGACGTGACGGGGGGAAGTCTGTGTTCTAATCTAGTAAGGCATTCGTCAATCTGCATGAGGGCACTGGGGTCGGCTTGGGTTGGCACAACCAAGTCCTGCCCCACTGCTGCGCTGTTGCCTGTGAGCACTGGAGAAAGACCGATGCAGCCGGTGATTTGGTTCAACTCCTGCGTTATCTCAGAGACTGAAGCATTGGTCTCACCGTCCGAATCAGGTACATCGTTACCATTTCGAACCGGGTCGAAGGATAAAAAGGGTACACTAGGTACCGTGGAATGCCGCCCAAGCGACCAAGAAAGGCTTCTGAAGGATAATCAACAGAGGCTCGAGCCTGCAAACGTGGAATACTTCTCCATACCTGTCCATAAATACGCACTGCTGCCAAACATCCCGTGCCAACTGGTTCTCCCTATTTAACCCGGACATATTCTTCTCTGAGCGGTCGAGGCCAATGCTCAGGGCAATCCGCACAGCCGAACCCAGTGCCATCCACGTCTGCTGTAGATTTGGGGTACATTGAAGATACCTGGTCATGAGAAGCAGACATTGAACGATCTCCAACGAGCCTGCTTGCCAGAGGATGACCTCCGGACGCAACAGATGCCAGGCTCGAAGGAAGAAAGATTTACTGGCACTATTTCTCTGTTCCGAAGGAGTTGATTCCTGTAATTGAGTGGACAAAGCAAGAACAAGGTTGAGCGTGCAGAGAAAAGTTTGCTCATCGCATTCCATCTCACTACCGTCGAATAGTGCCTGATAGGCGGCGCTAAAAGATCTCTGATCAAGCAGCGGTTCCAGAGGGTCGAGACATCGCCAGTACAGGCTCACCAAGTGGTCGGCATGCTTACGCGGGGGTAGAACATTATCCGCAGGATTTACCGCGAGATCTGTAAACTCTGGAAGAGACAACAAGCCAAATAACGGGGCGTCTGTCAGAAGAATAGGGCACCGCTTTTTGGAGGACGGTAGCCCCAATCTGGCATTCACAGCAGCCTTGACGGCGAAAGAGAATTCTCCTGGAATACCGGGTCCATTAGTGCTGAAAGTGTCGACGACATCAGATTGCCGCGGATGCGTTTGAGCAGACGTAACAGGAATCGGAAGTTGTCGAGATGCCGCAGATGATGAAAGAGGGTCCTTGACAGTACTGCTACGGCGGGCTGACGCCGAGATGTATGTGCATGGTTCTTGGAGCTCTCTGGTCCTTTGACATCTTCCACACGCTGGAATCCGGATAATCAGTATTTACAACATCGGGACGGAAGATATTTATCGGGGGCTACGGGTAAGAAGAGAATGGAAGCACCTGGACGCAGACCATCACATTTGACCTTACGACGCCGACACGTCGCGCAGGCAAGGACGGCCTTGTATCTCCTGTGTCGTAGGGAGACATGCGGCTTGGCTGGTGAAGCCAAGGACATCTTGCCGTGCGTCGTTCAGTATGAGACTAGACAGACTTGTCAGACGCTGAGCTGCAGAGCTACCGTCAGATAGTTGCGAGATTCCAGGTTGGATGATGAGAAACTCCGTAGAACCAGGAACGGAGGACAGTAGAGAAACGCGTCATGCTGCTTCCACGCACCAGGGAGTAACATCACATCTCTTTCCACCAATCATTGGCCATTCCGAGCTGCCTCGGGACTGATGATTGGCATGCCGAGGTGCATGGGGTAATAGACCAATAGGTTTGCTCTTACGTGATTTACCCTTTTGGCTGTCTCCTGCACAGACTACCGAGTTTGGAATAGCTGCTCTGGAACAAGCAGCTATCGGTGGTATAAACTCGAAAGCTCGGTTGGCTACCGAGTGTACTGGATGACCTCGGAACGGCCCACAATTGGATGGGTGCGAGCAGGCCCTGTCTCGACTGATTTTGACACTGTTGTCGGAGTCTAGTATTGGCCATAAGCTCGACAATGCATCTATCAGGGTTCCATAACACACCAGAATTGCATGCAGATGCTTGCAGGCATCATGTATACTTACATGTGAATCCCGATGCGAATCCCGCTGCCTCTGGGTCATGTTCGGCTTTGTTCTTTTATATCTCTAGCTGGTCCGCCTGGGTATCATCCACGGCTATACGGCTACAACCATCTCTCGCAGTCAACCGCACACAGATCAATGATGGCTGAAAACGCTCTTCCCAATCCCAAGCGCTACATTACCGAGAACGACGATGAGGGCAACTCCTCTTTCTCCAATACCCTTAACGAGTCCCTTCCCGTCGTGAACGATCTCGGCGGAGCCCTCGCACGTCTGGGCTATACTACAGACAGGCCGCCCGTGGTGCTCACCAATGGCAATGACCTCGAGCTCTACGAGACATCGCTCAAGGAGATTCCTCCGCTGGTGACTCAGGGGGGCGGTGCCAATGTTTGGTATATCGATACCCCTCCTGACTCAGAAAGTCCCATGCATCGGACCGTGAGCCTGGACTTTGTCATCCAGATCGCCGGCGAGATCGAACTCATCCTGTCCTCTGGTGAAACGCGCCTCATCAAGCCCGGGGACTTGACAATTCAGCGATCTACTCTGCACAAATGGCGGAACCCCAGCAAGACACAGTGGTCTCGCATGGTTGGTGTCATGTCGGAGTGCCAACCCGTTGTCACTAAGAATAAAACTCTGGGCGAGGATTTTCCGAAACATTGAGCAATAAATAGGGTAGGGGAACAGGAACGTATTATGTAGCTGCCACGAGATACATTGTTCTATCTCGAAGGGTGTTATATCCCTGACATGCATGCCTTCAGGACAGTAACAAGGTATGCTATACATAGTTTTCCACCAGGAATCTGATGCCTCAGATTATGACTTTTCTCTCTATCAATTCTCAGCCGCCAAAACCAATATCGTAATGCAACTTGCCATGAATTATGGTCATATGTTCCATTGACGCTTGCATGATATTTACTCTGGGTGGTCAGATGAGGGTGGATAGAATGTGGATGACTCTTGCTCTTCTGATCCTAACCTTTAATTCTAGGACATTTACTGTTACCGTCCACGTTTGCTTGCAATATGAAAAGATGCCCCAGCGCCAGGTTGCTCAGTGAATAGGCCTTGCTGAAGTTGGATCATTGGACATAAGCAGCTGACACCGGATTTGACGACATACATCCCCATGCCCAGCTACCGCTCAGCAGCTAAGCTGGATCCTTGTCTTTGCCCACACTAGAAAGGACATTTCACTGATTAGGGACTTATGGAAGCGTTGTGAGCCGTTTAAAAGTTACCTTCGACGTACGTCTGCTGACTTAAGTCATTGATGGTTGGTGATTCAAAAAACAAATGTTACTTTCTTTCGGACGGTCATACGGCGTAGTAGAGATAAGAATGTCCATTGCCAGCGCCCACTGATATCTCGCTTCAAATGGAGTTTGGCTGGTTTTGAGTGCGACTATGTATTATGACAAGATAGAAGATTAAGATAGCATGCTTCCAGGCTAGTATGTTGTAAACCAGATTCTACTTTCCATTCTCTGCAAGCCCTAAAGTAACTCGTCCACCAGCACTCTCCCGCAAAGCAAAACGACTCACCGATGACTCTACCACCTTTCCTCCCTTCGCCCACTCCTTCACAGCTCCATCATCCATCCGATCCGCCTCCTCTAGAATCGGCTGAGTATCCTTTGAAACTACTTGCGCTACCGTCTGCCAGTAACTCCCAATGAACGAGATCTCAGTCGATCTCACAAACAGAAAGATGATCACCACCACAATGACCGAGTGAACAACAATGAGCACCACTCCCAGTACGAAACCCGTCCACTGCACAGGAACCGTCGCAGTGAGTGAGAACGCCGTCACGACCGTGACCGGACTCTTTAGCTTGATCAATTGCTCGTAGTATGCCATTTGACAGACCCGGGTCAACAGGGCCTGGAGAGCCAACGCCGGACTGGCAGTCGTAATTAGGGTGTCCTGGAACAGGTCCACAAGGGTCGGATGAGCGGTGCCGAAGCTCATATAGGTGTTTATGCGAGAGAGGATCACGCCGGAGTCGAATGTGTAGTTGAGGTTGGAAAGGAGGAAATTGGGGAAGCTGGTGAGGATGCTCATGAAGAAGGTGGTTGAGTTGGCTCCGAGTGCCAAGGTACCCAGTCCCGGGGTATCTGCTGGGATGTGGAAGGGTTCCCATTGGGATCGGGGGTCTAGCATGAGGATACCCCGTTGGTCGGCAGAGCTCTTATTGCCCGGTGGTACTACGCCTAGTTGGAGGCGGGGGAGCTGAGTGTTGTACCTCTCGGTGCGGTAGTCCCAAGCAGTCTTAGGCTCTAGATTGTTGGATGTGCTGTTCATTCCGACGGTGAGGGTTTGCATGGCGAAGTTGGTGAGGCAAGCTGAGATTGGGTAGATCCGTTAGAGACTAACGTCCAGGGGCCGTCGGCTCGGATAGGCTGCAAAGCTCAGATGTAGCCTAGTGTGCCCATCATTGCGGCGGAGGAAACGACGTCAAGGACCATCAATAGATACGGGGCCTCGGGGAAGCCGTAGGGTTGAATCAGAGGGTTTTCGTTTAGGACCGTCCAGTTTGACCGTATGTTGGGGACGCACAAGCTGGTCTCGCCCATCGTGTTGTTCCCATAGTAGATTGGAGCTGGCAATCTGCAAGTGAAGTTGATGTACGGTTGAGAATGGCGGTCAATCAAAAGTGGATAGGTCAAGTTCTCCGTGGGGATCTGTCCGGACAGATGCACATAATTCTGCATGGTCGCATCTAGGCTCAAGTTGCTTAGGGGTGGACTGGCGCAGATAACCCGATGATCCGTGACTGGCACTGGGCCTCGGAGCCAGCGGAGTTTGGTTCGTTGCGCCTCCCCCTCGAAAGGAAGGAAAGCTCGAAAGGTGTGCCCGGTATCATGGAACCCCAATCGGTTTTCAAATAATCCCGACAGCTCGGCGAACGTCCAGCTAGCTGCAGGGGGCATTGTCCTTGAAATATCGGCATTATATTCCGTATGAAGTATACCGACATTGCTTGAGCTGCTGGGCTGGGAGAAGGTTCCATTGCCAAAGTCAGACAGAAAGATGGTGGACAGGAACTGAGACGTTGCTGTCACCAGCACCTCGGTGAGCACCAGCACATAAATAAAGCGCGACAGATGAGGCTGGAAGTCGGTCGAAGTCCAAAGATTACTGGGGGCTACCTTGACTGCCCGGAGAATAGAGTAAAATGGACCATGTAGGAGAGGTGCCCCTGTAGTTTCCAAAACAATCCCAGCGACCATGGCCGTGGCAAGACCGGCCTGGAAAGCCATCACTGTTCGGATAGAAGCAGTGCATACCGTCACCAGTTGCGCCGCCCAGCCTGCATTGACAACACGCACCCAGTAGATACCTGGCTCTGCCCCATCGATAGCTTTCATTGATTCATGCCAAAACATGGCCAGGAGTGTCACTGTGAGCATGAGAAGCAGGAAGCCAAGGAATACAGTCAGAACACTGGTGGTATCAATTCTATGCCAGATATTACTTGCCTTGCGATGGGGCTCTTCTTCAGCCTCATCATTGTTCTCTTCCGCGTTTATGTTAAGGGGCTCTAAAGGGATATACTCCCTTGTACCACTGGTAGACACCTGGTAGACAGTTGGAGGTAGCATAATAATAGCCACCCAGGAGTTTTACGGTTTGATCAGAGGCCAGCCATTCTTATCCTTTTCGCCCCCTACGTTGCCCAGCATGTGCATGGGCAAACAAACCGAGTGATTGGGTGCATAGGGTCGATCCAATGACGTTAGGCTGTAGGTCGTTCACCCGCCCAAATAAGAAAATCAGTACGACGATCGTCCGGGTCCTGCAGAGTACGCTATGTTGTAACCAATCAACAAAGCTCGGGTGTGGCAGTGTGCAGATACCAAGAGACAGGTGTAGCCTGGAAGTGCAGCCTCACCTCAACCCCCTTCTCTAGTACCAAGCAGCAATATGGATATTCAACTCAGGGATATTATAGTAAGCCAGCCAACAGACACTTCTAGAGGTGTTATCTAGTGTGATCTAGGTAATGTATTAAGTGGTGGACAATCTAAGTAAACCAGAATGCTTAATCAACCACCTAAGGTTCTATTAACCCCTCGCACAACTCTCTAAGCACATGACTTGACAGAAGATAGCCACTTAGCCAGGTTACTAAGTTTATTTCTAATATGTAAGCTAATATGGCACCCCACAAAGCTACTAAATCCATATGACTAATGCAAGAGGACTGTCTATTCCAAGCAGAATATGATCATGTTAGATGTACTATGTATGTTTATTACAATCACACTAAACTATGTCCACAACCTCCACAAGTTCAAGAACCAGTCATTCATTACAGACTCATCAGATGCGCAAATCAGGTTGTGAAGCATGGCAGGTAGTAAGATCAGCTAGCTTAGGACTTAGGGATATATTATGTGGAGATGGAAGCATTAGGACTTATGAATAACTTTTTATGTCTGGTTATTCAGGGCATCTATGACTACACTATATCACGCAAGAATAAGGAATGGCAAGGATATACAGCCCGTTCCCGTCGAGCCGCACGGGTATCACTTGTGGATGCCCATGCCGCCAAAATGATAAGACTTGAAAGCCTACCTGACTCGCCGACATAAGAGGAAGGCTGAGACCGATGGGAAAGAGGAAAGACCCTGAGCGCAAGCCATGTGATCCTCGTATTTGTCCCTCGTATTTAGCACAGTATTTCTTCTTATCATCTCGGACTCTCCCCTCTGTGCCATAAGCCCATTTTAACGTAGAGCCCTAAGCTCGGCTCAAGTATATAGTGTGTAAATGAAGACACTATACTCTCGAAATAGCATATAAAGAGTCCCCTGAGCACTCTACACGCATGATAGCTATGGACCTATATGTTCATGCGTCCTGTTTGTAGACTGTCTATCAACCGGGACTACGGACTTAGTACAGCAAACCCCGCAGGGTTCGATGAAAATTTACGCTTGCTGAAATCGGCTTTCTGTAATTGCTATGGTCATCCTCCGAAACCCTTTTCCACGCCAAGGTTTCAGGATCAGGGTTCTCCCAGTCTCGGACATTGCAGACTGGGATTCATCCCTCAGACTCCGCTTCCTTCAATACACTCGGAACTTCATGACGAACGAGACTCAACTCGGCCCAGAGCGTGTGGATCAGGATGAAACATGCATGGCACCTCCATGGATACAAATAAATGCGCAAATGAGGTGCTAGGCCCACTTTTGCATTCTACATGTTACCACGAACTACGCAAAATGTGGGAACGACTTGTGACCCAAGTCATTGGAAAGCTAATCCGATGTCTGACCCTTACCCTTTTTAAGTAAGACATTGTCCACTTAAAGAAACTATCAACACCTGCAGTGAAGCAGTTGGATCCTTGCCTGGTCACCCTCCTGAATCCTCTATTACCTCCACGTGGGTAGTACCTACAACCAGGATGCATATGCTCTGGTCTGCGCTGGCTTTCAGCGCAACTGCTTTAGCCCAAGTAACGGGATCCAGGTCCATCAAGTTTATTTCCAAGGGCAATCCAATCCTCTCAGATGGCTCGTGGTACTCGGCCGACCCTGCACCACTGGTGGTCAATAAGACAGTCTACATCCTCACCGGACGGGACAGTGCTGCTCCAGATGAAAACAACTTTATCATGAAGCAGTGGGGAATGTTCGCCTCCTCGACACCCAACCCTGCCGGCTCCGAATGGATGCTCTACCCGAAAGTAGCAGAACCGCACAAGGTGTTCGCCTGGGCTGCTCCCGGGACCTCATACGCAGCACAAGTCGTTCAGGGCCGCGACGGTCGATTCTACTTGTACGCTCCCGTGACACAGGCCAATAGCAAGAATGAAGACCCGTTTGCTATTGGGGTGGCTGTGTCCGACTCTCCTACCGGGCCCTATGTCGACGCTCACCCTTCTGGCCCGATCATCTCGCAGTCAGTACCTCCGCCGGGCAATTCCATCCAGAACATCGATCCCACTGTGCTTGTGGACGACGACGGCAAGGCCTACATCTACTTTGGTACCTTTGGCGCATTACGCGCATATGAGCTGGACGCGGACATGGTCACTGTGCGGTCGTCCGTCACTCAGGTGAATGGACTGACCGGGTTTTTCGAGGCCCCGTGGCTGATGAAGCGCAAGGGCGTCTACTATCTGCTGTTCGCAGCCAACAACGCAGGCCTGGACTCGCCCTGCACGCCAACATCGTACCACGCTTGTATCGCCTATGCGACGGCGTCTTCCCCGTTGGGTCCGTGGAAATTCCGGGACGTCATTCTACCCATCGTTTCTTCGACAACCTCCCACCCTGGAGCGATCGAGCTCAATGGTGAATGGTTCCTGGTCTACCACACGGCGGACGCTAACGGAGGCGGCCATTTCCGCCGCAGTATCGCGCTGGACAAGCTTAACTGGGACGATAGTCAGTCGCCCCCGGCGATCCGCAAGGTCGTGCAGACAATTGGACCCAAGCCACCGGCTCCTCCAACATACAATATTGCGCCCAAAGCTGTGCCCAGCTCGAAGTATCCCTCAGGGATTCAGTACTGGATAAAGGCCGTCAACGATGGGATCATTCGGGCCAACCCCCTGCCCCCGGATTACTGGAGCTCTTACGAGGCGGAAAAATCCCGAGAGACCAGCGTGCTTACCTATGTGTGGAAAGAACCAGTGGAACTCAACGGGACGTCGATGGTTTTCTTCGCTGACCAAGACGCCGGGGCTAACGTGGGAGTTGCGCCCCCAAAGAAATGGTTCGTGGAATATCTAGATCAGTCGTCCAACTGGCAGCCTGTTGTCAACACCACTACCTATGCCCTGAAGGTGACCGACACTCCGCAGGTGGTGAAATTCGAAACCATCCGCACCACGTCGATCCGTGCCACCCTGATCGCATCCGGCTCGGGCGGGCAGTTTGCCGGTGTTGGCGTGAAGGAATGGGCAGCTTTGGCGACAGAGCTGCAGAAAACTTGACGGATGTGTGAGGATGTTTCAGAGTAATATATTCACGATAAGCGGATTGGCGACGAGTTAGAAGCTATACTGCGGAGATATCCTCCTTTCCATGTAACGCCGGAGTGCTCGGCGTCGAGGCCAATAAATCTAATGCATCATTCATTACTCCGCAAGCAACAATGCCCCCGCGAATAAGGAGTTCATCCGTTTCTTTTTAGCTTAAGCGGGGTTTGATGAAGCCCACTTTATCCCAGTCGTCCGCCGGTCTTATACCCAAACAGGAAGGTTGGAAGCTACAGTCTCGAGGGATCGACATGCAGAGACTACTTCAGAACACAACCTGACTTGACTAGGAATGGGCCAATAACTCTGTCGATTCTAATTTCAAAATGTCTGCGGAAGGAATGGGCAGTGATCATTGTGATTGTCAAGCCTGAGATATTAATAATACAAAGCTAGCCATGCTTCGAAAGGGTAGAAAAAGCCAAAGAAGATCAAGCTTTCAACGTTCTTATTCCCATGATACGCAATCATCAAAATGGGCTGGCATAGTCTCTCCACAACCTTGGGCGTTGTCACCTCTCTGCTGGCTCTCAGCGTCTGCGGTCAAAAGGACAGCCTCGGCCTCAAAAATGGATACATCTCCCTGTCCACGGCCAATTGGGACCTGAAGCTTGTCAAAGATGCTCAGGTTCTTGCATCTCTCGCGCCCAAGGGGAACTCCTTTGATTTCCTCCCCTTTGACTATCTCTCCGTCCGCACCGAGAATGAGCAATATCACAATGGGGATATCACCTTCAGCTACCGCGCTACCGGGGAGACCGAATGGGTTGAGGTAGATTCCGCGAAGTCTCGCAAGGCCGTGACCGTCGTCCAGGCCAAGGATGCACTGGCAGCTGCCGACTTGACGCCGACTTTGCCTGCTAACTCGCCACTCCGCATCATCCGCAAATGGGTCGATGTCGACGGCCACTTGGGCCTGTCCTTCACTCTCACCAATACTGCCAACCATGACATTGAAATAGGTAGTCTGGGCTTCCCAACTGAGTTCAACAGTATCTTCACCAACCGGAGCCCGGAGGAGATGTCGGCCAAGTGCTCGCTGACAGACCCTTATATTGGCATGGACGCTGGCTATCTGCAGGTCACACCAACGTCTGGCACGGGGGCAGCGTTGATTGTGACACCCTTGGGCAACACAAGCACTCCGTTTGAAGCGTGGCGCAATATCTATGAGCCCTATTTTGACTCCACCGCATACGGGAGTCAAACCTTCGAGGGATTCTACGAGTGGCTGGTACACTCCAAGGCCTACGCCGACACGGAATGGCGCAAGGCCAAACCTTGGAATCCCCCCACCTCGCGCATCCTGAAAGCCGGACAGTCTACAACTGTCGGTCTGCGGTTCTCCGTGGTGAAGGACGGCATCCGTGGTATCCAGAAGGCAGTGCGTGCCACCAACACCCCCCTGACGATTGGGACGGGATACGTGGTGCCTCGAGACCTCACCGTGCAACTGCGCATCCTCGCCCCGGCCGACGTCGTCTCGGTGGTTAGCGAGGATAATGCATTGGCCATCACCCGAAAGGAGAACACGCTCTCGCTGACTCCCACCGGATCCGCCTGGGGCCGCAACCGGCTCACCATCACCTACGCCGATGGCAAGACCCAAACGGTCCACTACTTCATTACGGAGTCGGCCCCAGACGCCGTCACCCGTCTGGGCCAATTTTCCACCTCAACAATGTGGTTCACTGACAGGTCGGATGCCTTTGGCCGCGCCCCTTCCATCATGTCATATGATGCCTCTACCAAAAAGCCCGTCCTCCAGGATCCCCGCGTCTGGATTGCGGGACTGAGCGACGAAGGTGGTGTCATCTACATGGCGACGGCGATGAAACAGAGCGCCCATCCGGATGCCAACGAGATCGCCAAGCTGGAGGAGTTCGTCAGCAAGGTGCTCTTCCCCACGATCCAGAATGAGGGTGACCTGGTCCGCAAAAGCATATTCTTCTACGAGCCCTCCGCCGTGCCAGGGTATTCTTACAGCAAGTCCATCGACTGGGGCAACTGGTGGTCGTGGAACAAGGCCGATTCCTACTCAACCCAGCGCTCATTTGATTATATTCACGTCGTCGCCACGTACTGGGCGCTGTATCGCGCCGGTCGTGACCAGCCGGGGTTGCTAAAACAAGGTACCTGGCAGTGGTATCTCGGCCGCGCCGTTAATACCACCATTGCTTGCTTTGCAACCAACTCTGCCGGCAGGGAGCTGGTGCAATACTCGCGGGTTGGCCAGATGGGCGAGACGGTGGTCGGTGAACTTCTCCATGATCTGCGCCGCGAAGGGTGGTCCAAGGAGGCAGATGCGGTGGAGGTGTCCATGAAAAAACGCGCAGATCTGTGGAACTCGCAAGCAGAGCCGTTTGGCAGTGAGATGGCGTGGGATTCGACGGGACAGGAGGGTGTGTACTACTGGTCCAAGTAAGCCACTTCTGCTCTCTCTTGGAAGGATTACAAGCTGATAGAGGACTTTGCGAACAGCTATTTCAAACTCACCAACACCGCGACCAAGACGATCAATAGCATTCTGGGATATATGCCTACTGTTTCTCACTGGGGCTGGAACGGCAATGCCCGGCGCTATTGGGATTTTATGTATGCACTGCTCTGCTCTCTTTCACCAGCGTCAAGAACCTAATATGCTTCCCTTCTAGCTACGCCGGAAAGCTACAGCGCATCGAACGTATGATCCACCACTATGGCTCCAGTCTCAATGCCATTCCCCTGCTCGCACAATTCCGCCAGCAGCCCAAGGACACTTACCTTCTCCGCGTCGGCTACGGCGGTGTCTCTGGGCCCCTGACCAACATTCGCCAGGACGGCTCCATGTACAACGCCTTCCACTCGTTTCCCGACACTCTCGTGGGCGACGACTACTCGGGCGACTACGGGCCGAATTTCCTTGGTGTTATGCTCGCGTCCGCCACATACGTTGTCGAGGACCCGGATCTGGGGCTAGTTGCGTACGGCGGCAACCTCGCCGTAAATGGACAGGCGGTGACAGTACAGCCTCGCGATGCAGTTCGCCAGCGGGTGTACATAGCGTCCATGGGAGTCTACATCGTCGCCAGCTCCGGCTGGATTGAACAGTTTTCTTTCGCGAGAGCGAGCGCCCAACAGGTGACACTTCAGCTTGTCCCCGGGCCGTCCAAGGCTACATCGGCAATTGTCTGGGTTGAGAGTCCTGGCACAAGCACTCAGTACAAAGTCGCCTCGCAGGCCAAGGCAAAGCGCGGAGGATGGCAGGTGCAGTTAGCCAATGGGGGTGTGGAAGTGACCGTAGCCTCTGTGTAGGATAAGGCTACAGAGTTTAGTAAGGGTCGTTCTCCAGAGAGACTTGCCATTGCAATCATCGCCATATCAGTCGACAGTGTATGTGTCTTAAAGATACCGTGCTCATACACAATAGAATGCAAGAGAGATACGATTATTGCCTTCAGGGACTACTACCTCGAAGTTACCCGGATTCTTGGGGGTTCCCATAGGTACTCTGTATAATAGAGCCAGATCCAGTCGTTTGGGCGAAAGGGGTAAGGGGAATCGCTGGTTCTTTCGGAGTGTGGATTGGGTGATCTATGAGGGGAGAATGGCTTCCTACGGGGAGGAGCCCACGGCTTGAAGTTGTTCACTTGAAATGTAGGGGTCATATTGTATTGTGAGGACTTGGAAGTGTTCGGGGGCATATAGTGGTAGGAAGGCAACCAGGACAAGGGGGGAAAAAAGGGCATGGGAATTGAGTGATTACTGCAACTTTCGCGGCTCTGTTAGTCTCCTTATACATCCTCTCCCAGGCTGTCCAGTCCACATTTCCATCCTTCCCTTGGAAGTACCTACTAGGCAAATTGTACAACCTACAAATCCCATCCAGCGCCGCTAACATGTCCACCTCCATGTAGCAACGACGACTGGGGCCCGAGATCTGCCGCTTTGAGCCAATCGCATCCAGTTATTGCAGCTCCATGCCTCGCAAGTCAAAAACACGGAAATGGAAGAGATGCGGCAATTTCGCTATTGGCTCATGATCAAGGCAAGAATACGGAACGGCCGTGGAGTGGAGGACAAAAACAAGTCCACAGACATAGCAGACGAGCTGAAACCTATGACCTAGGTTTGGACGGTAAGAAATCGCTAAAGGAGAAATCTAGCTAGGGCCGCGGCGGCCGAACATAGGAAGAAGTGTGTGAGTGGTCTGTGGGTCACGTGACGAAGCAGATAGCTATATTAATTAGTAGAAGTCACGTGACCTGCAGCTGGTGTCCAGTTTGGATATGACTTCGCGAGGGCCGAACAGCCTGAGCACTCAGCGGGCCCTGCCCGCTACACTACTCCCCCCCCTTCCCTTCTGGGGTGGCAGTATTCCCAGGTGTTAAGCACTGCTGTGTCGGTGAGGTTGGCAGTGGGCTCCCATGTAGGGCGTTCATAGCCTACCTATTTAACCAAGTATTCCGTGCGGCGGCCTCATCTAATTCACTTCTCACATTCCCCTAAGATCTCTTCAACTGTGTATTCAGCTTCGCCATTCACAAGCTTTAGTGGCGGCTGGTAATCGTCGTTCAACTGACTTGGGAATAGGTCGTCTGTAGTGGGCCGTAGGAGACTAACATGAAATACATTATGCACGCCTGGCAGTGTGTCTAGTCAGTAGGCATGTGACCTAATAGCTTCTAGTACTGTGAACTTGTGCGTTGCTGTGCCTCGCATCACCAGACCCAGGTAATTATGGGGCTCGGGCGGCAACGGCAAGTCTTTCCAACCAATTGCGCCATGTTCTCCCAATTGCATGATCCCAGACGCAGGTGGGGTATATGTTAGGCAGCCGCCGACTCCAGATTGAGATTTGATGGAGATGTCATGTGTTTGAGATGTCATTGCTAGGTGCGGGTAAATCGCCTATAGTGAAGACTTTGGGCGTAACTATTTTAGAGAGTTCCTATTTGTCAGGAGGACGGACTTTAACAGAACCCTTCCCTTTCGACATCAATCACCACACGCGGGATGCTATTCCAGGTTTTCGCGAAGCAGGTTAAAGATTAGATCATCCTCAACCAGCTTGGAGCTATTGTCACTACATAGAAGGCCAGGGCTCACCTGTGCTACGCTACAGGAAAATTCTATCTGACTGGGGCCCCGAAAACGATCCAAAAGGATATAAATAGCCGCTTGAATCCCAACTCTAGACCTGGATTCTATCATGACAACCCGCAATCTCAACAGGACCTGGAGAGACGTTGTCTTCGCCCAGTACGCTGCGGATCTTGAGGCCGACGAGCCATTCCCTATTCGCTACCTGATAAATGCGCCCGAGTGGAAAAAGGATATATTCATCAGCGTCCCAAAGAAAATCTCTCCAGAGGACTACCGCCGCTCTGTTCATACCTTTTGCCGTACAAAGTATCGCGACCCAGACCCAGCTTTCGAAGACAAGAACCTCTCAATCCGAGCGCGTGTATCCAGATATAACCAACAAGCTGAAAAGATCGACAACAAACAGGATGCTCAGGAATCACAAAATTCTCCTACCTGCTCTGGTGATGCTTGCGGCAGGAACTAATGGTTAGAGACTTGTTGTCTACGCTGACGGCAAGTGTGAGACCCAAGCAACAGCGGACTACTCAGGAACCAGCAATCAGGGCTGTACTGCAAATCCAACTAGTCACCGCGGCCTAGAACTTCATGATTTGGGAAACTGCTGGGTTGCGCTTTATGCATCAGAGGGCGACTGTAATTCTAGCAATTCTCAAGCTCAATATTAGGCTGGCAACGAAGACGTCTGCATCCCTCCTCAGTTTATTTAGGATTGGTATGATGTTTGGGGTTGCTGAAGCTTTATCTGACCAGAGCATGCCATTCCCAACACGAAACTTTCCTTAAAATTATGTATTTAGCTACTATAATAGCATAAACTATCGTGGATAACTAACTCATAACTCACCCGCTTTCATATGCTAAGGTCAGTGTTTCCTGAACGTCCCTTCTATCAGTTATGCCAATGACGGGCGTAGGCTAGGGTGATCCGGACCCTAAGTAGGCTGTTGATGGTGGGCGTAGCATAAAAGTCATAGCAGATATCGCAGGACTCAGGAGCAGTGAGGTCTCTAACATACCGGGAAACCCACTCTGGGCTCCAGGGTTATGGATGGGCTAAGGCATCCGCCTCGAAAGCTTCGTGGGCCGGTGGGTTGGGGTGTGGGCCCAGATGTTGATGACTCCTTTGGTCAGATGTGGCTCGTAGGACTTACGGGGTAGCACGGGATCTTCTTGCAGTATTGGCTTATGGCCTTACCTGATTGTCGACGGTAGCGATCTAGAGGCGGTTTCGAGTCCTATATGATTATCCTATAGTCTGCTTTATTCGGGTGTCCACTGTTCTATCGCTCGCTGCTATGTATCGTTGGGACAAAGCTGAGCCCTCGGAGTATGGAGTCCAGCCAAGATCTACTCTCCTTCTACCGTAGCTGAGCAGCCGATCGCCTGGATGCTGTTCGCGTTCGGCCTGGTTGTGTTTTCACACATTCAATTAGGGCGCTTGGGATCATGACGAGATACAAACTCGGATTCGGCAGTATCTGTCATGACATTATCTGCCAACGAATTGTAGGATGAATCGTAGGATTCGGCGGAATTATAGTTGTCATTTGGATCTGACGTAGACAGTTCTGTTCAAGCACATGAGACCGGAGCGCAAGTGATGCTCAAAGGAAGGACGCACCATCAAGTACACAATTGCTGGACTCGGCATCCACCAATGCTGTATATGTTGATAAGAGCTCATAATTGATCGTGTCTGATGGAGATGTCCCCTCTACTTTACGAGTAAGGTGGGCCTGCGCGGGAGCAGCCTGCGGACTGTCTCCAATCCGTCCTTTTGTCATGTTCTCTAAGGAGACTGAGTAGCAGTTACGTCAGTCAACTTGGATGGAAGATCATATTGACAAAGTGGACCGGAGACAAAAAGGACATGGCTCGTTTCCAACTGAGTCCACTGCTCTCATGCTCCAGAAAGTATCCTACCGAGCTCCGGCGACAGCGGCACACCCCTCCTCTCCCATTCCCTCCCACCCCCTCGCAAAAAAAAAACCCACCAACAACACAATCCCCGAAGATGGCCACCATTGTATTGCCTTTAGGCGCCGGATTGGTGAACCTATATTGATTTGTCCTAGGCTCTGGCCAAAGATCATCGGCAACGTCATCAAAAGTGAATATCACTATATGAGATGGCGACGTGTTAGTGTTCCAAGAGTGCTTACAGGGGGGCATACCTGGTGAACGTTTTAGAACACTGATTTATCTAAATTCGCTCACATCCTGAGGGGGAGGTGAATTGATAATCTTGTACTCATACGCCTTGGGATCCCAACTGTGTTCAAAGTTAGTTAAGTTAATCACAGACAGTGCTTGACATACGCTTTATTGATGGTCTTATATTCTATCCTGGAGGCCTGCATCCTTTTGTCATCTGTATTATTCTGCCTTCTTCTTGGGTCCAGCGGGACTGATATCTGCGCCATCGGAAGCCGCTTGATGTTTGCCTTCAAGCACAGCTTGGAAAAGGTCTTTTAACTGGCTCATTATTACAGGCTCTAAGGGAATGTGGGAGCTTTCTGTACAGGGAACATGCTGACGTTCACCCCTAAGTCATTTTATCCCGATCTCACAAGCCTCATAGAAGCCAAGAGCATCTGCCGTGTTAGAAGAGTCAGCCTGGCCTCTCGTGTCGGCAACGTTCGCCAACAGCTTCTCAAGCTCATCTGCATTAAGCTGAGGCTGACTTTTCTTTATGTCGCAGCTAAAACAGGTATTAGCGATGTGTCAAGCAAGTAGAAGGCAACAACTTACACTCTAGGGGCTTTTCTCTCCTCCACATTTGAAACCCGAGCGCCTGCCACCAGTCGTTGTCCACCTGTCGCAGCGGTATCAACTGTGTTCGGCGTCAATTGGCCACACTTCGCTAGCCCAAGATCTTGATCTTGCATATCCTTGTTGAGAGTCATTGACGATTTTGAATTTCCTGAGACCCTGCAGTCGCTTGCAGTGGGTCGTAGCTTCTCTGCAGAGACTGAATATGCTCTGGGGTCATCGGCAGCATGGATGAGGAGATCAGTGGGCTCTTTCAGCTGGAAAACTGCGGCAGGCTCCGAAGGGGTGATGCAGGGGCTGTTAGGGGGTGTCATGCCCTGACTATCGCAAGGCAGATGAAGATGATTGTCCTTCTCAACGACAACAGACACTGATGTTGAGTGTCCAGTAGTAGCAGCAGATGATGGTGTGGCCTGAAAGGCCTCCAGAAGGTCTGTTAGTAGGCTTGTAGTGGTAGGCTGGGATTTTTTGGATGAGAAGGCAGGCGCAACGGGCATCTTGGACAACACTTGTCTGATAGCATTGACAAAAAGCTGCTCAAGGTCATCCTTGTCCGTACCCCACAAGGACGACTCCGAGGTGGGCTGCCAGGAGGCGTCACGACTTGGAGACATGGAGATGGAGGTGCAGTGATTGATTTTTGAGAGTAGGCCATGCTGGGGAATTGGTTGGCAACAAGACTGGTGCAGCTTGGGGCAAGGAGTTATGATGATTGATGGTCTGTATGTGTCAACAATGTTTGAGGTTGACGAAATCCTGAGGGAACCCTTGCCTCCTTATATGTCTTTCGTTCAGTGAACCATTATGTGGGATATCTATTCCTTTCAGCGCGATATGTCGCTTCCACTCTCGCAATTCCGACGTCCAGATGTTCTGCAGGATGCATGATCATTGTGATCATTGTCTTGTTTTGACCAAGCTCTCAACTGTGCCGCGACTTCCGCAACGAGCGCCTCGAACGGGTTGGATCTATGATTACCCTATCCTGAAATAACTTGGCATATGCATGGTAGAATTAGGATTTGCTCCGCAGCCGCCTGTTTCGGCTCCCTGGTCACGTGACAAAGGAAGGTCGGTCCCGTATGCCAAGACACATCGACAGTCCGTCAAGGACCGTACAAGAACCTCAGAAGAGGGACCGTCAGGAGGAACTATATAAGGACAGTCATTACCAGTGTATCTAGAGTTCTTAGTTTAGCTCCTCGCGTTCAATATCAATTACAAGCTTATCACTTGAGTACAAGTTCACTAGTCCGATTCGTCAGTTACTCTTTACTATTGAGTATACGTACTCAATAGCGTAATCCACGGCCGAGTGACGAATACGACCGAGTGACGAATTTTCGTCGCACCCATGCTGTTTCTGAAGCTTTTCAACAGCAAAATATAATTAAATTAGATTATATAGTAATTAATTAAAAAAGTTAATTATTAGGACAAGTTCTTATTGTATGTCTAATGGACCAACAGCTACTACAGCACAGTGGAGCTTACTGGTGAGGGGCAGGTGCAGACTCATCAACCTGCTCATTCCATGGTATATCAAGCTGCTGAACGCGATTTTGACCTTCCTATACAGATAAAAGAACATCATCACCTAGATTAGCACGCCTTCTTGCCTTCTTTCTGATCTTCTGCTCATTTTCAGCCCATAGAACCTTAATTTCTTGTTGCAGAAGAAGGTTCATATTCATTGCCATTTGAGCTGCCTTTTCAAGATGTTAAATATATGATACTGGGCTGCTAGAAAGCTTCCTTTTCTGAAGACTTCTCTGCAGGCTGTGGACCTTGTGATCTAGCTGCTGAGGATTCTGAGGTGTTTAGAAAGTAGAAGAGATTGAGCCTTTAACAAGAAGTAGTGGTGTTAGTGTATGAAGTTAAAAAGTGATCTTTTCAAGCACTTGGTCCTAATTAAATGGTTTAAGACCAGCACCTGCAAAGCCACTGCATATATTCTTTTAATTAAAGACTTTTTCATGTGCAGGCAGATATAGGTGCAGAAAGTCTTCTTTATTAATATGGTTATTTCCTGCAACCATCATTCCTTTAACTAACTTCCTATATGTGTGTTTTAGCAGGCCAAAAACGCCAACATCCAGTGGCTGTAGAAGGTGGGAAGTATAAGGTGGCATGTAAAGGTAAATAATTATATTTTCCTTGTAGAAAGCATCAAATTCTGTAGTCTGGTGGCTAGAATGGCTATCAAGAATAAGTAATCTCTTTGCACTAGTTGAACTCTGCTGTAAGTGTGGCTCAAACACCTCCTTAAGCTAGTGAAGGCCTATTATATTAGTTGTCCAGCCATTGTTACTCTTTGTAATTAACTAGGTTTGAGGAACTACTAGTTCTTGATACCAGGTAGCCTGTTGCTCCTTCCCCTTTAAGATGACTACTAGTGGTATAGAAACCCCCTTTGAGCTTACACATTTAATGATTGTAACCCATTCATAATTCCCTTAAATAACTATATGGGGTCTCTCACTGCAATCTACTGCAGTAATAACCTTAGATATTATATAGAGTCCCATTGTAAAGCTAGTTTCATTAAAGTTCTAGATATTATCTTTATGGATGCTATGTTCCTGAATAGCTCCATGTATAGTTTTAAACCACTGTTTTATAACCTTTGGATCCTCCTGCTTTGCACACTGGTATATAATTCTCTGATTATATCTTGCACATAATTTAGGATGGTGTTTAATAAAGGAATAGGCCTAGTTAACTCTAAGCACTGTGGTAGAATCTTAGGAGTATTTATGAAGTAAAATCTACGCTATTTTATGCAGAAACTCTGGCTGAATTAAAAAGCCTTGCTTATCTGTATCTAGCACTCTCTTCACAAGGACCTCCTCTTTAATAGCTGTTAATTTATGGCTATTAGCGCGTGTTTCTATATATGGTTTTGTTCCTTTAAGCTGACAGCAAAGGGTAGCCTTAGATATGCTAAATACTTTAGTAGCTTTTAATTTTACTTTAATTTTTTGTGTTTTATAGGTAGAGATAGCCATTTGCATGTGATTTTCTTGGGATAAGAGTATTTTGTATAAGCATAATGAAAATCTGACGCGTTGTTGAATGTTGATTTGAGTATTTTGATGGGTGCGATGAAAATTCGTCACTCAGTCGTATTCGTCACTCGGCCGTGGATTACGTTAATATAGAGCCTACCCTAGGCTTGGACAGATGAGAACTGATATATTTATCATCTGAAATGTGGTTGAGTGCCGAGCCGAAGCTAAGGCGGCCCAATGGTGCATCGGACCCCTGATAATGCGAGGAGATCAGATCATGATTTATCCCATTCAGACGACAAAATGATTGGACCACTTCCTAGTGATCTGGTCGTCAATCAACATCTAAGAAAACATCACCACCGAGATAACACCCTCGAGTCGGCGGAGGCTGAGATTGAGAATATATATATATATAAAGCAGGGCAACAGGCCTGGCGGCATACAATATGGGACTACAGGAAGAAAAACGGAGCCTCCAATTTTAGTATCTAAACAATTGTGTTGTTACCAGCCTAGATAGCTAAAAGATACCCAATTTAATCAGGATCGATTGTGCAGTGGTGGCATTATGGGTAGTTGAGTCTCCTGCATAGCACCATTACTGGATAGACGAGTTCTATAGGCGCAGGGTATTGCCTATCATATAGGCTTGATCTCCCTTTAGTACACAGGGTGATAATCGTTTACGAATGCTAACAGCAAGCAGTTAATCATGACAATGTAGACAAGGAGCTATGAGCCTGACACTGATGCTTGGGTCTTGTCATAGATGGAGGCCCATTCCTGCGTCAACTACCAAAGTATAGCAAATATACATATAGTTTGCAATGTCTGTTCATTTAGAGAAGTATTGGAAGGCCTATGAGTGGTTACTTAGACTGTACAACCCATCACTCTCAATAGACATCATGACTGATTCCGGTATATCAGATCCCTCATAAGCCCAGGGATCACCTTCAAATCCAACGCAGCCTCCAGATCCTCCTTGTAAACCCCCGTCTCCACCAAAAACTCCCGCACAGGCTCTGTCGCCCGCAGATAATAGCACAAATAATGCACCACACTGCGCCCCTTGGTATCCACAATCCGCACATCCGCTCCATTTTGAATCAAAAACCGGATTATCGGGGTTATGGGGCCCCCAGGAGAGTGCGGCGGAAGTGTCGTCACCGCATGGAGCAGCGCCGTCCAGCCCATGCCCGTCCGACTACGTGCATTGATGTCCGCTCCCGCAGCAAGCAGAGCTTGCGCTTTGGGTATACTCCCGATAGCAGCGGCGCAGTCAAGCGGGGTGACCGTATCACAATCATCCTCGCTTTCAGGCCCACTGGTGCACTCGTGCAATTCTCTGAAGATGTTTTCTCCGGACTCGTAGCCGCCCATTAGAATGCCATCGTCGGCGCGCGCCCAGACGTTCGCCCCGTGCGCAAGGAGGTAGCTGATTAGGGAGGTGTTGTCGGCCACTGGTCGTGTGCAATTGGCCCGGGGGATTGGGTCCTCGCCGAAACAGTGAGTAGCCAAGTGCAGCGCGGATGCGTTTCTGGGGAATGATGGGAGGGCGGAGATATCTGCACCGCATTCCTCGACGAGAAACTTGACCGTGCTGAGGTGGTTTTTTGCTGCCGCAAAGTGCAGTGGAGTCCAGCCGTAGCTGTTCGCGTCGTCTGCTGGCAGATGCGTATGCTGGAGAATCCACGCAACCGTCTCTACGCGCCCGGCCTCCGCTGCGCGGTGCAGAATCGTCGAGTTTGAGGTGCTCCGCGCGGTCATATCCGCTCCAGCGTCAACCAATGTCTGCAGGAGAGATAGTGAACTGCTGTACGCTGCAGTGTGGAGGACGGTCTCGTTGTACTGATTCCGCAGTGTGACACTCGCCCCTGCGCGGAGAAGCGCTGCGACCGCATCCTTGTCATCAGACTCGACAGCACCAAAGAGAGCACTTTCTCCGTTCGAGGCGGCAGCATCGACCTGGGCCCCAGCCTGCACGAGCACCTCGATAATTTCCCGTGCATTGGGCCTCTTCGCGGCATAATGCAGCGGGGTCATACCGTGTTCGGGGCAGGAGTTCACGTCCGCGCCTTCGCGCAACAAAAACCGCACACAATCCAGAGATCCAGAGGCGGCCGCATCGTGCAGAGGAGTCATTCCGTCGAGATCGGCCCGGTGGAGAAAGCCATCATGTTGGTGTCGAGGCTTGAGCTTGTTCCAGATGAACTCCAGGATGGCGAGATTGCCGACCCTTGCGGCGACGTGGATCTCTGTCGCGTTGAACTCGCCCATGAATCCTTTGACATTATGCTCGTAGAGTAGCTGGACGATGTCCAAGCGCTGGTGCCTGATGGCCACGCTGAGCGGCGGATCACTGTAAGGCTCATCTGGGGAGACGTTGCGGTTGAGCAGGTGGCGGGCGGTGGCGAGGTCGTTCTTCCTTATAGCAGTTATCAGGAGTTCATCTGGCCTGTCTGTTGCCATTGCTCTGTCTATGTCTGCCATATCTGTGTGTGTGGTGTGTCTCTACTCGACGTTGGTGGATGAGAAATGGTTGAAAAATGAGGAAAAAGGATGGACGGAATGGTGGGGTTTAAGCAAGTCGGATTTAG